ACGATCCAGATGTGGGCGCCATGGCTACCGCATTCTCCTCCTCCGAGAACCTTGGGAGCTTTTCCCTCGACCGAATCGCGCAGGAGCGCCGCGATGTGGGAATCCGTGAAGGGGAAGGCCTGCGATCCAAAGTGGGAGATAATCCAGCAGCCCTGGGCGGTGATCGTTCTTCCGGACGAGGCCTCCACGATGACGAGCCGCGGGATCTTGCGGAGGTGGTTCAGGCGATCGGTCAGGGCGGTCCTCGAGGCGGCATCGGCGAATGGCAGCGCTGGCCAGGGCATCGATCGGAAGGACGCGGCGAAGGACTCTGGATCGGGATCGCTGGAGACGAAGATGATCTCCAGGTCGTCCTTGAGCTCCTTGTAGGCGGCAGCGAGCTTGGGGGTGAAGCTCTGCGCTTGGCGGCTGGAGTGAGCGGAGAAGTAGAAGCCGATGAGCTTCTGGGTGATCTCACTGAATTTCACCTGAGAGATAGCGATCCAGGTAAGCATCGTCTATCGCTCTCGATCTATCGATTGCTTACTTCTTGGTGGATCTCGCGCTTGCTCAGCAGATTTGTAGAGCCGGGCAGGAATTTGCGATCCTTGAAAGCTCCAAATCCTTGATCCAGGAACTTCTCGCCAGCATCATCGTCACAGAGCCTCCCCTGGCGATCGAAGAGCACAAGCTTTGGGAGGTTCACAGCGCCACACTCTCGGACGATCCTGTTCCTGGCATCGACGTCCTCGTAAGGAACAGCCAGCCACGGCATTCGCTGGAAGTTCTCCTGGAAGCCATCGAGATTGGTGTCACAGGAGACGAACACCACCTCGAATTCTCGCGAGTTGTAAGCGGCGGTGAGCGAGTCCAAGATCTTCCTGCACTGGTCGCGGAATGGGGAATCGATCGACGAGGTCGCGAAGAGGAGGAGCACCGATCTTCCTCTCAGTCGAGCTACTGGAATCTATGAAAAAAACGAGAGCGTTGATCGATCGGGGAAGGAAGTGGAGTTTCCTACCTTGTCTCCATTGCTCGCGAGGAGGTAATCGCGTTCTGGAGTAGTGAGCAGATCATCCAGCATCTCCTCTCTCTTTTGTTTCTTCGTTGTCTAGCAAGCTCTCCAGTTTTCTAGGATGGCATATGCGCTTTCAAAGCAAGGAATCTCTCCGTGAAGAAAGATTATCTTATATAGCAAAGGATATTCTTTAACGTAGCCAGAGGTTGTCAAGAAATCGCAGTTCAGGCCTGAATCGGCTGTAGATATTCCTAGCTAAAAAACTAAAGTTGGAATCTGCAAGAATTCCCTCCACAAAGTCCAAATGCTCACTGTATTGATATGTCTTGTAACATTTGCGGATGGTTGTCAGGGAATGGGGTGTTCCTCAACAAGATCAAGAGGACCATGTTAGTTTGTGTAAAAAGCTCTCTGCAGTTGATGTTGAGATGGGTAAGTTTGTGGAATTTATCTGCTGGGTGGCAATTTCGAGCTTCGAGCTGACGTTTAAGCTTTGGTTCTAGGTGCTGTAGTGGCAGGCAATCATGGCTCTAAACATGGCATTCATTCGGTTTAGCTTAAAGTTTTTGCAAGATCGTGGCTACGGGATGGTTCATATGCCTGTTCTCGTAGACAAGGCTGTATGAAATACAATTTGACAAGGAGCTCTATGAAGTATGTTTGTTCTAAAACTTGCATAGCTGATTGTTAAAGTGTTTGTGTGTCAGCTCAGAGGGGAGAGGAAATATCTCATTGTCACATCGAAACAGGCTCTCTGTGGTTATCCCAAGTATAAAACTCTGGCTCTAAAAGATCCCCCTCTCCAGTGAGTACTATCTTTGGAATTGGATTGCTTCTCATGGTTTTGTGATTATTTCGAGGATAGAAATGTAGCTCCAGAAAATCTCTCTCTTCAGTGAGTGAATATTTATAGTTTTTGGACTTGGAATGGTTCTCACGGTTGGCCTTTGAATTCATCATTGGATGTTTTTAGAATGCAAAGGATAAAAATTTATAGAATTTTATTTATGAAAATTAATTACTTAGAATAAAATAAAATTTAGAACTAGTTTATTCTTAAAAAATGTTAACAAGTTCATAAAGCAATAAAAATGTTATTTTATACCTTTTTTAATTACTTTTGCATACCATTATAACATGTAATTGCTTTAAATTTTAATTGTTACTAAAGAGTTTCTAAGTAGCATTCAAAGATTATAACATATGTAAAGAAAGAAAACAAAAGAGAAAAAGATATTTATATATATAAATATTTACAAAAGGAAAAAATATTTATTTTATAAGTGTGTTAAAACTATCTTTTACATTAACATAAGAATTATTTTATATATTTTTCCTACTAAAAAAAACTTTACATATTTATATTAAAGACAAATTTGTTAAGGATGCCTTTTATATTTTGATAAAGTAGATGTTTGTCATGGCCTACATGACATAATATTTAGTGTTATATGATCATTAACACTTCCAGATTGACACAAATAGGTAATATTTTACATGCTACAAGTGTTAAAAAGATCCTAGTTACCTTATAATATATCTTAATTTCATATAAAATCAACTTAAATCAAATTTTAAAAAATAGATATAAATAATAATAGTAAGCTATGATAATTGAAACTCTTTATTTATAATTTTTTAAATTTTGGTCAATTTTTATTAGTATTTTTATAGGTATTGCAAATTTATATTTATTAATATATAATTTAATATTTAAAATATTTAACATATAAAATTTACAAATAAGAAGATTTAATATTTTTAGAAAAATTAGTAATATTATTATTATTATAGCTATATTTAATGTATTATAGTCATATAATAATAAATATCAGCTATAATAAAATTTAAAATAATAGATATTTAATATGCCAAAAGTTGGAAATGGCTTTTAAATTTTGATAGAGTAAATGCCTTATATTGTGTAAATAACATAACATTTGGATAGAGTTATTGTTTAAAGCAGATTCTATTATATAATGGGCTCGCATTTATGGCTAAAACATTTTATGTTTTTAATGTTTCTATTGGGGATATGCCACACTTTCATGAGTGTTTATCATCCATAAATAAATAACTTGGTGGAATAAGTTATTCAGACTTTCAAAAGAATAATTGTAAAGTACGTGAGCTTTTAGTATTTATATTACTATAGTTATTTGTCATCTCTTCAGTATGTATATATCATAGGAGTGCAAAGTTTTATTGGTCTTTTACCATATAAATTTCTATATATGATCATAATCCGATATTACCAACGAGTTAAATTTACTTTCATAATTACTACAAATTGTAGATGTTATGTCATGGGATCAATATTTAGCAAGCATTCTTTCACTTATTTGAGTAAAGTTTATTGAACATTTGAGCCGTATATAAATGGGATAACAACAGTGTTTTAACTCCCATTATTGTCCACCTACAAGTACAAAATGGATGACTTAATGTTATAATTTGTTTTCCCAATTTTACAGTATATGATTTATTTAAGGGGCTCTTTACTCAATTGAGGAAGAAGAACCAACAATAGTGGGTGATGCACTAGTAAAAGCACTAATTTCAACCCAACAAATTAAGTAGTTAGAGGCAATAATAACATATTCATTATTAATAGTCAACTATGGAATATGCCTCATTAAATCAAATGCCATTAACTTAAATGGACATGAAATTACAATTCACTCCAACTAATATTCCATAGCACGAGGAGGAGCAAACTAGCTTGGCACCAAACACAACTACACATACAGAATAACATCATGTTACATCTTTTGCCAATAAAAAGACTTGCATGGTTTTTCAATCATATATCGATATTCTATATGCCCACCTAGAGTAAGAGAGTCATATAGAAAGTAATGCATAAATATTGAGAGCACCAACATCCATAAATATCATCAGAATTAGTCTCAACAAAATAAAAAAGGTCATCTTGGCAATATTAAGAATATAAATGCCAAAATGACAAATTATTATAAGTAACCAAAGGGAACAATTCAAAAAACAATCCATAAAGGTTTAAATATAAAAGAAAAAAGCTCATGAACAAAAATGCACTTTATTTTTCAATTTGTTAAGAGTCTTAGGATACTTAAGGTTAAGTGTTTTTGGGTTTGAATAGTATTGGGTTGGGTGATCTTTTGGGAAATTTAAATTAAAAAGCTTATATTTGATATTATAAAAGTTTCAAGTCTAACTCATGATCAGCTTTAGTAATATCTAAGAACCATATAAATACATGAAGCTTCTCAAAACCCTAAACTATTGTTAAACACTCTTTTTTTATTATGGAGTAGTTCACCTTTACTATTTGTAATGTATGGTTAATATATGTGATAGGATGGCACTAACCAGACACATTCAGGCTTTCTTGCATCAACACACCTCTAAAACCAATATCAAAAACATTCACATGCAAAATGAAAGGTTGATTATAGTCAAGATCATAATCTATAAATCAAATAAAAAACAATGTTAACTACTTTAACAATGTTCGCAATGGTATAGTAAAATTTGAAAGATGATTAATAAAACAACCGAGATATTGCACCTTACCTAGAAAATGTTATACACTTCGGAATAGGGAACTTTTGAATGACCAAGATCAACTTACAAACCCTCACAAGAAATACGATACCCAAGATAAATCATGTTTTTGGACCTAAACATACACTTCAACTACTTCAACTTTAAACCAACTTCCCACAAATGATTCAACATTTTTTAAATATCATAGATGTGCTTTTCCTACATCCCTTCTGAGTAGATCAAAACATCATCGATAAAGTTAGAAGTCATTTTTGACATATTATAAAGAACTTTGTCCATCATTTGCTAGAAAGTTGATAAAGGATTGTTTAGATCGAACAGCATCACCAAGAACTCATATAAACTAAATAATGTATAAAAAACAATTTTGGGAACATTTTTCTTGACCATCAATATTTACCAGTACCTAAAAGTAAAATTTAACTTAGTGAACTAACAACTTCTCCCCAAATGATCTAAAATATTAACCATGTGAGGAAGAAAGTATTTATTTGGGATAGTCACCTTGTTTAATGGATGATAATCAATATAAAAGTACTTCTACATTAACTATCATCTATTAAACAAGTGCCCTCAATCAAATGCCTTTAAATAATGTTTAAACAAATGCCTTCAATCAAATTTCGTCACAAAATGAAGTTCACATACCTAAGGATTCTAAAACTTTCAAATAACACCCTTCTCTAACATCTCCTTAACGTTTATATGTAAAATCTTAATCTCTTTTGCCAAACAAGAACCTTGATTGAACAAGTATTCCCAATTGGAATAAAATGACATATTGTAATTTTAACTTTAGATGATAAGAAAAAGTAAAAGATTAGCATACTCCTTGAGTCAGTCCACCATTGTGACACCAAGACAATCAAAGGGATATAGAAAGGGAATAAAGAACTATAGTAGGAAGTATTGGGGAAACAAAAAGTGATGGAAATAAAGGTAAAAGTGAAGAAATGAAAATGAAAAAATATAAAAAAAAATGAAAGAAATATAAGAAAGTATGAAACAAGAGAGAGAAGCCTTTAAAGTTATATTTGGCATAATTGTTATACCAAGGATGAGGTCAAAAGTTTAATTTGGCACCACCCGTAACATTTGAAACTTAAGCTTAAGATCTCTCATATGCACAATTAAATCCATCTCATCCCATGCACGTGCATGTATACAACTATTGAAAGATTAACTCTACCATACGATACAACTATAGACGGTAATATGTAGCAATAGCCTGAGCAATAGAGGATAAACTTGAGTATGTATCAATCAATACAGAGAAAATAATAAAAGACCTTTTGTTATAAAAACGAATTTGAAAAGTAACACTAGATGAATTGATATTGCAGTCAAAATTTTATTTTATTATTTTTAGTGTTCTTATTACAATTTTAATTTTTAAATAAGAATTCTTGATATATGTTATTTTTTTTGTTATACTTAGGGCTATTGTTAACTTTAAGATTCCTAAGTATCATTATTGAAATACATATGTATAAAAAACCATGTGAATAGCTTTAATATTTATTACAATTCAAAAGAATATAAGAACTCATGGAAAAAAATAATAAAAAAACAAATAACAAAGTTAAAAACAAGTACAAAAAAAGTAAACCAAGCATTGGCAGAAAATTATTAACTATAATAATAATATTCCTATTCAAGTATATTCTATAATATTTTGTAAAATTTCTTAATTTTAATTCAATCAATTTCATTGCTCAGATTGAATTGTCTCTCAATTTCAAACTTGAAAATTACCCTTTTATTGCAAGCTTGCTTGTAGAAATGTACAAAAACTATGGATGGTGTCTTTTTTGTGGATAGATTCACATATACCCAGCAATGCAGGTCAATCAATGGAGTTTTTTCTATTGACTGTTCTCCACAATGATCTTGTCAAACACCATTCTAAGTGACTGGCCTTGCTGAAAACATTTCTTATCCTGATACAGTCTTTCATAATATTAATGTTTTCTTCTCCTTGTTCACAAGATCAATGGAAGCACATAAAACAACAAGGTATAAGTAATGAAATTTGTCAGATTCTTCCCTTGGCAGCGTCTCCATGCACCAGGGCCATCCAAACCAAGCAAATTTACACGGCCAAGCTCCGCGACTGCAGGATTTATAGGTCCCTGCCCCAGGCCCGGCGCCTCCACGACGAGATCTCCTCGATTGGGACCACTTCATGATCCACATGTATGGGCGCTGCGGCGACATCGCCAGCGCGCGATCGGTCTCCCATTCCATGCCCCCGGAGGAGGAACCTACTCTCAGCATGGCCGCGAGGAAGCCCTCGAGATCTTCAAGAACATGATCCTGGAGGGGATTGAGCCAAACGATGTCACCTTCATTTGCATATCCGAGCTCCCGAGGTCATAGCCCAACGACGACTCCCACTTCGTTTTGCTGCCCAACATGTACAAGACGAGCTTTCCTCAAGGTGGCAACGGTTCCAGAGTACTGGGCGGTTGAAGGATGACAAGCTGCTTCGTTCATTCTATTCGAAAACAGGCATTACGTATTTACCTCTGGCGCGGCTTTCTGAAAGATATGTCGGCAGCAGCAGCCTGGTCACAAGCAGGTTCGGCTTGTCCACTTTCTTCCTTGCTCTGGTCGTCCTTTCTTCAGGATCCAGCGCCAGAATCCACGATGGCCTTCTCACTTGAGACATTATTGCAGCACCTCGAGGTTCCGATGCTCCCGTCTCGTGTCGACGTTTCAGCCTGCGAAATAGATATCTCACGAGTACAAAGACATCGTGGATCGTCAGCAGCAGCAGCTGCCCGTTCTCCTCTTCAGCTGCCACCTGAGCTTGGGCTGCCAAGATGACACCGGCACTCGAATCGTGGAAAGTTCTCCAAGTCATTTGCAATCATCCAGAATGACGGGCGTTATAGACCAGTCCGTCACCTAATATTTCTAGGGCAGAGGAAATGGCTGCGAACGCTCTAGCCTGCAAAACAATGGCTGGGTTCTGGGACGCGACTCTCTGGTCCAGCACTTAGTTCGAGGAGCAACAGAGTTGCGGAGCCTCTTCTTTAGGAGCCAGAGTGGGGTCCAGTGCCTCGCCTCTTATGAAAAGAAGAGTTCCATCCACAAGTTCCTGGACTTGCTCAAGACCTTAGTCCGGCCGAGAACCGAGTCCGTTTCACCAAGCCCGATGCCCGAGCTTCACTCGATCCGTCAAGCTCGTCGATGCCCTCGTCGTCCAGTGAAGATGGATATCCGGAGCAGACGACCACGTTGGACGTGGTTGCATGGCCTGAGTTTTTGTGGAGAGCTTACCAACTTTCCAAAATCAACACTGGCAACAGGCGGGAGTATTTGTGGGCCGCGGAGAAAGTATTACGTCGATGTGTATCCTCTCCCGAGGAATGAACACGAGTTCAAGTCCGTGGCTTACTCCATTTGCAGAGCACTCGAGCTCCTCCAGAACGAAGGTAAGAATCAAATTCTCTTTGAGGGTGTTGCATGGCCGATCATAACATACAGGGCTGGTTCATTACGATGTGAGATGGGCCAACGTTGCCTACGATCATGCCACCGGGTCGTGGTTCTTGCTGGATCTGGAAGCGGTGTGTGAGAGTGGACAAAACCCAAAGGCAAATGACGATAACATGGTGGACGAGCTCGGGACGTACACTGACGAGTCGGATTTGTATCAGCTAGGAGAATCTGTGGTGGTGGTGGAAAGAGGATCGATGTGAGTGAAGATGGGCTTGCGTTTATTAGCAAGCTCAAGTCCAAGAGGATGAAGACGAGCTCTCTGGCTCTCAAGGAGGGCTCTCGGAGAAAGTCAATAGTGATCGTAAATAAGATTGTGTTTAAAGTCCTAGGATCAATTATCCAATGGTGAAGCTAAAAGATTGTAGTAGTATGTGGATGGCAACGACAGGTCAAAGAAAACAGTCAGAGCGATTCAATTTCGCGATCGTGCTCTTGCTGTTGATCACTCCAGGAGCCTGGTTCTTCTGGCCCCCTTTCATCCATGATATCAACTCCCGACAGCTATTGGTACCATCGAGAGAACGACGTTGACTGGCTTTGGTCACCAATTCATACGTCTACAAAATAGTAGATAGTAATATTCAGGATTTGGCTCGCTCCACGTTGTCATTCAAGGGCGGGGGCGGTGGTCCACTGGGGGTCACAATCCAGGAATCCATGAGGCTGACTGCTACTTTGTCGATGAGTTTTGCCAGAAACGCGTGTGCTGGTGCGCTTAGCTCACCCAGGCACAGAGAGATCTTGTTCAGCATGACACCAAGCTGTATCTGGTAAAAACAAGTTTCAGTTTCAATTTCTAATATGCTGACTTTCTCGAGTGTCTTGTCGTCGCATGCTGGCAATTCATTTGCAAATGGTATTCTTAGTAGTGAAATTGTTTCCAAATCCAGTAGGAAGTAGGAGCCTGTGGTGTAATCAAACACTACATTCCAGAGACGGATGTCTCGATGGAGGAGTGGCGGCACTGGAAAATACAAACCACGAAAATTACTCTTAGATTTCCAATGCTACGAGAATGCTTTCATTGAGATTGAAATGTACACGTTTTTCTTTGTACTATTGAAAGTTTAATAAGATACAAATGCACACATTCGAATTTGCTGATTAACCTTAGTATTTTCATGATTTTGGAGATCGGGCATTTCCAAGTTTAGGAGTTTGTATACAGAGTTAACAACATGTCTGAGGAGCTGCAGCGAAGAATTATGATCTGGAGGTGTGATTTCCTGTCACAGGGAAATCGATCAAAGTAAGCATCATCACATCTCGATCGATATCCCCTTGCGTTTGATCGGCAGATTGGTGGTACATGCTTGGCAATCAGAGTTACTAGCATCCAAGGAAGAGCCAGCCACTGGAAGTTCTCCTGGAAAGCATCTAGATTGCTGTCACAGGACACGTGGTCGACGCTGTCGCGGAGGAGCACCCATTTTCCTCTCAATCGAGCATGAAAGGCCGCGGATGGCATATGCGCTTTCAAGGCAAGGAATCTAGGGCTCTTGGGGAATTGAATGTGGTGGAAATGGGGGCAATGGAGCATTCGCCGGCGACGACCACGATTCGCGCGTCTCCATAGCAGCCACGCAGAAGCGCCGTCCACGAATCAAACCGATCACTTCGAAGAAACCAAGCAAATCTACACGGCCAAGCTCCGCGACTGCACTAATTCCAGATCCCTGCCCCAGGCCCGGCGCCTCCACGCGGAGATCTCCTCGATCGGCCTCATCCGCGACCATTTCGTGGCCAATCTGGTGATCCACATGTATGGCCGCTGCGGCGACATCGCCAGCGCGCGCGAGATCTTCGACTCCATGCCCCGGAGGAACCGATTCTCGTGGTCGATCATGATCGGTGCATATGCCCAGACCGGGCATGGCCGCGACGCGCTGGAGCTCTTCCAGCGCATGGGCCGGGAGGGTGTCCGCCCCAGCAGCGTCACATTCGTGGTGCTGCTCAGCGTGTGCGCTGATCTGGGCGGCGCCGCGCTGGGCGAGGGCCGAGCCATCCACGCCAAGATCATCGCTGACGGCCTCGCCGCGGATCCCATCCTCTGCAACAATCTCGTCAACATGTATGGCAAGTGTGGCAGCCTGCGCGACGCCAAAGAGATCTTCGAGAGCTTCTCGTCCGGGAGGGACGTGGTGGCGTGGACCGCGATGATCCAGGCGTATGCCCAGCTCGGGCACAGCGCCGCCGCCCTGGAGCTCTTCTGGGCGGTGGTCGAGGCCGGCGAGGCCAGGCCCAACCGCGTCACCTTCATCACCGCGCTAGGCGCGTGCTCCAATCTCCACGATCTGGAAGAGGGCCGGAAAATCCATCGCTACATCGATCGCTACGAAGAAGAGGAGGAGAGAAGCGATGTTCTCGTCGCCACCGCGCTGATCAACATGTATGGCAAGTGTGGCAGCGTCGAGGACGCGCGAGAGATCTTCCAGGGGATCTCAAAGAGGGACGTGATCGCCTGGAACGCGATCATCGCAGCAAATGCCCAGCTCGGGCACGGCAAGGAGGCGCTGGAGCTCCTCCAGCGGATGGATCTCGAGGGGGTCCGCCCCAACCAGGTGAGCTTCGTGAGCGCCCTCGACGGCTGCGCGAGCATCGGCGCGCTGGCGGAGGGGCGATCGATCCACGCGCGCGTCCGGGCGTCGCGGAGTCTCGCGAGCACGACGCTAGGCAACACGCTCATCCACATGTATGGCAAATGCGGGAGCCTGGCGGGCGCCCGGGTGGCGTTCGAGGAGATGGGCGGCGCCGCCGCGCCGCGGGATGCGGTGTCGTGGGCCGCGCTGGTGGCGGCGTACGCGCGGCACGGGCGGTCCCGGGCGGCGCGCGAGGTCTTCGAGAGGATGGCGTGGGAGGGCGTGCAGCCGTCGGGCGTCGCGTTTGTGAGCATCCTGGCGGCGTGCAGCCACGGCGGGCTCTTGCTGCCCAGCCGGAGCTACTTCCTGGCCATGAGTGGCGACCACGGCATCGCGCCCTCGATGGAGCACTACGGCTGCGTGATCGATCTGCTCGGCCGGCTGGGGATGATGGAGGAGCTCATGGATCTCATCGCCGCTATGCCCTTCGAGCCGGGGGGGATCGAGTGGCGGAATGTGCTGGGCGCTTGCAGGACGCAGTCGGATGTGGAGAATGGATCCGACGCCGCCGAGATTGCGAGGGAGCTGGAGCCCGAGCACGCCGCGGCCTATGTAATGCTCTTCGGCCTTTACAGCACGGAAGAACCCTAATTTCCTGGGAATTAGGGTTCTAGCGATGGAGAATGAGCACAGCATCTACAAGATCGCCAGGAGCATCAAGCGCAAGGAGCAGTCGCTCTACAATGCGCTGCGCTCCATCTACGATGACGCCGGGTTCGTGGCGGAGATTCGAGCCCTCAGGCCTGCACTTCCGCTGGTGGCAAATCTTCGGTGTGGGCTGTGGTATGCGCGCAAATTCGATGATACGTGCTACTTCAAATCCACCGATGGCCATACGGGGAATTGGGGCTTCAATCCTGCGCGGCTCAACATCCACATTGCCGCCATTGCTGGTAAGCGCTTCGTTTACTCGCTAAGAAAGAATCCACAGCTTATCTTTTTCTTCTCCGATCGTCCAGCGCGATCTGGAGGCTGCATGATCGTGGATTCGACCAGGAAAGGGAAAAGATTTCCCGACAGTATGTCCAAGACGATTCCAATATGGACATGCGTGATGAATCGAGGGATATCAATGCTTCTCGATCCGGACAAGCGCAAGAGCTGGGATTGCGAGCTCCACCTCCCTAGCTGGGTGTCCGAGACCGAGAAGTCGTGTATCCAAGCCCGGCTGGATCAATGGGTGGGAGTTTTGCTAGCGAGTGGAGCCGACTTGGCGGGCTTGGCAGCGTCACTCGAGAGGCCTCTCCGACCACTTTGGATATCTCAGCGATCACTGATATGGCTGGACGAGATCCCGGAGCCGGGCTCGCTGGACTTTACACCGGTGATCCTCATCTCGGCATCCAGGCCGAGAGCTCTAGAGAGGTGTAGTGATTCGGAGGCAGGATGGAGCTACATTCCTGGCGCGGGGGATGACGAAGAGAGCTGGGCTCGAGGATTGACGCCAGGGATGTTTTGGAGCAATGCTCTGGACATCATCGATGCCGGCCCCGATGAATGCAACGCGAAGGTGGCGGAGATTGTGAGGAGGGATGGGAGGCCTTGGAAAGTTTTGCAAGGGTGGGAGGGAAACGGGATTCATGGTGAGATAGCGAATGGAGATACAGGAATTCGATGGATTGGAAACACTGGTCTAGCGCTTGGTGCAAGTAAGTCAGATTTCATTGTTTCGCTTTGTTTTTTATTTGCTCTTCCTTGTTCTTTGCTAGTTCAACCACAGGAACTCTTATCAATCAAGAATGTCTCGGTTATAGACTGCTCTGGACATCTTGATGTTTCATTCTTGGGCGAAGGCTATTTTCTTTCCCTAAACATTCAGGTAAAACAAATGGTTCTCTTGGAACGGTCAGTAACTTACATTTTACATTGCTCTGATAGGATTCTAAGTTTGATCGGTATTGTCTACAAAATAATCTTCCAGCCATTGTTGAGTTTGCAATAAGAAGTTTGGGTAAGAAAAGGAACCTTTTGGTTTGTTGCAGAAATGGTACTTATTTGATCTTGAGTTTTGGATCTCAATTTTTAATTTTTGATTTTCAACAGGAGGAAATATCAGTGTCTCAGTTTGTTTAGCAATCTTGATGGCTTGCTTTAATAAAGATGGTATGTGTTTCATTTTATTTTACTTCTAATTTATATCTGTCATTAGGAGTTTTCTCTTATGAAAATCTTGCAATTCAAGTTATGAAAGAGGACATTCGAGAAAAATTAGTTTATGTATCTGCCTATGTACCAAATGTTTATCCTTCTCGAGGTAATTTAAAACAGGTGTACAATTATTTTAAAAAAAGAAAAAATATATCATAAAGTGGCTACTTTTAATTTATTCGTAGTATTCGTCGAAGTCTAAAATCAGCAACCACACTCTTGTTTGATGTCCCTGTGCTCTTGTGATCACAATCCCTGTTTTGTTTTTTGCCCTTCAAAAGATAAATTGATCCATGATCTGGACTGTGCATCTCTGAGAGCTTGCAGCATCTTCTAATGCATTTCTATTTTCTAGATGCGGAGAGCGTGGATCGAACACGCGCCCTTCAGATCTTCAGTCTGACGCTCTCCCAACTGAGCTATCCCCGCTTAATCGGTTTTCAAACTACTTATTAATTTAAACCACTGAGTATGGTGTTTAAAGAACTCTCGTGGTTTAAACATTCTTTGCTCACCTCAACTCCAAAATCTACCGCTACCACTATACCAAATGTAAATTCACTTTTACAGAGGATCCATCGTCTCGGTTTCCATCATCCTCTTTGTCGCAAAAATCGCCTTTGAGAGGAGGAGAAGAGCCACCGTTTTGGAGATCCAAGTTAAAGAGCGCTACGATCACGAGAATTAATCTACCTGTGGATAGCTCACAGTACCACCGGTTACTATAAGATTACCTGCTTAGCCATCGGCACCGTGGCATGCAATTAGAGATTGAGGGTTTTAATATAGGTTTCTGCTACATGGGCGATCTCTGGAAGAAGCTGCTGCATTGCTTTACCAACGTAATCTTTTTCTTCAGTGCAGGGACGCGATCCTTGATCACCAGCCTCGGCTTCTAGGCAGCTCACATGTGGCCTTCACAAACAAAATGATTGGCAATCATGCTTGTGCCAGACATCTTGGGTTTAGGCTTGCCAAACATCTGGAAAGGTACAGACTATGTTTGCAGTAATTTCGTCGACAATTTTTTGCATTGAGTGAATGCAGGTGTAAGCACTTGTTGGTTTGCGCATTTAGATCCTTTTGTTGAGAGTTTCTCCCTGTGTCACTGTTGGCATTCTGGCCAGCTGAAAGTCATGGCAGTGGCTGCACAAGCAGCCAGCCGCACCTTGCAAAGCTTCCAGGGCTCCGAGTACATACAGGAGATGTACGAAGGTGCGATGCATATGACGATTACATGCAGGTCCGAGCTGTTCTTCAAGCAGCTCGCCAGAGATTTCCAACTTAGGTGGTTTTATTGTTCTTCGCGTTTTGTTTCTTCCTTTTTATCGGTATGAGAAGGTGGTGCAATTCTTGCAGTCGTTTACGCTCAGTGCAACAATGCTTTAGGGCTCGCAACATCCGCTCAGTGCAACAATGCTTTATGGCTCGCAACATCAGGTGAAGTGCAGTGTTGGACCGACCGAAGCTCCTTGAGGCTTGCAATAATGCACTTGAAGAGGTTGCTTGAATCTATCTCTGCTGCTATATGCCAAGCTCGGCACTACCTGTAACGGAAGCAGCTCACCAGACACCATCTTGTCAAGTTCGCTGCAGACTGAATATTGTCTTCCTCAGTCAAGCTGATTTCTTCTAGTTCTTCATGCCAAACAATGGTATGGCACTCTTAAGTTTGAGGTAAAAAGCTTTCACATATTGTTTGTAGCCAAACTGAATGCATTTTCATGTGCAATGGCTCAGTGACAACAAGCTGGATCCCATTCTAGAGTCACTGGCCAAGCTACCTTGGTTGACTTGCACAGGCTTAACCTCAGCAAGTCCATCTATCCACTGGCAAGTTCTCAATGTTGAGAATAGCGAGCCAAGTGGCAGTGACTGAAGAGGTGAGTTTTCTATTTTTGGTGCTTTTAGCTCCCCGGCAAACATCTGTATTCTCTTTTCTTCTTCTCTAGATTACTGACATTGCTTGGAATGTATTACAGTCATACACATTGGAGATTAAGTTTCTTGAAGCTCTCTGATGCTTCAAACAAAAGGCAAGCACTGCCACCATCAAGCATACATGACAATTGGCTTCAAGAAGATGATGGCTAGGTTTATGAGTTTTGCAATTGTCAATTTTGCAACTGTTCTTGGCTCTTCTGGATCTGCCAAGTGAGTATTTCCGAGTTATGACTCGATTTCTGATGTTGAAGCATGTGAAACTTTTATGCAGTTTTGGTCAGAGTCTAGAACAATGCACTGGATCTTTGCACGGAAACACAGGGAACATTTGAAATAACCCAACACTTGAGGTGATATGCTCATTAACGTTTGTGATTTGTTTATCTCGAGGCATCTTTTTTTAGGCACTTCGAGCATTGACTTAGATGGGAACTTTCATTGGTGGGGGCAATGATTCTAGCAAAGAAGGCTCTGGAAGAAGCTTATATTACGAAGCAGATGATCTGTTTTCAGACCTCTTGAAAGATGAAAATGAAGGCTTAGCATTAACAAGAAGTGACTATATTGCTTTTAAGGTTACAAAGGTCCATTTTGCAGGAACATCATTGGTTGTATCCTGGAATGAAAGTTACGTTGGAAGCAGCAATGGGGTACATGCTCTAAAATTTATCCCGCAGCTTTTGCAAGTCTATTTCAACGTTGCATTGCAAGATATGAGCGATTGTAAGTTCCAAACCTTTGCGATTAATCTGCTGCTCTTTGTATGTTTAGCACTACTCTGCGCTCTTTTACCTATGGTCTTCTTCAGAATCAATGCTATGTTTCCAGATAAGACATTTTCAATCGAGGTAAGCAAGATTAGTTTACTCATAAGCTGACTCATGTCTTAAATCAGGTCCAACAAACGTGTTGTCAGTTTGTGCACACTTTCTTCAAGAAATCTCCTCAATTCATTGCTCTTTTGAAGGTAAGCCTTTCTTATCTATTTGATGTTGTTATCCCAAAAGAAGTAAAAACATTGCAGAAGCCCATCACCAGTCAACCTCAAACAAGTGACAGTAAAGTAAGATGGATTTCACAATGTTTGAGTGTTAAACTTCTATTACATTTACTAGACTGAGCTTCCTTTGCAACTATGCTGAGTCGTTGGAGACCATGGGGGTGGTGGTACTTGTTTCAAGGATGGTGTAAGAGAGCTCTTTGAAACTCTGGAGTTGGTTCTCTACAAAAACCTCTCCTTATGGTAATTGAAGTTTCTCACTGTTTATGTTGTGTCTAATCTTCACAAACATCCAGGCATAAAACTTCTGCCATCCCGGCCCAGTCCCAGCTGCTATTTTTTGTCATAACCGCCATAGCAAAGCTTGCAACGTGCCATCAAGAGCTCTTGCCTAGAGCTCGAGTGCTAAGGTTTGTGTTTTTTTTTTGTCTTCTCTAAGGAACTTTTTTGAGTTTAAGTTGCTGTTCTTGATGAAGGTGGCACAATCACATCAACTACTCAATAAGATTGTCTGGAGAAGAATTGAAGATCACCATTGCTGCCTACGACTGAGTCCCTGGAGTGGAGAAGCTGGTGATGAATGCAAAGATGGACCTTGCCTCGCAGCTTATACAGCATGAGAAGCCCAAGAGCTTGCTGCATTACTACAAGGCCATGGAGCTGTCCACAAAGTTCGATTTGTTTCTCACATGTCCAAGAAGATTTGGCCTCCCGTCAATCACAACATGGTCAGATGCTACCAGCATTTTGGACAAATATTCACAGGTTATACTTCCCACCAAAGGATCAACTACAAGGAAATAAGTTCAAGAAAAACAAAGAGAAAACTCATGGCTCACCCAGCAATGCACAAATTGAAACAAAACTTTGGAAATTGTAAGAGCTGGACTTTAATTCTCCTTGAGAGTTTTCAAGAAGATCTGTCCACTAGGATGAATTTTGCAGTGATAGATTCATGTTTTAAACACCACCTACATTTTCTAACGAGAGATAAGATCTTTGAATTCTTCCTCCTTTCCACATTATCTTGAAAGGCTTTAATGGATAATTACTAGGGAGGCTAATGTTGACCTTATAAAGGGATCCTATGAGATCAAGAAGAATTTCTTCAAAAGTTAAGAATTGAGCTAAGAAGTCTACCCAATGGACTGACGATTGTGGAGACCCACTCATAGAAATTATTGGCCTTTGGACTGGCAAAGCAATTCTCTAGTGAAACCTTTATTTGTTATGCATTAAACAACCTTAGCTAGCACTAATTTCTCATAGCTGAGCCACTAGATCATTGACAAAGTGTAGATTATGTTCCTCTTGTAACCAAACCTTACAAGGATTTAACACCACTTAATCTTGCCTGACCAATCAAAATCCACAAACATGACATCAAAGCAACCTTCTCCCTTTGAATGAAGTTTGATGTTAAAGAGCCTCATTGCAGATAACCAATAGAATGACCTTCTTACACTTAATGATTACTGTTAGAAACCACCATCTTCAATTCCTAAATATGTCATTTCAACCAAAAGCCATCCCAAGGAATAATTTTGGCATTGAATCAATGTCATGACTAAAAAAAATGTTATATGACATGGATAGTTTGAGAGGCTAATGTCACCTGGCATTCAAATATTTATAAAAAACTGTCATTTGACATGCAATAATAATGTCACCATAATGTCACCATAAATTTTATAAATTCAAATATTCTAGAATATACTTATAGAAATATACTTAATATATACCTATTAAGGATATTCTTCTATTAAATGCATGTATACCCTAAAATCTCCCTAAGCCCTTTCTTTTTGGATAAGAGCACAAATATAAAAGTGGACTCAAAGGAAGCTATAAATATTTTAAGTGAAATTTTTGAAGGTGGTATTTTTGAGGAATCAGGGAGAGAATTGGTGGAGAAGATTATAACTATTTTGAACACTTGATTTATGGACTTTATGAATTGCAACTCCTTCAAACTTTTTGAACCTTTGTCATTTCCAAATGATTACAAAAGCCAAATTTCTAGAACAGCTTAGTACTTACACAACTTACTTTAAAGGTTTGACTCACTTGTTGAGATTGACTTGAAAGCTTGTGAGCAAGAGAAAAAAGGTTTTGTAGATGATTTACAGCTCTGTTGCAAAGATATGTCAGCTTACAAGGTTTGCATGTTACAACTAGATGGTGATGAAAGATAGGATTGGCTTGGGAAGTACCCTCAACTAATGAAGCTATTGTTAAGCATAGTTGTGAATGAGGATTTCCAGGCAAAATGCGATAAACAATCAACTAAACCTTGAGACACTGGATGCACATATGTTTATCTTACTGGAAAGGCTTACAATGTCTTCTTTTGATTGGTCATGGGCATCTAGTGTTGCAGGATAAAATCAAAATGTCAATATTTTTTATGATAATATCATTGACATTTATATTTCAGTGGATACATGTTCATTTTTCTGAAATTATTCATTGATCCATCCAGCTCCAATTTTTAGATCCCGTGAAATCTTTATGACAATAATTTGCAAGGGAGGGCATTAAAAATCCATATGTATGCGAAGCAGGGAAATAAAGAATCCATCACGGTGTGATCAAGAGCCATCCACATCACTTTGAGGAGCGTGCAAGACCCATGGTGCATCAAGGAGAAGCTGCACTTGACACTCAAAAGAGAGGCAATGCAAATAAAGACTGCCTACATTAGGTTCTTTACAATCCAAATGTGAAGTTCCAAAAACCTTAATGTAAGGAATTTGGCAATATGAAGGCCGGAAGGACAGCCAAAAGGGATGTTGTAAATAGTATATGAATGTGTTTTTGTTTGCCCCTGCACAACCTTTTATTAATGCGCCACTCAGCATTCGGTCACGACGGTTAGGGAGGGCCCATAGTGGAATAAAAAATCAATCATGGGGCACTCGCAGGGTGTAAAAGCCATGGCAGTGGTTCTTCTTACACAGAGTACCTCCTAGTGAGCTTCTCTGGCAACTTTGTTAGGCTCCAAAAGGTAAACCAACCTCCCCTCAAGCTGTGACAGCAACTTGAGGGTCATAGTCCTTGGAGAAGAGTCTAATTGCTCTTAAAGTCGTTGCTAACTTTTCTATCTCATGCTCCGGCGCACATTGGCTCGGCTGCCACCTCCTCTGTTTTTCAATCCATTGCAACCGCAATGACTTGTATATAGGGGCGGGCCACCAAAATTAACAGGCCAGCTCAGTGTTGTGTTCTAGGCCAGGCAGGAAGCCCTCAGCAGTCATTAGCTTGTGCTCAAACAAAACCATCATTCGCTCCACCACTCCATCTGTCCAGCCCTCGTAAATGCCCCAGGTAGTTGGTGAAAAGCATATTAAGCCTGAGGTGTCATCTCGTTAATTTTATCGTCATAGCGTATGCTGCACCATTCCCACAGCTCGTAGGCAATATTTATGTCTTCAGAGTCCGCATGCATCGGAAGTCCATTCTGAACTGGCACAGGAGGACGCGCCTTGCGAGTGGCTAATTCCTCTTTCTTAGCCCTTTGCTTGTCACCTTCCAAAAGCTCGTTAAATCGATTCTGATCGACATGCTGGGCAGCTTTCCGGGAGAGACCTTCAAAGCCGCTGCTGCAACCGCTAAACTCTTCGAGGCTCTTGATGGTTAGATTCATTTAAATAAGGACCTAAAAAAGAAAAGATTTTTTGGATTAGCCTTTTTCTTATTGTTAGATATGGCATGAGTTCTCAAAGTTCAGCAACAAATCCTTGACTCAATAGTCACATTGATCGTGTCTGCAAAACTCAGTAAGAAAAGAAGAATTCTTTTGCTCTCGCCCAAACTCTCAGGTGGTGTTCCTTTACAAACTCTTTCACCTGCACTCAGTGAAACTAGTCTAAATCCTCACAGAAACTTGAAATAGACACGCAGTTTCAATGACAAGCTCTACTGCCATTCTAGCTACTCTTGTTACTCTTAACCATTGTTTTGTAGACAGTAGCCACTTCCTTCAACGTTGTCTGTTGGGGTGCTTGCAGAGTGGGAGATGATTGGTTTCATTCGAGCTGACACAAAATGCTCCATCCATACATCACTTTGTATCTGCATCACTCTCGCCCGGCACATCTCGTGGACTAAGTCTTCCATATCTCTGGGAGGGAAATATCGGCACTGGAACTCCCGGCCTCCAGGCGGAGTTCTTACTATAGCAGTCCAAGTGGCACCCTCGGTAGAGTTTTGCTTTTCTATCTCTCGTGATCTTATAGAAGGGGATGGTTGATGATTCCAGGAGTACATCTTAGCGGATTTACACGGGGAGTACGTTCCTCCCCATGAAACTCTGAATTTGTTCTGATGGAGCGGTTTGGCTGTATTCATCTGATTCAATCTTGCAGCAGTCTCTCAGTCTTCAACAAAACTATCCGACCATTTCTCCCACATTCGACTTGTTTGTCTCAAGATATCTTTCTCTCCAACACACTCATCCAAATGTATGCGCGGCTTGGAAGCGTCACAGACGCTCGCAGTGTGTTTGAAAGCATCTTCCCATCCAGCAGAAGGAACTCACACACTTGGGTGTTTATGATCACTGCCTATGCTCATAGCGGCCATGTCCGTGAGGCACTGGAGCTTTTACTCGCGATGCCATGTAGAAACCAGGTCGCTTGGAACGTAGTTCTTGCGGCTCTTTGCAGCGGGGAAGATCTTCACTATGCCAAGAAATTCTTTGATCAAATGCAGAGGGATCACGTCTCGTCAACAACAATGCTCGCAGCATATGCCCATAGAGGGTATCTGGTCCATGCTCAAGAGCTATTTGACTCCATGGTTGAACACAGCCTTGTATCCTCAACGACAATGCTTACGGCTTATCAAAACAGCTCTCAACTCGATGGAGCAAAATGTGTTTTTGATTCGATGCCAGTTTTGGATCTAGTGTCCGCAACTGCTATGATAAATGCGCTTGCCAAGAACGGGCATCTTGATCAAGCACTGGACATTTTTAATCAGCTCCCGGAACGGAACCTCGTCTGCTGGAACGCATTCCTCTCGGGATGCATAACGAATGGCTGCTTCGAACGCGCAGAGCGAAGTTTTTACCACGAGATGCCGCAGAGAGATCTAGCGTCCTGGAACACAATGCTAACTGGAGCTGACGAGGAGAGAGCCCAAGAACAGGAACACATTTTTTCCGGGTTCCCGGAATACAATATGCTGTCATTCAACACCATTCTCGCAAACGCAGCTCGCCACCAAAGAGAATCTATCGAAGCAATTGAGTTAAGCTTCCACAGCATGGTCGCACGGGATCTCGTTTCCTACAACATTTTGCTCTCTGCCTGTTCTTTGCAAGTAGAAAGGGCGAGGGCCGTCTATATAAGAATGCCTGAGCACGATCTTGTCTCCGACAACACAATGCTATCAGCATATGCCTTGACGAGGGATGTGCGACAAGCTCAAGACCTGTTTTTTTCAATGCCACAGATCAATCAAATATCAAAATTCATAATGATAGATCTGTATTCAATAACCCAATACTTGGACGAGGCATGCTGTTTACTCTTTGACAACTTCATGTGTGATCACGGAATGGCAACCGTTATCCTTACCGCTTATGCCAATCTCGGGCATATTGACTCAATGATGCAGTTTCACAAAAGGCTTCCAGCCGTAAGCTTAGCAACAGAAATTGTTCTTATCCATGCGTACGCACAATGTGGCTACACAGAGAAAGCAGAAGATATCTATTTTGTGTTGCCTTATTCCAATACGGTCTCAAGGAATGCTATGCTAGCAGCATATGCCGTTAATGGGCGTCTTGTAAGAGCCCAGACTTTTCTTGCACAAATGCCCGAAACAGATCTCTTGTCGTGGTCCACGCTGCTGGACGCATATGCTCGGCACGGGAAGTCGATCCAGTGCCTAGAACTTTTTGACTCCATGAAGATGATGGATCACGCTCCGGACGAGGCCTGCTTCGCGTCGGTGCTAGCGGCTTGCAGCCGCGCCGGGAAGCTGCAAGCTGGGAGGAGGGCGTTCGTGTCTTTGGCACAGGATTACCACTTGCAGCCCGGAAAGAAGCATTACACTTGCATGGTGGATCTCTTGTCTCGCTCCAACCATGTTGATCACGCTCACGAGCTTATCCTCAGCATGCCTTTTGCTCCCGACACAATAGATTGGAGATGCTTGCACTTACCTTTGTCGGCCCCGGCATTTGCAACTTAGCAGTGTCCAGATTCTCTGTAAAAAACGTTGGCAAAGGCATTTGGAATGTGTTCTAAAAGTGTAGATGCCATATCTCAGCGAATCATCTCCCACATTTTAGCTCTACAACTTTACTACCAAGAATTTACACGAGATGCGAGAACTAGACCTTCGACGCGAGCCAAACAGACACACACAAAAAAAAAAAAAAGAGAGAAAATGGGGTCGCCGCCTTTTCGCTTAGAAATCTGCGCTGGCGGGGTGTATAGAGTCCCCATTTCCCGTTTTGCTGCGAGGTCGCGACGAGGCCTTCGTGATTGGGAAAGGCCAACAAGACGAGCCCGGGAGTATCCCTCTCCTACATTCAAAACAACCAAGAATTCTTGACTTCCCAACCTTGTCAAACCTTGAATTCTCATACCTCTTGGTGGGCGCCGAGCCTTCTTGGCTATGGCTGCTACTGAAGCATCCTTGGCCGCACTTTGACGTGCATGTCGCCCGCTTCACACACCTGTTGCAATACAATCGACTGCACACCTGGAAAGGAAAACAAAGAAGATGAGTGCCACCAAAGTCCTCTGCTCGAAAGATCGATCTTTGCAGTGATCGTTCCGAGAAATCCAAACTAGAGAAGCGTTTCTCGCAGTACCTGGCACTTGGTCTTGAAGAAGATGACATGGGCGGAGCAAGAGCTACACTTGCTATGGACGCCATGATCGAAGCTGAGAGCCGGGAGGATTGGCTTCACTTGCGGCTCCTTGTAGATTCTCCACACGGGCGAGGCTGGCAGCGACTTAATCCCACTCCTGGGCGACGGTGGCGGCGAGGGCCTGGGGGAAACCTTCCTTGGCGAGATGTGCTTCACTGACACGGGCAGAGGAGGAGGAGGAGCGTCGATCCTAGCGCTGATCACCCCCCTGGTGGTGGCGGCGCCGCTGGTGGAGCGCGGCGGTGAGGAGGTGACCGAGAAGAAGAATGCGGTGGCGGAGCCAAACGCCGCCACGTCCGGGGGGAGACCCTCTTGGCGCTGCTCCACGGGGAGGCCCCCGGACAGGGGGATCGTCGGGTGCTCCACCAGATCTCGCAAGGACAGATCGTGGGCGCTCTCCGGGAGCTGCTCGTACAGCCTGTTTAGCTCCGCTTTGCCCTGCTCGATCGCCTCCCTCCTGCTCCTGGGCGACAACATCTCTCGCACCTGGAAGATCTCTTACCGCCGGAGATCCCTGTCTGTGACTTGTCTAGAAAGAAACTCTAGCCCCTTCATTCTGTGGGCGCGTACGCCATAGCTCAAAACTCGGGATTTGGCTTTAACTAACTTGGCACTCGCCATTTTCTCGCGCCTTCGTTCATCCAGCGCCACGTTTCTCCGTCCGGGGCCCGGCGAGAGCCAACTGTGTGGTCTTGTTTCCATGCCAGGCCCACACGCCGCAGATTTGTCATGGTGAATGGACAAAGTATATTTCTTCCATCGCCATCTCGCCTCCTTTCTTCCAAAAATTTCGCCACCATCTTCCTGGGGCACTAATGGGCACCTTCGTCTAAAGCTTTCTAGAAGACTGGGAAGTCTTGGGCTTGATTACTTAGCGGGAAAGAGAAACAGGCTTGCTCGCGAGCCTTGGGAAGTCAAAAGCACTGTAGCCCTCTGGTTTCTTGCTGTGTCTCCTCCCTGGGCCTACGGCCGGAAGAATCTGTCAACCGCATTTCTAATAAGCGGTTGCCGTTCGCATGGCTGTGTTCCAACTGGAGATATTCGACCTTAAGACTCGGAGAAAAAAGTAAAGAAAAAAACGGCACTGCTTCTCCAGCCTAGCCGAAGAATTGCAAGGATACAGCTATGTTTTCACGAAGCTCGGCATTATCTCCAGTGCATAGAGAGTTGATCCTGGGTAGCATCGCTGGAACCGTGATGACGATGATCGCCAAAAACCATCGCTCTTTTCGCCGCATCACTGCTCGTCAATGCCGCCGGTCCAGAGTCAGCACTAGCACTAGCCCTGAGAACCACAACGTTGGCTTCGAGCATCTGGTAGAATCTTATGCCTTGCTTGCATGCGGGCAAGAGCATCCTGAGGTTCAGTGTTGGAGGTTTACGCAGCCAGATCCACGTTGGCTATGTATATAGCTAGCTGATCATAGCCACATTGTCCACACTACGCTTCCGCGAAATATTTGCTATGTTTTGACAGAGCTCAAGGAGTTGATTCTCCGTATCGAAAAGATCGATCGACAAGGTGGTGTCTTCATTATCTGCGTGATATATGGGGACGAGACTGCTAAACACTGCCTACTCCTGCATCAGCTTTTCAAACATGTAGCTTGCACAGCTTTTGTGATGACACTCGAAGGTACGCATACAAATACACATTCCCTCCCTCCATCCACCACCACCCCAGAATGTGCCTGCAAATCTCCAAAGCTGAAACCAAGTGGCAGCAAGTGTGATTTTGTGTGTGCAACAAGGTGAAAAGCTTGTTCAAAATTCAGGCGGAAAAATCAGTCAAAAAAGACTTCCCTGTTGTTGTTGTTGTTGTTGTTGCAGGCAGGCAAGCCCCGCCGCCACGTGGCGCAGGCCGGCTGTACGAACGCACTATAAAGCTCCCCCGAGAGAGAGAGAGAGTGTTGTCCCGTCAACCATAGCTCTCATTTTTCCATGAGCTAATCCAGAGTATCACCGCAGATCTTTTCCTTTCTCTCTTATCATCGTGGGGGTTGTGTGGCTAATCTGGCTCTGGCGGCTCTCTGGCCGTTCGTGTTTTTGCGGTGCTGCACTTTTGCGCGACCTTTTGCTTTGCCTGTTTCAGAGATTCGCACGGCTTTTTAATTTTGTGCTGGCGGGTTTTCCTTGTCTCTTGCCTGGCTCGCTCTTGCCGCTGCTGCCGCTGCTCGCTTTTCACTTCACATCGAGCCCAGCAGCCAGCGAGAAAAGAGAGAGAGAGTGAGCAAGAAAGGAGAGTGAGGGAGAGTGAGAGAGAGAGAGAGAGAGAGAGTGTGAATGGGATTTTGACATATTGGGTCTTCTCATTCCAGAGGGATGGGTTCTCACCGACGCCGACGCGGACACCGACGACGACGACGCGCGGGCGAGCCAGAGCGGAGATTGTTAGCGTGTGATAGACAATGTTGGTGCTGCTGCTGCCTGCAATCCATCTACAATCTATCCAATTCTCTCTTCGTCCTTGAGGTACGTCCCTCCTTTCATGCTCCTGACTGCTTTCAATGCTTGCCATTCCAGAAATCTAGGCAGAAATCTGGGCAGGAGGGAGGAATGAATGATCCAAAAACCTGAGCTCTTTTCAGCGATGGCGTGGGGCCTGGAAACAAATACGTTTAGATTCTTCTCGTTGTGTGTGTGTGTGTTTTTGTTCGCGGGAGCTTCCTTTAGTTCAACTCAGGTGGAGCTGGAGATGGTCCTGCTGCCGACTCATGCATCCGCGTACCTTGGAAAGTTACAATGCCAGTTTCAGAAAGAGAGCTTCTTTTGTCCAGTGGTAGACGCTTGCATGATGCGGGAGCTGGTTCTCTCTCGAGCTTTGATCGACCTGCCTTGGACTGAAGGGAGCTCCCTTGTTCCCACAAAACACTCCACTCGCGCGAAAGTGACTTGGACACCCAAAGCAGCCTCTGCTGATTTCCTTCCGGCTGAGTGTTCCTCAGGATTTTGCGAGAGATGATAATATCTTAGGCTATATATCTTCAGAGAGAAATAATAAATATGTTACACCAGTACTTGCAAACTGAGAATCCCCGCAAGTCCAACACGGAACAACAGTTTTCTTTCCTCTCTTTTTCCGATTTTATTTTATTTTATATAAAATTTCTTTTCTCTAGATTTGACTCGTTAAGAAAATCCACTTCCCAGTCGTGCAGCTGCAACTGCTGCTGCTGCTGCTGCTGCCGCTGTTGCACACAACATCCTTTTCAAAACTAGAGTATAATTTTCCAACCAGAAGTCGAGTCACACTTTTCAAAACTAGAGTATAATTTTCCAAGAATTTCTGGCTTTGTTTTTTTGCATTAGAAGAATCAGAGAGTGAGAGCTACTACAGCGGCAGCATCAGTGTTTGGAAATATATGTTACAAAGAACCTCCGCTCTTGACCGGGACGTAAAAACAGCACCAAAACAAATATAAAGAAAACGAAGAACAAAAAAAAAAAAAACCAAAAGAAGGAAAGAATCGAAGGAGAAAAAACCAGAAGACGGACAAATGGTGGTGGTGGTGGAGTGGAGAAGATGAAGAAGATAGAATACAACCCTTTGGTCTTGTAGAAATACACCCCGAAACTGTAAGCTGAAGGAATGCAAAACCCACGAACGTCAGCAAGGCAACAAAACCAGCACTCAACTTTTCTTTTCCCAAGTGTTCTTCTGCTCCTCTCTGTTTGTGTGTGTGTGTGTGTGTTCGACTGTTTGTGTTTTTGTGTAGGCCTATGTGTTCTTCGTCTCGTCTCGTCTCGTCTCGTGGAACTCACGACGAGATTGGCTCGTATGGATACGAGAGCCACGGATGCTTGAGTGCCTCGGCCGCGCTGGGACGGTTCTTGGGATTAATCTGGAGAAGGAACGCCACAAACTCGAGGAACCCCTGGTCGCCCATGGGCAGACGATGTGCCAGCGTCGTTTTCTTGGGGATTAAGTACTCCATGCGGCTAGTCTCCTGTTTTGTCTCGTTAACCAAAACCACAAAGCTGGAAACTGCACTTTACCTGGTTGCGCTCATACAGCTTGCTGTTCTTCGTCAAGAATTTGTAAGATTCGCGTCCTCTGGCCACCATCTCAGGATCTAGAGGGCCAATAATGCCGACAACGCGGGCGAGCAGCGTTGCCAGGGAGTCATTCTGGAATAGTACCTGTAAACACACGAGAACGAACGTTAGCATGGCATGGTTCAAGTATCACAAATACTCACATTTCCTGAGCAAAGCTCCGCTAGAATACACCCCAGGGACCAAATGTCAATCTTCTGGTCGTAGGGAAGGCCCAGTATAACTTCTGGCGCTCGATAAGATCGGGATTGCACGTAAGAGCACAGGTGGTCGCTTTGAAAGCAGCTGCTCCCGAGATCAATCACCTTCACTTCGCACCGGCTGTAGCTCTTTACTAGTATGTTCTCCGGCTTCAAATCGCAATGTATCAATCCAAGGCCATGCAAGAACTCCAGTGCCTCCAAACACTGGCGAGTAATAGACTGCAAAGTTTCGAGAGTTACGAATAAAATCCACCTGTGAGCTAGAACACTTCCTACCTGCAATCTAGGCATCGTGAAATAGACCTCCCCTCCCGAATCTCGGTTGTACTTGTGAAACTCGTACAGATTAGCTCGTAGTAGCTCACAGACGATAAATAGGTGCTCCTGAAAAGTTTGGTTTCAGTACCGACAGTGAGAATTGCACAAAACGTCTTACCCGATGATAGAAGTAATCATATAACCGTAGAATATGGTACTTGTCCGCCGGATCGTGTTTGTTGATATACTTCAGCAGCTTGATCTCGTCAAGGCTTTGATCAAAGAAATCCTTGTTATTCTTGATGATCTTCATACAAACATCCATGCCAGTGAAGAGGTCATGCGCCTGGATGGCCTTGCTGAAAGCTGCGGCTCCAAGAAACTCCGTAACATGATAGCGACCAGCGATTACCGAGTTGATCAGAACCTGGAAATCCTTATCTTCCTCGAATCCAGTTCTAAAAACCAAACAAAAGAAGCAGCGTCAGTGGCGTGAATGAAAGCATAAACCGTGCAGTACCTGTTTTTCCTGTGAATAATTTTCAAGTCAAAGGTCTCAAACTCCTCCTCTTCAGCTTGCAAGCGATGAAAATGCTCATGAACAGCTATTGCTTCTTCGTCATACGCGGCTGCAGCCTCAGTCTCGTCCCTCTGTGCATCCACATCCTCGTCATCAACTCGCTCTTCTTCAACACTGAGGGAGTCCTCGGTAGAGCCAGGTGACACAGTTGAGTGTGTCGACAAAGCCAGACGGAGCTCGTGATCCTCCCCGCCGCTAATAATCGGAGACGACTCGTTGCTTTTGCGTTTCCAAGAGGCTAGCGTGTCATCTGGACCAACGAAGCCGTTAGCAAATTGATCTACCTCCTCACCCCGAGACGATATTTCTCTTGTTGACCACAAGGACCTCCCGGACTCTGCTCTAGAACCATCAACATCGCCAGCACTTGATGGAGACGGAAAAGAAAAGCCGCCGAACTGAAAGGCACCGAGCTGCTCTTCCGCGAGCTGCGTCTCAACGCTGCCGTTTCTGTCTTGTTGGAAGTCGACCTCCTCACATCCATTTGCCTGTGCTTTGTGACCCCACGGCCTGTTATAATACTGGAGAACAATGTCATGTTCTTCTTCCGCGGAGCTTGGTCCTCCCTGTTTGAAACATTGCTGGCGGCGTTTCTCCACGTCCAAGAAACCGTTGCGTCCTCGAAAGTCACAATCCTGTAGACTTCCGACTTCCCCGTCACTACTTTCGGCAAGGTACGTTTCTCGAATTTCCCGGCTAAAGTCATCCTGGTCATTGGCAGTTGTAGCAGCCTGATCCTTCCTTATCGCATTCCCTTGAACAACAAAACCTTGCCAAGCTGGCTCGGACCGAATCTGCTTCAGCTCTTCTGAATCTAACAGCTGACCATCGTAGTCGTTGGCATGCGGCCTAAAAGAAAGCTCATCAGCTGCACCGCATAAGGCGTCGACATCTGCGTCACCGTTGTTATCTCTGGCGTCTCTTCCTCTGTAGTATTCCTCTCCAGAAAAGTAAGACTCCACATAAGAACGGTCATCGTCATCATATTTCCCATAAGTTGTACCTTGCTGGGCAGGGTTATGTTCTATCCGTGCTCTTTCCTCTTCACTGGGATAATTGATCTCGCTTGCCAGAAATTCTTTCTCGTCGTCAATGGGCCGTCGTGTGTAGCCAGGATCGTCATCGTCTTCGTAGGCGTCAGAATCCCAATACTCATCCGGATACTCAGCAGCCGACCCGTCACCTGCGTTTGCAAACGATGCTGATGGATCTTCCACAATGCCATGGCTAACAGATGGTCTGTTAATAGCAGCACAGCGTTTGGTACCTGCATGTCGTGGTGTTAGAGCTAGATCGTGTGTGGAAATAACTGCGAGCTTACCCGACGACAAAATGTCTTGGCCAACAGGAACGTCAAGAAAAGATCCAAGTGCGAAAGAAGATGCGTCCAGCGGGTCCATCTCTACGTCGGCGTCAGACCCTACTCGACAGTGTGCAACCCATTCGTCTGGTATCTTCTCCACGGATTTCAGCCTCACCGGAGGAAGCCTAGGAAACCCGCTTGATCTCTCAGAAGCATCACCAGAACCTCTTGTTTTATCTTGTCCTCCTTTCTGGTTTGAAGAGTTTGCTGATGATGTCGGCCGCGACGCAAGACAACTTTCTTCCGGTTTACCGTCTTCTGCTGCTTCTTTTCTAGTGGATCGGATGTTAGACACCTGTGGTTCATCGGTACTCTCCGGACCACTCCGTTCGCTCCTGGCCTCCATCGACTTATGACGAGCAGCTTCCTTGTGCTTCTGATCGTTGTGCGTCTGCGAGCTCTTCCTTCCCTGCGAAAACCCCAGCTCGTCTAGCGGATGAACCTTTCCCAGCTGCGGACCCTGCTTTGTCCCGGGCACCCAAAGCAGCTCATCTTTCTGTTCCCAGAATCCTTCGTTCAACGACTCCAAGCTCGACTCTCCCACCACCTTGACCTTTGCAGCATTCTCAGTGCCGGCACTGCCGGTAGCACGACGCTTGTCCTCTGCTACCTCAAGTTCCGGACCAGCTTGCACAGAAGCACTCGTGGTCTGCTCAGTCGACTTTGGCACGCCCATGTAGTACTTAACCAGCGTAGAGTTCCTTTGGCAGTCCGCAACCTCGGAAACCAGCAGCTTTTCATTCTGGACGTCGCTTGGCACGGAAGCATCCTCGGCAAGCTCTTTGGCGGGCACCTTGTTGCTCTGGACGCCAAGATCAACGTCGATGGAGAAGAGGCCATTCGAGACTTCACGGCCGGCGAGCTCCGCCTTAAGAGCAGCTTCCGCCTGTAAGAAGTGGTGCTGCCGGAGATAGTCCAAGATGGAGCCGACCGTGTCGGCCATTGCAGCTCCTTCCCACTCAACTAGACCAATGCCCTATAATCAACAGCCTCATAGCCACGCTACTTCTTGAAGGAGCTCCCCTAACTGGATCGTTTACCCTACCCAGCCGGCTCTTCTTCCCGATCACTTCCCCTCAATCCCAGCCCAGGCGATACTACTCCCGGCAGGAAGCTCTCGCTCCTCCTGGCAGCTGCATTCCTCTTTCACGGCCTTACCTCCGCCGCATTTCCCTGTTCCATTGCCGCCGGAAGATCAAGCCAACCTCGAATCCAGCCCTAGCTCTCCGGAAACTCCCACCACGCCTCTAACCCTAGCGCTCCCTTGCCACGCCGCAAGACGCCATAGCCCGCTCCTCTCTGGTCCTAGGTATTGGGGGGAAACGAAAATAAAAGAATAAAAAGGAAGAAAACGCAAAGATTAAAAAAACTTTTGCTCGTCCCCGGATTCGAACAGCCGCCCTAAAAAAACTTTGGTCGCCCGGAATCGAACCCCCACCTTCTGAAGACGAACTATAAACCTCGTCTTAGAACTAAAACGATGGTCTTCTCGCGATGGCGTCGAGGTCGCGCTGCGTTGGAAAATCCTTGTAGGGGTAGTAGACCTCTTGCGGATCATCGTAGAGCACCACGAAACTCATGAGCTTGTAGTTGATCTCGACGTGGAAGCACTTGCGGGGCTTGATCGCTACGCGCTGCGCAGTGCCTCGCTTCTTAACGTTGCCGCCACCGCGACCCCGGCCTCTACCTCGGCCCCCGCCTCTCATCCCACCTCGGATCCCCCCGGCACCTCGGCCTCTACCTCGGCCCTGCGTGTCACCCGCGGCTCCGCCTTGCCTGGGCTGCCCGAGCACCCAGCTGAGAGCGCTGTCCGCCGCGCTCTTCTCGGCCTCGTCCTGCGTCTCGCACGGCGAGCTCGCGAAGCGCTTGCCCCGGATCACCACCGTCCCCACGAACTTGTTCTTGTAGCCGGCCGAGACGCTGTAGCGAGGAGCCTGGTAGCCGGCTTTCAAGTACATTGCTCCCAGCAGCGTCTTGGGATCTAGCTCGCGAACTTTGCTGTACAAGTAGAGTGCTACATCGTCTTGTATGCTCTGTCAATCCACAAACAAGGTAAGCCACTGGTTCCAGAAAATTTGACAAGTACCACACCATATCTTTCTCGATCAGATCCAGAATCACGTCCCTCTCATCTCTTCCTCCTCCCGTTCCAGCCTAGAAACGAGGCGGGCATAAGTTGACGTGAGAAGTGAGAAAAGAAAGAACTTACTTCTTCATCGTCGCCACCGGGAGGCTCATCGGCATAGCCTCGGTATTGCGTCCTCGCCCAGCCGCCCCGACCCCAATTCTCACGCCTAGACGAAGAATGCCACCCATTCTCCGACGCAAATCCACAGATCCCACGCTCCTGCTGCTGCCTGATTAGCGGCGCACTGCCGATATCATCGCTCCATCCATAGCGCTCCTCCAATCCACAACAGCTGCCGGGCGAATTCGTGCTCGCATTTCCACTAGCATTCCACCAATCTAGCCCGGCGCGAGCTCCAAGAACACACCGGCGTCCGCGAAATCGAGAGAGCCTCAGCATTGCATTGCCTACGCTACCTGGCCTCGCCTAGGCGATCTCCATCCTCGCCACAAACCCTAATATCTCCCAGGATGCAAAAACCCCAGGTGAGAGAACCCTAGGCCATTCGATCAAGAACAGTATCAATGGCAGCCGTTGGATCAAGAACAGTTTAAACAATCCCCACTCTCTCTCTCACGGCCCATACCAGAACCTCGACAGTTTTCTCAACAGTCGATCGTCCTTCTTGCCGATCAATGCGTCCAATTTGGCCTCGCAGCGATTCACCGCGCTGGCGATGCTCCTCTCGTCCTCGCGCAGCGCATCAGCGATGATGTTCTTGAGGCTGGCAAGCTCCTCCGATCGCTTGCGCGCGTACCACTGCTCCATCTCCTCGCGGCACATAAGCCCAGCAATCTCCGTGGCGCCGCCCTTGGGCAGCTTTAGCAGATTGTTGAGCCCCTCCACCTCGATCCGCAAGCTTTCCTTGAGCTCCAGCAGCCGGAGCAATCGCTTGGAGGCCGCCTCCGGGTCGAATTCCTTGTTGCTCTTGTTGTGCGGGGTCTTTTTCGCGAGCTTTCCGGGCTTTCGCAAAACCTTGGCCGACGCTGGTGGAGGAGGAAAAAAAGCTAAGAGTTTCACCCGCGGGCGAAGCAAATTACCGGCCTCCAGGAGCGCGCTCGAGTGGAAGCTCCGCCCGCAATGCCTGTGAAAAGCCGCCATAGCCATGAAGAACAACAAGAAAGACGGAAGTTAGGTTAAAGTGAGCCTATTTTATGAATTAGGCTCAAAACAAATGCCCAAGCATGGCATTTTTGAAACTAAACACCAAATACCCATCATAGGCATCTGCTGCAAAGTAAGTTAATCAATCAAATACCATGACTGATAAGGAAATCTGCAATTGTTATCTGCCAATGCGCTTTCAATCGTTAAAGTGTAAGACGATTTAGGTAAATAGGTGCAACATAATATCCAAAAAAGTCATGTCTTGCAACAAACAATACTTGGAAGAAAATGCCCAACGCCGGCATTTTCTACAAAGTCACCAAATCAATCAAATGCCACGACTGGGACGGGGTATCTGTCAATGCAATCGCTCCAGGCCCCGGGTCCGCGCGGCTCCACGTCCCGGAGCGCGACCCACACCGCGCTGTTACACTTGAATCCCGACCCAAACGCGATCTGCCACACGCGGTGGCCGCGCCGCACGCGCCCCTTGGCCTCGGCGTACCCGAGCTCGTACCACAGCGAGCTGCTGGACGTGTTCCCGAACCGATGCAGCGTCATGCGCGACGGCTCCAGGTGCCTGGCCGAGAGCCCGAGGTTGTGCTGGATCGCGTCCAGAACCGCGCGGCCGCCGGCGTGGATGCAAAAGTGCTCCACCGCCAGCTTGAAGTCGGGGATGTATGGCTTGATCTTGCGATTGCCCAAGAGCTTGCGCGCGACGAGGGTGGCGAAGAAGCACAGCTGCTCGGACACGGGCAGGATGAGCGGACCCAGCGTCGTGATGTTGGTCTTGAGCGCGTCGCCGGCCTGGGCCATGAGATCCTTGGAGAGATTGACGCCGATCGTCCCGGAGGAATCCTCGTCCTGGAACACGCACTGGTAGCTCTCGTCGCTGGCGCCCTTGTGCGTTCTCACCGCGTGGACGAGCTCGTACTTGGGCTTGATCCTCCGCGAGGAGGTGGCGGAGGCGGCGGTGGCGAGGAGGAGCGCGGCGCCGCCCATCCGGAAGATGCAATTGGGCAGGAGCTTGGCGCGATCGTTGCCGTGGTACCAGTTGAGCGTGCAGCTCTCGGTGCTCACCACCATGGCCAGCGTCTCCGGGTGGACCTGGAGGAGATCCCGCGCCAGCGCCACCGCGATCACGCCCGCGCTGCAACCCATCCCGCCCAGGTTGTAGCTCTGGATGTTGCCGCGCATCCCAAACCGGCGCACGATCGCGGCGGACAGCGATGGCGTCGGCACGAACAGGCTGCAATTCACGATCAGGATGCCCACCTCCTTGGCCTTGATCTGCGTCTTGTCCAGCAGCTCCTCCACCGCGGAGAACATCACCATCTCCGTCTCCTCGCGCGCCAGCGCCATGCTCCCGCGCGGCTCCGCCATGAACACCACCGGCGGGAGGTACGTCTCGTCGCCCAGCCCGGATCGATCCACGATCTTGCGCTGGAAGTCGATGCTCTCCTGGGTGAATCGCCCCGTGCTGCGCGACGCCTGGATGAATCGATCCCTGGAGCACTTGAGCTCATCGGGGGGCTTGTAGCAGGCGAAGTCGATGAGATAGACGGGCGTGGGGCGGGAGAAGGCGTAGAGCGTGGCGGCGAACACCATCGCCGCGGTGCACGCCAGGAGATTGGCGAGGTGGTAGTGGAGCGCCTCGCACAGCCGGTGGAGATCGTGGCGGCCCAGGCCCAGCGACGCGATGGCCACGAACAGGACTGGCAGCGCCACGAACCACACGAAATGCCGGCTCGCATCCCAGTAGCCGAGCTTCACGTACTTGAGCTTCACTGACGTGAGCCACGAGATCTGCTTCTTCTTCTCGCGCTCCTCCTTGTGAAGATTGAGATCGTGCTGATCCATTGCCGTGCCCATCTCGATTCGCGGATCGCTCCTAAAACAGGGGAGCAACCATCATCGCCGCAATCAAACAGCCCTAAATCTCTGCAAACACGTTGAGCACGGCAATGGAATTTGTTCTTGACAAGAGCATGAATGCCGGCCTCCACCAAACATTTTCTCCCATGAATGCGGATCAGACAAGCACGATGAGCCCTAAATTCTAAAGAATATACTTGTCGTATTGCCACGGAAAGAATATGCTACACGCCGTACAACGGCATCCCCATTTTTACGAAGAAGTACACTAGAGCCCCCGTGAACATGTAGCTATCCACACGGTCGAGAATTCCACCTGTGTAGGCATAGCGATCAGCAAAAAAAAAAAGGTCACTAGCCTATAAGATTCTTACCATGGCCTGGAATGAGCCTTCCGGAATCTTTCACGCCAGCGTCGCGTTTGATCATCGACTCTGTGAGATCACCGAAAAGAGATGCCATGAAGACGAGCACCGCCAACACTACTCCGCTGCAGACGCACACCAAAAGAAGAAAAACAAGTTTAGAGAACTTTTAAACGCGAAGCTTACTTGAGAATCGATGATGGCCATTGTAGCAACTTCGAGAGCAAGATGGTGACTGCAATCGCCGAAGTCAAGCCAACAGCGGCTCCCTCGAACGTCTTCTTGGGACTCACGTCACTCAGCGGAGTTCTTCCGAGAAGCTGTTCATGGAAGAATCACGATCCGAAACAATAAAAGCGATTCTAACGAAACTTCCAACCTTGCCACCAAGAAAGGCTCCCGTATCAGCAGCAATAACGGCGCAGAACGACACGAAAGTTGCAATGAGACCAACTGTCCAGTGCGCTCGGCCACCGAGTAGAACCGGCCAGCAAACCGCGAGCTCTGCACTAACACCGGATAGCTAAGACGAGAAAACGCAAAGAAGAAAGAAAACGTGAACCTACTTGTTTGAAGAGCAGGGACTGCCAAAGCTCGTAGCTTCACCCAGAAGCTCGGCAAGTAACCACAGTAGAAAATTCCAAAGAATCCACTGCTGAGCTGAGAGAAGCGTGGACTCCCCCGTTGGAGTAGTAGTGTGGTTGCCAGAAAGAACGCTGCGGTGGTCACGGACACTCCCATGCGTCCCCCAAAGTATCTATGAGATGCACACGGTTCCACCTGTGAATTACATATATAAAACTGATGCTTACGATCGCTCAGCTTATAGACAATCTAAATCCGTAAGAAGGATTCAAAGAACACGAAAGAAGCTTGCAAGTGAGAAAACTTACAGTGTCATCAGAGGCATTGCTGCGCAGAAGGCCGAGCACATATGGATCACGAACATTGGTGGCGGCGCTGTTCCTTGGCTTATGCCTTTGCTTCTCACGAGCTCGAAGTATTCCCTCGTCCCGAGCAGTATAGCGCATGACACCGCAGAAGCGAAGAGCCAGCCACCCGCGACAACCGGCGCGATCACTCCGAAGCCTATGGACAAGCCGAAGACGATCCGGTCTTTGAGCTGCTTGCGCTTCTCTCGTCTCTGTTCCTCGAGGTTCTAGAAACAAAGCACGTTTACTGATCAATCAAAGTATGAACTAGAGAATGAAAATGTTCCTGATACTTCGAATGCGGTAAGAAAGAGGCAAGAAAAAATCAAGCAACAATCACTGGCGTTGAATCCACTATGCCAACTTATCGAGAATTCTCACACTATCAACATCTCATCTATACCGTAGTCCTTGATTCTCTGATGCATAAAAAAACGAGGAAAAATAAAAGGAATTCTCACCTCGGAGGGAACTTCACCCTCGCGAGCGTCCGTCTTGAAAGCTCTGAACGCCACAGCCACGGCCAAATTCCTCCTGGAGTGCCGAGAAGATGGACAAGACCACAAATGGCCATACCGCGGATTGGAGGAGCTCAAAGGGAAGGAATGCAAGGGAGCCAGAGCAAGAGCAAGAGGAGGAGGCGCCAATGGGGCGGAATAGTGCAGCCATGGCGCCGTAGCGATCAAACAGCTACTCATTCTCAAGAATCCTGCCACGAGCCCAACACCATCTCCTTACTTTTAGGGTTCATAGGTCTCGCGTAAGATTATAAAAGAAAGAGCTCGTGTTCTATACAGGATCGCCCATAAGTTTTATAGGATTTCTACAAGGAATCGTCCAGCGGGAAGCGCTTCCGGATGGGCCGCGACGGTGGAAGCAATCCTCGCCGAGCCTGGCGCTTGAGATAATGCCGTCGCGCAGCGATCATCTCCTTGTGGGTTGGCCCCTGCGCAAGTAGCAAAGAATCAATCATCCAAGGACGAAGAAGAAGAAGAAAGAAATTGGAAGAATTTACCTTTGGAAGATCCATGATCTCCTCTGGGACGTGAGGCGTTCCTCCCTCCTGTCCTTCCTGCGTAGAACAAACCATCCAATCCAATCCAATCCAGCAAGGGAGTGAAAACTCCATAGCTATACCTCCTGGGTGTCAATGGGGCCGCCAGGGAAGAGCTCGTATCGCTTGGCGAATCCCCGGCGCGCCACTCTGGAGAATGTGGGCACGAACCTGGGCGCGCTGGGATCGGTGGTGAGGTCGGACAGGTCGGAGAGGCCGCTGATATCATTGAAATCGGGCTCCGGGGATGGAGTCGGATTGGAATTGGAATACGTGCACCTCACCGCCACCGCGCTCGACGATGATCTCGATCGATCCGCCCGAATGCCAATGCCTGGGCGCGCCGGGATCTGGGTGAGAATCCCCGCTACACAGGGGAGGAGGCTCACCATAGCCAAAAACCCTGGGAAAATATCTGTGCTCTAAATTTTAGGGTTCTAAAAAATTAAAGGTAGCAACAAGAATTTACAAAGTAAAAACGAACTCTTCCGGCAAAAAATTCACAAGAAAAGAAAACGTATACGACCTCTCTACGGTTCCATTGTCACGCGACTCTAGCTTCTCTGCGATTTTTTGCCGATCTTCTTCTTTTTCTCTCCATTCACGCTGGGCGTGGTGAGCTTGTTCTTGTTGCCCACGACGAGCCTCGATCTCCTGAGCTCGCGAGCGGCTCGAAAGTTCTCGGATTCCTGTGCCTTGAATCTCCGGATGTAATCGTCGTTGGCTGGAGGCATCGAGCAGGGAGAAGTTTGCGAGTTCGACGTTTCCGTGCGCTTCAGAAACTCGAGCTGCTCGGCCTCGGCGATGCAAGTCACGGCACTCTTGCACAGGAGCTGCGCTCCCTCTGGTACTCTCGGCTTAAATCTCTGCAGCTTCGCGTACTCTCGCAAGAGATGGAGCATGTAGTCGTACACCCGATCCATGCTCAAGTCCTTCCTCAGAAACTCCTGTGCGTGGCTCCCAATCGCCTCGGCCTGTATGTCAAATCGATCAAACTCTAGAAACTCTCAACCGGATTTTTCGAAGTGGAGAGACTGACCTCCTTGGGATGACTGTTACCCCACTTGACCGCGTGATCGATCGACGAGCACATGTCCTGACGATCAATCGGCCAGTAGTGGTGGAGTGGAAGCAGCCCTCGCATGAAAAAGTCGTGGTAATCGGGCTGGACGATCAGGGTGGTGGATCCGCAAGCCATGATGTACTTGAAGCTCACGGACCACGCGTGACCCTCTGCGTAGAGCTTGTACCTGGGACCACAGAGACAGAACCCCACTCAGTACTTCCACTAGAAGGAATCACTTCTTCCATAACTCTCGACAAAGCAAACTTCAAAGGAAGAGCTTCTTCCATAGCCATAACTGTGGAGAAAGCTCTCTAGAAAACTTCGAAAGCAAGAGCTTCCTCCATAGCCATAGCTTCGGAGAATGCTCGAAATCCTATGCAGTACCTGTGACGGCATTGATCCGAGAGCTTGGAGTTTTTGAATCCCTGCTGCGACTCGGCGATCCAATTCTACCAGGGTGAACGAATGAAGAACATTTGAGCACCAAGCGCAATTGATGCAAACCTGGACGTATATGTCAGCGCCAAAGTCTCGCTTGTCGGTTTTGTTGCAGGCCAGCAGATCTGTCCTAACCTGCGCGCCAACGTGTGGATTCCCCTTCCAATGCGCGCGCGGCCGCCGATTCTCCCAGCGCGTCTCCTCCGAGCCATGGAAGATGGACGAAGCTTCCTCCCCCCACGCCCCAATGCGCACCTCCGCCCTAGAAAACCAAGCGAGAGATAAAGCTCGAGAGCTCGACAGATCGATGGAAGAAATCTTCGAGAGAGAAACTTACCACCCCCAAAAGGACCAATCTGGGAATGCGATGTCGACGGTGTCGCGCGAGCCACAGTAGGCGAGGAGTGGCGGCGGCGCGCGGGATTTGTAGCGGCTGCGGCGGAAGTGTGGGCGATCCATGCAGTTAAACATGAACTCCACGTCGGGGACGGCGCCGGCGGGGAATCGCTCGAGCAGCAGCAGCAGACCCCAGAGCGTGAACATCGCGCGGCTCTGGACGCATTGGTAGTAGAGCTCGGCGTAGAGCTGGCCGCCGATGATCGCCACGCGGAAGGCGGCGAACTCGCGGGCCTCCTCCAGCGCCGCCCTGGAGATCCCGCCGCTCGCCCTCCACGGCGCCAGGTCGTGGTGGATCCACTGGAAGAAGTCCGGGCACGACTGCTGCGACGAGGAGTTTGCCGCGGCGGGATTGGCGATCGCGGTCCATGGCGGCGCCGCGCACGAGAGGTAGGAGCATTCGAAGATCTTGTGCGCTCGGCTCCAGGAGATTTGGCTCTTCCGGGCGGGGGGGAAATGGTGCCATGGAGTCGGGAGGAGATTGTCGCCGGCGAGAGTCCTGGTGTAGAAGATCACGGACTGCGACGAGAGAGAGCACCATGAATCATTTCAGCAAAAGGAAGAGCCACCACTTACGCTGTAGCTTGAAATGAGATACAAGGTAGGAACGAGGCAGAGCAGCAGAGAGAGTGGAATCACGGCACTGATCAGGTGCCTACCTGTGAATTTCTTTGCTCCTCTTGTTTTCATGGTTACTCTCTGGTAGGGCATTTGGAATTCCTTGTGGAAGAGCTCCAGAAAAGGTCTTGGATTTAAAACCAAAGTAACCAAAGTTAAAGTTAAGATTAAAGTTAAAGTTAACTTAGACGTAAAAAATAAACCATAAAAGTTACTATTTACAAAAATCCTACCATAAAAAATAAAACAGAAAATCTGAAGATATTTAAATTAGATATACTATGCATTATAAATCACCTAAATCTTCTTAAATATATAGTTTATTATTCTTATATAAATTATATAAAAAAATTTATTATTTTATGTTACATTTTAGACTAATATTTCTTTTTATATTTATTAGCTTCTTTTGAAAATGTTACACTTTGTGCAAATGAGGAAAATTACATTAATTGTTGTGGATTAGAGTGACATTTTTGGTGAAAGTTCTAGAAAACTTATTTGTACAAATTTTAAAATAATTTATAATTTGAAAATTTTCTTTTTCATTATATATAATAAAAGACTTTATTCAATTTGAATTATAAGATTCACTTTTATTTAATATCACACATCCTTTCAATCAAATATATATAAATACTAAATGCACTTTGAATAGTTTATTTTAGTCATTAGAAAATTATTAAAATTATTTTTTAATTGTAATAATTATATTATTCCATTAAAGAAAATAGTAACTTCTAAGCACCACTTTCAATTATTTAAATTATGGAAATGCTATAGATTTAGTCATGCAATTTTTTATATTCACAATAGTATTGTAAATCATTTTTTAAAATGAGATTCAAATCCTTTAAAAGATTTAAATTTAATGTTTATTTTATAGATGAATTTAAGCTAATTTTACATATTTTTAAATTAAGGTTTCTAACATTTTTAATTTTTAATTTTCTTCTATATTATAATCATTTTCATACATTTAATAGTGAATTCTTGATATTTATCATATACCAAAAGATTATGAAACATGAGATATTACAAAGAATAATTTTATCATCATAACAAAATAATTACAATATTGTTATATATTTTTCATATAAAATATATTTAACATAATAATGGGGGACAATACGTGCGTGTTACCTACTAACTAAAGGTTATAATTTGGGGTTAACTTATTAGAGTTATAAATTTTGCTATTTATTGTAATTTCTTTTAATTTGTCATAGTTTTTAATAATATAATAGTATCATAAATTAAATTTAAAAAAATGTTATTTATAAAACAATCATAAATCATAATCTATAATTTTAATAAAGTATTATGCCTGTGTGAGGGCCAAGTGTACGGCTACAATGTCGTATACTAATATTAGCGTAGTGGATTTTGGTAGCCGTCGGATTGGTTTCAATCCGGACCACTCGCTCCTGTATATAAGCTAGGGTTTTTGGGTTAATTGATATGCACATTTCTGTATTCCCTTTCCATATTCCATGCACTCACATTAGTGGAGATGAGGGGCACCTTTGATTGTCCCTGGGGAGTGCTTGGATTTGGGATTTTGGTTTAGATCTAGCTTTTGCATTGTCTAGATCTAGCTTTTTCCATTTCCTTTCTTTTGTTCTTTCCTTTCAGGATTTTGGTTTAGATCTAGCTTTTTGCATTGTCTAGATCTACCATTTCTTTCTAGCTTTTTGTCATTTCTCTTCTTTTGCTCTTTCTTTCTCATTCATTTTCATGGCCGATCCGCAATCTCCTCCTTTGACTCTAGAGCAGCAGTTGGTTCAATTGCTTGATGCTATGCGCCTGCAATTGAACAACCAAACTCAGTTGATGGCGGCGTTTATGGCACATGGTACAACTCCTCCTGCTTTTGGTGCCAATCCTCGCGTTCGGCCGGAGTTCTTTCGTGGGAATCCTGGGGATGATGTGTACCATTGGTTCGATCACTTCACCGTGATTGCCACATATCATTCTTGGGATGATGCTCGGCGTTTGCGTGAGTTCCCCACATGTCTTCAAGGGACGGCATTGCAGTGGTACAATGGATTGAGCGCAGCTACTCGTGGCGATTGGAGTGTTCTTCCGGACGTCTTCAAACGCACCTTCGGACACGCCGACGATTGTGATGATGCCTTCCAACAATTGCATCGTCTTCGCCAAGGGCCATATGAGTCGGTGATGCAATTTGGCGTTCGTTTCCGAAGTCTTTTGCTTCGTGCGGAGCCAAATATGTCGGAGCGGATCAAGCTAGGAATGCTGTGGCCAGCACTTCGTCAAGATCTTGTCGGACTTGTGCATGCACTTGCTCCTGCCACTCTTGACGATGCTCTTCGCTTGGCACAACGTTATGAGACGTCGCCTCTTCCACTTCTTGCTACACGTCCTTCAGCTCCACTTCCTATGAGTGATGGTCCTGTTCCCATGGAGGTTGATGCTGCTGCTACTCGAGTCCAAGGACAAGGGCGAGGACGTGGTCGTGGCCGTGACATTCGTTGTTGGGCGTGTGATGAAGTTGGTCATACTTATCGGCGTTGTCGGCGCTTTCCGGATTGGCGACCTCCATTTCCTGGGTGGAGACCTTGGCGTCAGCAACGTCCCGTTGGTGCTGCTGCGGTGGAAGGTTTGGATACCGAGGTGCATTCGGGAAACGAGGAGTCGCGCGAGTAATGGAGGGACCTTGCGCGAATAAGTTAGTGACCCCTCCATCTTTCTTTCGGGAGTATCATCAAGGGGTTCACTCGGCACCGGTTCATCCAGTGTTTACTTTCCAAGCTCGTTTTTATAACAAGAGGTCTCCTATTCTTCTCTCCGTGTTGGTTGATACAGGTTCGAGTTTATCTTCTATTGCTCGACCTGTTGCCACACGTTGTCGTCTACACTTGCGTCGTGCGGCAGATCCAGTTTTCATTCTTTATGGCAACGGCCGTACACATGCATGTGCACGAGATGAGGCGGACCTAGTTGTGCGTGTGGGCGATCTCGAGCTTGAGTTGCAGTCATTGCGGGTGGTGCCGAGTCAAGCTTTTGACCTCATTCTTGGTATGGATTGGTTGCAGCACAATCATGCCAAGTGTGACTTTGAGGCTTTTCCCCCTTGTCTCATACTTCCTTATGTTTCATCCATTCCTCTCACTTCTGTACCTCTTCGTCCCTCTACTTCTACCTCTGCTTCCATTACTTTTGTTCCCCCATTATTTCCTCTTGTGTTTCCATTTTGTTCTGCTCTTCCCTTTTCCGATCCCTCCGATGATCTTTGTGTTGCAGTTGTTGATCAGCTCATGAAGGAGTATTCTGATCTCTTTGAATTTGACCTATCGTCTGGGGCCAAGATTGCCACACGTCATCCCATTCCAACCGGGGATGCTCGTCCAATCAAGGTTCCTGTTCGTCGTCGGTCACCCAAGGAGATCAAGATTTTACGTGCAAACGTCAAGGAGATGTTGGAGAAGGGTGTTATTCGGAAGTCGCGGAGTCCTTGGGCATGTGAACCTCATCTTGTGACGAAGCCTGATGGGAGTATTTGTTTCTGCATCGACTATCGTCCGTTAAATGAAGTGACGATCCTGGACGTGTACCCTCTTCCTCACACTGCTGATCTCTTGGATCGTCTGGGGCGAAGTCGTTGGTTCACCAAGCTAGATCTTGCTTCTGGGTATTGGCAAGTACCGATGGCTGAAGACGATATTCCTAAGACTGCTTTTCGTACACCATTTGGTTTTTACGAGTTTTTGGTGATGCCGTTTGGTTTGAACAATGCTCCAGCAACTTTTCAGCGAATGATGGACGAGGTTCTTTGCGATATGCCAGAGGTGACGACTGACTTCATTGATGATGTCTTGATCCACTCGGAGGGGACGTGGGAGGAGCATGTTCGTGATGTTTGTAAAGTGTTGGATCGGCTACGCGACGTTGGTTTAAAGCTGAAGCGGTCGAAGTGCGTGTTTGGGTCCAAGGACACAACTTATCTTGGGTACCGTATTTCTCATGAGGGTTTGCAAGTTGATCCTGACAAACTTGTGGCTGTTCTAAAGTTCCCTACTCCGAAGTGTGTGAATGATGTGCAGCGCTTTTTGGGTAAGGTGCAGTATCTCGGTCGTTTTGTGGATCATCTTTCCGATCGCACTTTACCATTGCGAGCGTTGCTGAAGTCATCAACATCATCTTTCATCTGGTCTCCCGATTGTGAGCGGGCGTTCGTGAATCTCAAAGAGCTATTGACGACTCCTCCGGTTTTGGCATATCCTGACTACACTCGACCTTTTATTTTGCGCGTGGATGCTTCTGACATTGGTCTTGGAGGTGTGTTGATGCAAGAGAGCTCGAGTGTGCCTGGTCAGCGCCATCCCATTGCATACATAAGCCGTACATTACAACCAGCGGAGATGAACTACTCCACGACGGAGAAGGAGTGTTTAGCAGCAGTCTGGGGTTTCGAGAAACTTCATGCCTATCTACATGGTTCTCGGACGTTACTTGAAGGTGACCATGCTGCTGTTACTTCATTATTGAAGCGGAAGAACCTGGTTGGTCGTACGGCTCGATGGGCTTTGAAGCTTCAGATATATGATTTCGATGTTGTTCATCGCCCAGGGAGTTCTATGGCTGATGCTGATGCCCTTTCTCGAGCTCCTCTTCCTTCTCCACTCACTTCTCATGTTTCTGATGAACCTGTTGTTCCAGCATCTGTGGATTTTCTAGATGAGGATTCTGTGCCGTCGGCGGTTGCTGTCCTTGACGTCCAGTGTCCACAGGGCGTAGAGCAAGATCTACCTTCTCTGGATGAGGTTCGCGAGGCTCAAAAGATTGAGCCGTGGATTCGAAGGCTTCGAGATGGGTTTGAGAATCCTGCATCACTTGCTGATGACTTGCCTTTTCGGCATTTACATTCTCAATATCGCCTTGAAGATGGCCTTCTTTATTTTGTGGGGACGGATCCTGATGCTCATTTACGGCTGGTGGTGCCTTCGGTGTTTATTCCGCGGTTTCTCCATGCCTACCATGATTCTCCTATTCTAGGTGGGCATATGGGACACCGTCGTGTCACCGAGAAGTTGCGCAGATCTTTATATTGGCCAGAGATGCGACGTGATATTATCCGGTATGTGCGTAGCTGCATTTGGTGCCAAGCTCGTAATACTCCCCCTTGTGCTGCGGAAGGACGGTTGGAGTCAATTGCAGTTTCTCGTCCGTTTGAGTTGGTGGCGTTTGATCTTATGGGACCTTTTCCGCGATCGACTGCTGGCAATGAGTATGTTATTATTGCTTCTGACTACTTGACTCGTTAGGTGGAAGTTGGTGCTCTTGCTAGTGCCTTTGCAACTGCTGTTAGATACTTCCTCCTCAATCGAGTGGTGTTCCAGCATTCTTGTCCAGAACGGATTCTTTCGGATAATGGTCCTGCATTTATGGCTGAGGTATTTCATGTTTTGACATCTCGGTTGGGGATACGCCACACTTTTACGAGTGCTTATCATCCACAATCAGACGGTCTGGTGGAACGGCTCGTTCGGACATTCAAAGGGATGATTGCGAAGTATGTGAACTTTCAACATTCGGATTGGGATGGTTATTTGCCGTCTCTTCGGTATGCTTATGTCACAGGGGTGCAGAGTTCTGTTGGTGCTTCACCATATAAACTTCTATATGGTCATGATCCAATATTACCAACAGAGCTAGGTTTACCTTCGCGATTGCCACGAGCTCCTGATGCTAGGTCATGGGATCAATATTTGACAAGCATTCTTCCACTTGTTCGAGCAGAGTCTGCTGAACACTTAGGCCGCGTACAAGTGGGACAACAACGGCGCTACAATTCCCATCATCGTCCACCAGCGGAGTACAAAGTGGATGATTTGGTGTTAGTCCGTTTTCCCCATCTTACGGTACGTGGTTTATCTAAGGGGCTCCTTGCGCAGTGGAAAGGACCGTATCGGGTGTTGCGGCAAGTTGGACCACAAGTTTATGAGGTTCGGCATGACGTTCAACAGGCTGATCCTCCGGAGATTGTGCATGTGCAGCGGTTAAAACGCTTCATACAGAGGGATCAGGAGCAGTTAATACCGTCTACAGATCCACCGATGCCTCCTCCTGACGTTCCTCCAGATCCCGGCCCATCTACAAGAGAACCCTAACGGCCTTCCATTATTCTGAGAGGAGGGGATGATGTGAGGGCCAAGTGTACGGCTACGATGCCGTATACTAATATTAGCGTAGTGGATTTTGGTAGCCGTCGGATTGGTTTCAATCCGGACCACTCGCTCCTGTATATAAGCTAGGGTTTTTGGGTTAATTGATATGCACATTTCTGTATTCCCTTTCCATATTCCATGCACTCACACCTGCTATTAGAATTTATATTTTGATCTTTTGGAAATTAGTTAATAAAGGAGTTGAAGATTGATTAGTGACATGTACCATGTAATAAACTAAACTTAAAATTACAAAATTTAAAACTTATACAATTTTTGAATGTTATACTTTGATTTATTTTAAATAATTTCAATGAAATTTCTTTCCCATTTATTTCTAATAACCCTAAATAAATGATAAATAAACTTTTGTGTAAAAGCCTTTTAAATAATATATATTTTGTCTTTGAGTATTTTTATTGATTAATATTTATATGATTGAAAGTTTTTAAAACAAATATAAACTAATGTGACATTTTACTTATATCTATATACAAGTCTAACTAATGATAATATTATTACTATTATTTTTATATAGGAAAAATTATTGCCCTCTAGCTAACGTCATTTTTCTTAAGTTCACCCAACAGAGGATGAATGCTTTAATTTTTAATATAGATGATAAAAATTTACATATTTTCTATTTCTATAAACTCATTTTAATAACTCATAAGTAATGTTTTTAAAAATAATGATTGTACTGTGAACATGATAATTAATGAAAGTAATTTGTAATTTATTACAATAATAATTTAGTTAGTTTTCAATTTGACAACCTTTTTTTTATTTTTATTTTAAAAAAATATTATGTTTATTATTCAGCACATTACCTTCTTATTTTTAAAATTAAATATTTAAATATTTAATTGTTTCGATATTACTCAATTTTGGAAGTGCTAATTTGTAAAAAGATTATAACAATATAATGATGTTAGATTTGCATTATTATCACACCATCAACAATAAAGAATTTCCATGTATATGATGGAAATAATTATTATTTCCAGTTTTTTTAACTGGAACTAAATTATTTATAGTTTAAAATTTGATGTTCTAATTATAATTGAATTTTAAGAAATTTCAAACAAAAACATCAAAGTACCATTTGGTGCAAAAGGCAATGCCTAGAGCTCCAAACTTAGATGGAGCAGCATTGATAGAGTGTGGGGCATAGAACATGGCCAAGCATAGGGAAGATGAGAAAAAAGTAGAGCTATGTCCCAGTTGATGATTGAGATGACACAAAAGAGCTTAGGGAGCTGGGAGAGGTGGAGCAGTCATCAACTTCTTATTAAAAAAATGAAGAGCAGATTAATGGACAACAATGCCCAGAGGGAAAGGATCAAGTTAGGAGTGTGATACGCCCAAAACCAATGCCAAACACGAAGCCCCTATGGCAAATGGGCAGTTCATGGAGCACCAAGCTAAATCATGGCATTTTTCCCTTCTGCCAGTGAAGCATAGAATCCAAGGGTTTTGGGGAAGGCAAACGAAGCTTGCAAACACCGAAGTGGGTTCATATCTCAAGGTTGAATTTTATCAAACACCCGGAACAAGTTGGAGCAAGGAGCAAGGCCTGGAGCTTGGAGCTCGGAGCTTGAATGGAGCTAGGATCATGAAAGCTTGGAACATGGATGGAGGCGTGGAGTGTAGAGCACGGAGCTTAGATGAAAAGTGACCTGAAGATGATGACCATCTCTAACATTATTTCTATTGAATTACATGTTACCCTAAAATATTTAGGAAAGAGTTTGCAATGCTGAATTTCCAAGAAGAAATTGTGAGCGAGCTGGTCCAGGAGAACGCCCTGGCTGTCGTCGCCGCGGGCCTCGGTCTCCCATCCATCCTCGCCGCTCTCGTTCGCTTGCATTCCTCCTCCAGTGGCGTCCTCTTCCTCCTGTCGGTGCCGGATGACCTACGCAGAGGTCTGCGCGACGAGCTCCAGGTGAGAAAATCCTCCCTTGCTCTTCTCGAGCCCCGGCAATAATCTCGCCGCAGGCGCAAGACATTGGAGCGGAGCAGCCTGTGGAGATCAACACGCAGTTCACGGCGGCGGAGAGGGCGGAGATGTATTCCAAGGGCGGCGCCTTCCTTGTCACGTCTAGGATCCTTGTGGTGGACATGCTCAACGAGAGAGTCCCCTTCCACAAGGTAGCGGGGATTATTGTGAATAATTCGCACAGAATGACCGAGACGTGTGCAGAGGCTTTCATCGTCAGGCTCTACCGATCCAAGAACAAGGCAGGCTACGTGAGAGGCATCTCGGACCAAGCTCGAGGCCTCACTTCCGGATTCATGAAGATGGAGAGGGTGATGAAGAGTTTGCTGGTTAAGAAGCTCAATCTCTGGCCTCGATTCCACCTCTCCATCGCCACCGCGCTGGAGGAGAGCCCTCCCGACGTGGTGGACATTCGAGTTCCTCTCACCCCCAGCATGCTCGCTATACAAAACGCCATCCTCGAAGTGATGGACGCTTGCTTGAAGGAGCTGAGGAAGACCAACAAGGTGGACGTGGAGGATCTCACCGTGGAGAATGGCCTCTTCAAGTCGTTCGACGAGATCGTTCGCATGCAGCTGGATCCCATTTGGCATACCATTGGAAGAAAGACGAAGCGGCTCGTTGCCGACCTGAAGACGCTGAGGAAGCTTGCGGAGTATCTCATACGCTACGATGCGGTCACCTTTCTCAAGTACTTGGACACGGTGCGAGCCTCGGAGGGTGTCAAGTCGGTCTGGGTTTTTGCGGGGCCTGCTCACCGGATCTTTGAGCTGGCGAAACGGAGAGTTTATCAGATTGTGAGGACGGATGGAGAACAGGTGGAATCTTTAGTCAAGCAAGCAAGCCCAGCTGTGAGCAAAGGAAAAGCTCAGAGCAAGAACAAGAGGAGAAGAGAACAAGAGGAAGAGGAGGCAGACGCCAAAGTTTCTGGAAAGGGAGTGGAATTGGAAGTTGTTGCAGAAGAAATGCCCAAGTGGAAAGTCTATAAGGTCAGTTTTTACATTTTCCGGGTAATGTCTCGTAACACCTCGCTTGCATGCAGGAAATTTTAGAGGAAATACAGCAAGAGATACAGAGCCGCCCTGCAGACTTGCCAGAAGATTCCTGGAAAAGTGAAGCTCGTGTTCTGGTGGCTTGCAAGGATGAGCGCACTGCCTGGCAGCTTCAACGTTTTATTTTGAAAGGACCGGAAGAGGTATAGAGCCAGCAGCGCTTTAAAGCCACTGACTTTTAGCTCGCTTGCAGCTTATGCGAGAGGAGTGGAATAATTATTTACTGGCTAAGGCGGAACTTCACGGTATGACCCTGCGAGACAAAAAGAAAAGCCGCTCAAAACCTCAAGCTCAACCTCAGAGTGCTCATGGCCTCGTCGAGCAGACTGCTCTTCTTGCTGCATGCGCTGAAGTCGTAGCACTGAATAAAATGGAGGAGTCCAGCGAGGCCGGTACTTCGGGCAAACGTTGCAAAGGAAAGGGGAAAAGAAAGAAAAGGCCCGACAACACAGAGCAGCAAGTTTCGGAAGAGCCTGTGATTCCTTTGCAAAACACTGGAGCAACAGACATGTCTTTGGAAAACGTCGGTGCATCATCGCTTGTTCCTCCAGTTCAGTATTATGCTTTGGAAAGTGACCAGTACCGGATACTGGACACTACAGGGCCTTCTTACGTGATTGTCTACGATCCAGACATGAAGTTTGTCAGGGAAATGGAGGTTTTCAAGGCCAAACATCCACAGAGACGTCTGAAAGTATATTTTCTGTTCTACGAGGAGTCCACTGAAGGAAAGAAGTTTGAGGCAAGCATCCAACGTGAAACAACGGCCTTTGAAACGTTAATCAGGCAAAAGGCATCGATGATCATTCCTGTTGATCAGGTGAGTATTCAGATTATTGGCTATGCCTTCGTTTACTCATGGGTGGGTGTTCTTCAGACATTGGATGTGCCAAGTCCTCAAGCACCTAGTTCAGTCTCTTCCAGGAAAGCCGGAGGAAGGAAAAATATGGAAAAGCATATGCAGGTCCCTTATATTTTTAATTTTTACCACTTATCTCATAAAAGCTGTTACATCAGATTGTGGTCGACATGCGTGAATTTTCTAGCAGTCTTCCTTGTGTGCTGCATCAACAAGGCATGCGGATTTTGCCAGTGACACTAGAAGTTGGGGACTACGTTCTGTCGCCAGAAATTTGCGTAGAACGCAAAAGCATTGCGGACTTGTACGCGAGCTTTTCCTCTGGCAGACTGTATCATCAAGCCGAGACGATGACACGTTATTACAGACTCCCCGTCCTTCTCATAGAGTTCTCACAAGACAAAAGCTTCTCCTTACAGGTGACAAACTCCCTTGATTGTTTCTGAAAAATTTTACCGGTATTTTTTTTCGTTTCCAGTCTGCAAACGAAGTTGGAGATGATATTGTGCCTGCAAATATCGTGTCCAAGATGTCTTTGCTGGTTTTGCACTTTCCTCGTCTTCGGATAGTATGGTCCCGCAGTTTACATGCGACGGCGGAGCTGTTTGCGACCTTGAAAGCAAACCAAGATGAACCCGACGCTGAACGGGCTATGCGTGTTGGCGTTCCAACGGAAGATGGGCTCATCGAAGGCGATGTCCGGTAAGAACTTATATTCTCGTTATCTAAATCTCTGGCTCATGTGCATGTCGTCTTAGAGCCGAGAATTACAACACGACCGCAGTGGAGATGCTACGTCGTCTGCCTGGAGTCACAGATGCCAATTACAGAACAATCATGGACGGCTGTAAGAGCCTGGCGGAGCTCAGCATTATGCCTTTTGAGCAGCTGGCTGAGCTGATGGGTGGCCAAAGGCCTGCTCGTATGCTCCGGGATTTTCTCGACGCAAAGTTCCCAACGCTTTAGAGCAAGGGAAGGAGAAATGCTTGCCAAGTTGGTCCTTTTATTCCTACTTTCTCTCCTTCCCAGTTTCATCAGGTAAGTTGCTGTAAGTACAAAGGCTTTGGGCTAACTTCCGGTTCTCTTGCAGGCTGTTTGTCTTCTCACTCCTTACAAGCTACAACCCTCCGGCCGCCTCGATCCTAGAGAGCCGATCTCCCCCCATAATTCACAAAGGTTAAGCTTTTAGCGTTTTTCCAACGCTCTCTTACTGTCGCTCTCTCGCGCAGGGAAGATTACGAAGAATCTCCCGCTAGAAAAGGCAGTACGGTACGTCGATCTCGCGCTAAGTTGACTCCAAACGCTCGGAAAACAAGGCTTTGTTTTGTTCGTAGAGGGCTCAGCAGCTTTTCTTCCACAGGCACTGTCAATGCGGCCAAGATTCCTACGGATCCCGTCCGTACGTACGCTCCCCATGCATGATGGGTATGACCATATGGCGCACGCATGGATGGGATGTATGGTGATGATGACGCGTGTCCCTTTAACTTAAATGAAGTTAAAAAGTTAGGTGGGGGATGGAATATTCTCCACCCTCTTTACACTTGGGCTTTGTTTTTCCGGACAGTATCTTGACCAAAACAAGGATGTTCTTTCGATGTTATGACTTTAGCTGGAAAGATATGGCGACCTTGTTCCATTCCAGTTCGTTTGTTTAGGGTAGCTAGCCACGTAGAGTTTACAAAGCAACCAGCAAAGTGCGGTGGAGTTATAGAGAGAATAATCCACGGAAACCAGTCCCAAATCGTACGTAGTTTAAAAAAACCTCGTGAGATTCGTGAGATTCCCCATACGGACGATACGGGCATTAGCTAGAGACGATAAGAGCTACAAACATAACTTAAGTTTTGCCGGATTGAGATAGATCGCTGGCCTTGTAAGTGGTTTTTCTTATTCGGCATTGTAGTTTTGTATGGTTCTATCCCCTTCCTTGGGCAGAAGCTTGCAGCTTGACTGTGGAAGAGTCTACGAAGAAATGTGGCAGAGGTGGAGAGGAGAGAGAGATCAGGAAGCAGCAGCAGATGCCAGGGATGGGCATTTAGAGCTGCCGACGGCTCGGTCTCGCTGCGGTGACGAGCTGTACTTGTGTGTAGTGACAAATATGCCCGAAACTTTTGTTCTTCTGGGCCTTTGTGGATGATTGAGACACCCCCGCCCTTCTTTAAAACTCGCGCAGAGAGAGTGGATTGTCAACAAAGGGTGACGTATTTGACGGCCGCTTGACCGTTTTTGACTTCCAGAGATTTGCTTACGGTGCTAAGTGTGGATTTAGTTTGTAAACGCTCAAGAGTATAGTAGTGTTTATAGAAGAACATATGTTTATCGAGGAAACAGCTAGAACAGAAGGAGACAAAGAGACAGAGCTTCTGGAACAGGATGGTGGTGGTGGAATCAAAAGCATTACACAAAAGCAATAGAGAAAAGAGAAACTGGGCAACGTCGTCTGGCACAGCGCTCAAGTTGCAGGGACCTTTTGGATCGTCACGTTTGAGAAGCCCGACTTAAACATTGGTTGGGATTATATTCAACATCAGGCATCGCGATGCCGTGCACAGGACAGCTCTCTTGAGCTGATAAGAAAACGAAAGGAAAGAAGAAGAAGAAGAAGAAGAAGAGGAAGAACCCTTCTGAAAACGCCACCCAACACACAAACACTCTTGGATGATGCAAGCCACCATTGTGGAAAATAGACCTATTCTCCATACCGTCATTGTCCGTGAACAGGCCAGTGGCATTGACCCCTGTTGCCCAACAGTTGGATTTGAAATGCAAACACCAAGCTTGTCTTTAAGCTGGCTGGCCTGGGAAAGTTTATATATACTGACACAGACGACCCGGCCCAGAGTTTTTTCTTTCTCTCTGTTTCATATAGCTATACGAGAAAACAACCCAATGAGCCAAGGATGTTGACGATCCATCATGATCGATCTCTTGGGGTGTTTCTTTGCAGAGGTCTTGCAGGAGCTCTGGCTGTCGCAGCTCCCAGTGCGAGCGCAGTGCAGTGCAGTGTCCAGCGAGAAGAAAGCCCACCGCGGAATTGATGAGGGGTTTCTTTGCTGCTGTCTCTCTCTTCTAGACCTCCTCTTTGGAGAGGAGTCAAAAGGAGGAGCAATCTGGAGTTTAACAAGCACTACATCCAATCGTCATGGATGTTTATCGGGTTTAGCTTAGGCTAAGTGTAGGTGCCGGTTGATCCATGTATAGGCAAACAGTTTGGAGACAAACTGAAGCTTGTGAAGGTAATAAAGTATTTGCCTGTGTAGGGCAAATGTGGGGGCAGTTCAGACCAGCTAGACACAAAGCATATGAATCGTTTCCTTATCTGCTTCGGGAAAAGTTGTTTTTGTTGTAGTTTTATTTGCTTGAAGGGATAGAAAATGCAGAGTTTTACAGGAGTTTCATGTTGAATTGTACTGCAAATGCCTCAACTGGGCCATCTTTGGAGCGTTCATAGATTTCTTGGCATTGAATCGGGCAGAAGAAACCAAAAAGGTGTGCAAAAATTTACTGCTGCTCCTTCTGGGGGCTAGAATGGCAGAACAGAGAAGGTAAGCTAAATCTACCAAACGAAAACAAAATACCTGCCACCCTCACGAAGAACAAAGCTCCAAAGGCTTCACCACCATTGGTGGCGTCAATACCCAAATTGCCCAATTAAAGGCTGCGCATCAAAATGCCCCAAAACGGAGTTGGGTGGTCATCCGTCGCACATCCAAACCCAGTTATGCTCGACCAAAAGTTTTCTGTCTTGGGTTCCAGGGGAAAGGCGGCGAAGACTTTTTTCTCTTTAGTTCGCTTTCTCGCTCTTCGTGTCCATTTGGGTATTTCTAGGTGATAGGCCTTTTTTCCCCTTGTAATCTTGGGTTACCACCACCACCACCACCACCACCTTCTTTTTGACATACATCGAGAAAAAACCAGCGACAGCTTTCGCCCCACTTAAGTGACCTTACGCTCATCAATGCGCATGTCATGATTTGATGTCCAACCAACAACACCACAAACAGAGCCAGATTTTTTGTCACGAGCTCTTAAAACTAGGATCATCCGGATGATCTTCATCCAAATCTAGCAGAATCTGCCCGTGGTTTCCCGAAACCTTTGTTCCGGTTCGGGGCCGGGCCGGGTGGGATCTACGTGCAGAATCTCGCAAGGTTTGCAGTTCTTGTGATTATCATGGAGAAGATTCTGTCTGTACATGAACTCGGGTGTTGAAAGGAACCAAAGGCAAAGGTGGTGAAATCGAAATCAGGTTGTACGTAGTAGGCTATTGCTGCATGATAAGATCATGGCGATGATGATTGAGGAATGCCTGAATAGAAGCGATGGCGATCGCCTACGTTTCGTATGATTTCGCCTCTTTGATCAGCCGGCCTAAATTTGTAGTCGATGCAGGAACGTTTGAGCAGCAAGTTTTGTTAGCTATAAGATAGGCTAACTTGATCTTGCTGGTGCTGTTCTTGTTGTGTGTCCTCGTGTACGCTGTCAAGCGAGCCTTTAAAACACCGGCAAGATTGCTGTTCTCGACGATTGCTGCTGGCACAGCCCAAATTGATTGAGGGGACTCGAGTCACACGTAGAAAACGCCCTCTCCACCCAGGTTGTTGCTCGTAAGGAAAATATCACTGGCAAAAGGAAACCCTATAAACTCTCGGCTGCTCTGAGCGCTCATCAGAGATGATTTGTTCTTGATAGCAACAGTGAGGATGTAATAACTACAAGGTGGCGGGGTGGAAAGTATATGGTTGGATTGGATCAATTAAGTTCCTTACGAGACAAATGATTAGCTGCTCAGGCATGCTTGTTTGCATGACTGGCTGCTCTTATGAATATCTCCAATCAAATATTTATATCAATCAGATCCTCGGTGCTCCCAATTTCCCTCCTCTTTGGGAAGCGATCGAGAAAGGAGAAATCTGCAAACCCATGATGGGTTGCTCCAATTCTCCTACGTATTTGTATACTCGAGAATATTACCCGAGAACATTCGCTCTCTCCGTCACCAAATTCCTTAGTTCCAGCCAGGGTTCTCTCTGAGCAAGCAGCAGTGGCTTTGTTCGATTTTCCAATTCATGGATGGGACGGAAACAGCAAAACGCAACAGAAGAGAGAAAGGACCTCGACTTAACTATTCCTCAATCCTGTTGCTGTCTTTAAATGAGACCTCTCATTCATTCATCATGTGTGAGTGTGTGTGTGTGTGTGCGCGCTGCGCGAGCGAGTGTTGTGTGTATATGTGTGAGTGATGTGAGATTCATAGACAGATAGATATACTATAGATGCCGATCATTTCACCCTATAGCACTCTATAAACGAGATTCACAGATAGAGAGCTCTTCTCTGTCTCTTGGTCGCTGGTTCACAAACTTCCCGGTTTCGTAAGACAAACCCTTTGATCCCAGCCTATAGGTCGTGGAGCGCATTGGGGAACCCAAACAAAGTGGAAGTGTATACATACGAGATCTATCAAACCTTCTCGTTCTAGTGTCCGCCTCCTTACCAGCAGCACGAAGAACTGGGTCGATGCTCCCAACATTGGAGCCTGTGTGCTTTCAATCACGCACTCTAGAGAGTTTTTCCTCCATAAAAAACCTCGGTGCTCGATTTCATAATGAGGTCAAAGAGGCAAGCTCAATCCACAGATCAATCGATAGATATGTTTAGTATAGATATATGTCCTGTGGAATGATCAAGGAGTTTGGTCTAGGGTTCCTCGCAAGTTCGAGAAGTCAAAAGAGGAGCCTACGTTGGTTTTTGTTGGCCACCACCTCCAGCGCCTACGTAGACCACCCCCCGAGAAAAAGCGAAGCTCCACTTAGAACGTAAGCAGCCAAATTGGATTAAACAACGAGGGGAAGATTGGATCGACCTTTTTCTCCTTGCGACGATCAAAACGACAAAAGGCAAACATGGATTCCATTTAAGAAATCCCAGCCCGGGTTCCGCACATACTTCTTCAAATGCATGAGAACCTAAAAACCATTGAGCTGTGTGTGACAATGGTCCTGGCAATGAGAGAGAAATCTCACGTGATCTTCTAGATGATTTCTTTAAGGTCAGCCAACCTTTTTTGAGATTGTTTGAAGCTTCTAGCGGAGAAAGAGACTTAGCATATATATATTGTTTGACATGGTCTTTTCTTATCTTCCACTTCTTCCACCTTGCGGGGCTTGGCTTTGTGGTTGCAAAGGCGTAGTCAGAGCTCTTCGTGGAAATGTACAAAAAGAAGAAAGGCCGTTTGATCGCGAGGATTCCACCCCGACCAAAAAGAATGTTCGCTGGCCGAGCTGGCGATGACGTGGCGGGAGGGGGACGTGGTCGCGGGAGATTGGAGAAGACCATGCTCCTAGGCGCCAAGCCCATATTCTCCCACAAATTGCCGTGATAGGAGAGAGAAGAGAGGAGAGAGAGAGAGAGAGAGAGAGAGAGTGTAGTAGTAGTGTTTATACAAGGTGATGCTAGAGCTAGAGATAGTGTGTGTGCTTCGTCGCTCGCGCGGCCTTGTTGAGTTGATCCACCGGGGAGGAGCCAAAATTCGTGTCAAATGCTGGTGGATTTGGATCCCGTGTAGTTAGATTAATAGCAATAGCCTGGCTTTGCTTTTCTCCGAGAGCTAGCTCGCTTTCGCGGAGAAGGATCATTGCGACTCATTGTAGGAGCCTAGCTCTATATATTAGAGCGGGAGCTTGATCGATCGAGGGGGAGGTGAAAGGAGGAGGAACAGGAAGGAATCTCGCCGTCTTCCCGGTTCTGTGGAAAAAGAGAGGAAGAGAGAGTTCCAAAGCAACGCAAAAGCATCTTATCTTACACTTCTTTCTCTCTCTCTCTCTCTCTCGTTTTGCTCCAAATTCGAGCTGGCTGATGATGATGGTGTTGGATCCCGACGGCTACTCCTCGTCTTCATTCTCTTAGGTTGTCCGTCGTAGCAAAAGCTCCACCGGGAACAGTAGATGCCACTACTGCCACTGCTCCATGACGATCGCAGCGAGGTCATCCGTGACTGTGTGAGCTAAGTACGAGCACGACCGATCGGTGGCTAGGAGGAGCATCGATCGAGGAGGAGGCGAGGAAGATCGAGGAGATTCCAGGTGTTTCTCAGCTTGATGATGCCGTGACGACTAGGGAGTCTACATGATCTACCGGGTACTCGACGAGAATTCGTTTGATCTTGGACCACGATATAGGAATTGCAGTGTTGTTCTTGGAGGTCGTGAACTTCTCCGCGTGAGATCGTCGTAGCTGGGCTACATAGCAGTAGTACTACCACTGCTGCTGCGCTGCTCGACCCGAGCTCTCTGGCAGCTCTAGATCGCCGCGGCGAAAAGGAGAAAAAGAATTCTTTCGTAGCTCCCGGGCTGAATTCCCTGCGATGGTCCGACGAGTCTAGCCCGACAAAGGAATCGTACCGCCGGGAGAGAGGAAGCAGTGCTCGCGGAGAGGGCGAAGCTAGCTAGAGAGATTGTTTATGCATTTCGATCAGCACAGGAGAAGAATCCAGCAGCGGTGGCGCCTGCTGTGGTGGAATCACGAACCGGCAGTAGCACCACCACCCGGGACTTGATCGGCGCAAGCAGCAGCGGCGGCGGCTCCACTACTCCACCATGGATCGTTCCTTCCTCTCGAGATTGGCTGCTGGATCCCGGCGGCCCCGGCGAGCACGATCACCACGGGGGTGTCATCCAGTCCGCCGCGTCGGGCGCTGGCGGTAGCGATGGATGGGGCCGCGCGGTCGGCTATGGTTTCGTGGGGAGTCACCCCAGCCCTGGCGACGGCGGATTGGGGCCGGGAGGGGGTGGCGGTGGCGGGGGTGGTGATGGTGGCGGTGGCGCTAGCGGCCTCGGACTCGCGCCTCACCACCACCTCCATCTCCGCGACATCCTTGGCCGCGGGCCAGCGTCGGAGGAATTCGGATACCACCAGCTGCACCAACAGCACCAGCGAGCGAGCTTGCGAGGATCCAGCGAGCATGCGCACCACCATCACCACCACCCGGGCGAGCAAGGCGGCGATCAGGGAGGACAGGGATCGCGAGTGGCGAGCTTCGAGGCGTACGAGACGACGCGCAATGTGGGAGGGATTGGGCTGCTCCGGACGGGGCTCGAGGCGGCGGCGGCGGCGGTGGGCGGTGCGCCGGATCCCAAGTCGGTGGCGGATCATCCCCACCACCACCACCACCACCACCACGCGCCGTGGGCATCAGCGCCACCACCATCCGTGCGCGAATTGTCCGGTGCGCGGGGAATCGACGTGGTGCCGCTGGCGGAGCGCTTCTCCCTGGAAGCGGCGGCGGCGGCGGCGCAGGAGAAGAATCCTCATCCCCTCCAGCTCGTCCAGATCCAGGGCGGCGCCCAGCAGCAAGCACAGCAGAATCCCATCACCAGCGTCGCGCTCATCCAATCCCAGAATCCAAGCCCCTCGCAGCAGCAGCAGCAGCAGCAAGGCACGGATTCTTCGTCGTCGCGGCCTCACGGGCGCGGCCACCAGCCCGGCGGCGCGACGTGCAAGGAATGCGGCAACCAGGCCAAGAAGGACTGCCAATTCCAGCGCTGCCGGACGTGCTGCAAGAGCCGCAACTACGATTGCTCCACCCACGTCAAGAGCACCTGGGTCCCCGCCGCCAAGCGCCGGGAGAGGCAGGCGCTCGAGGCGGCCGCCATCGCCGCCGGCCAGCCCCGCCCGAGATCCAAGCGCACGAGATCCCTGGCGCTGGGCGGAGGATCCTCGTCCGCCGCCGCCCAAGTTGGCGGTGGGATGACCGCCAATCCTTCGTCGCTGCTGGGCTTGCCCGGGCCCTCGTCTCCCCGGAGCTCCGCGGATCTTCCAGGTTGGTCCTCTCTCTTTGCTCCATCTCTCCACTTCAGATTTTTCTTCCATAGCCAAGCATGGTTTTGAATGATCGTGGATTGGATCCTTTCTCTTTGTTTGTGTTCTTGCGGCTGGGTTCGCGATCGTGATGGTTGGATTGAGTGCATGCGTGGGGAATTTCGGTGGCTGTGATCGTGAGGTTTGATTCGCTTGATGATAGAGGCAGCGCGCCCGCGCTGTCTCTAGTTATGACTGCATTCATGGATGCATTGGAATCCAGGAAAGCCAGGATCCGGGACTGTGATTGATTGATGGCTGCCTGGGCTTGATTGGATCGATCGAGAGCTCCCGAAGATATAGCGCTCGCCCGCTCGCTCGAATCTTGGCATTGCACCATCTTTTCTGCGATCTTAGAATGCCCGAGCGCTCTCTCGCTTTGTCGTTAACAAGCAACCTTGGTGACACAGTATTCCTACCTTTGTACACTGCAGCGTCCAGTTACCGCGGCGTTCTACCGCCCGAGGTCCGCGCCCAGGCCCTGTTCAAGTGCGTCAAGGTGACGGGCATCGAGGATGGCGAGAACGAGTACGCGTACCAGGCGACTGTGAAGATCGGTGGTCACGTCTTCAAAGGCGTGCTGTATGATCAAGGCGTCGAGGCTCCCTCCGCCGCGGCTGCTGCTCCGGCGGCTGCCGCTCCGGGTGGTGTTGCTCACCAGGCCGCTCCCATCGCCGGGCTCGCGGATCTTCAGCTGGGAGCCAGCCGGAGTAGCATGCCTTCGAGCTCCGGGTACCTTGACCCCTCACAGATTTACGGCTCCACTACACTTTTCGGAGGTATGGCGTAGATTCCAGTCCGAACTCTTACTTCTTTTTGCTTTTCTTCTTCTTGCGTGAGTTGTGTTCGTGGACTTCTCTTTGTTTCGTTTTCGATAGTTCTTTGCTCGAGTAGGTTCTCTCTAGCAATTGGTTGTGAGAGTTTTTGGAAGTGTAATTGCGTGGAGTTCTTGCCTTGCTTGTGTAGAGTTCTCTGATTGAGATGGCTATTGTTTTTAGTTTAAGGTGGTGGTGGATAAAATGGTGTTACGCTTCCTTAGTGCTTGGAATGTTCCACGTTTTTTTTTTCGGTTTTTGCGTAGATCTTAGAAGATCTTAGAATTGTTTCGATGTTTTGCGAGGTGTTTGACTTGAAGCGTGCGTGATGTTTTCCTGGCTTTATTTTTTTTTTTTCGAGCAGAATTAAAATGGTTTTCTGGTGTATTAGATTTGCTGGTTTTTTCTTCTGCATCGATCTGACTAGCGAAGTCCCAGAATTTGCAGCGCGGAACTTTTGCTGTTTTTTTTTAATCATTTTCCTGTCTTTTTTCTCTTGGATTTTGATGTTCCTGACGAACTTTGTCCCCTTTTTGCAGCCCTCCGCTGACTGCTAGAGGAGAAAACTTTCATACTCTCGACCAACAATTGACACAGACTTACACCGGAAACCAGCTGCGACATTATTTACCTCTCGTTTTCCCTCCCCGAGTTCTCTCGTTCTTCCTCCCAAGAGCTCGGGAGGATCTCTCGGATGAGTCCTCGCGTGGAAGATCCAATCCATCTCTCAACTTTCCTCCATCTCATGAAAACGCTGCTCAAAATTTTGGATACATTGAGGAGCTCTTCTTCTACTATTGTACTTAGAAACTATTTGACCCCCCATACATAATTTTTTTCTGTTCTCCAGCATGCCAGGGCCCAGGGATCGAACTGGCGACTTGTCCTTGTCTTTCTTTCTCTTTCCACTAGTAGGTTAGGGTTTGGGGGATTTCGGTGGATGGAAGCGACGACATCCTGGTAGATCTTGCTCCAGGAGGGAAGATCGATAGGCGCGAATGGATCCGCAGCTGCATTTCCTGCTGGGATTACTATCATTGTGCTGCTGCTGCGCGGCTTTGACTCTCGGATCTGGCCGCGCCTTGCTTGATGCAGCTCACTCGTACAATGATGGCGATAAGGTGCCCCTGTACGCGAATAAAGTCGGGCCTTTCCACAACCCGAGGTATGGCTGGCGAGAGATCTTTCTTTTCGCTGCTAGATTTGAGAGCGAAGTAGTTCTTTGCTGGGAATTCTTTTCGTTTTCTGAGACAAAAACGTGGTTTTCTTTTGTTTTTCTTGTTTAGCGAGACTTATCAGTACTATGATCTTCCATTCTGTGCTCCCGCGGAGGTGAAGCACAAGAAAGAAGCCATGGGGGAGCTCCTTGAGGGAGATCGCCTGGTGTCCACTGTGTACGAGATTAACTTCAAGGAGAAGAAGGACGTGCAAAAGCTTTGCTCGGCAACTCTCGACAGGAAGGACAAGGAACGGTTTCGCAAAGCTGTGGAGAATGACTATTATTTCCAGGTGACGGAACTGTTTGGTGACCCTTACTGATTTTCTACTTTGGCTTGTAGATGTTCTTCGACGATCTGCCGCTCTGGGGATTTATTGGAAGGTTTGAGCTCTTTGATAAACAAAAGCACTACATGCTGTTCACTCACGTCCACTTTGAGGTTCGCTTTAACGGCAAACGAGTGATTGAGATCGCTGTTTCTACAGACCCGGCTAAAGCCATCGAGATCACGAATGACGATCCAGTCCCAGTTGACTTTACATATTCCGTCACCTGGGCCGAAACTACTGTTCCATTCGAGAGGCGAATGGAGAAATACCAGAAGTACTCGTTTCTGCCACAACATCTTGAGATTCACTGGTTCTCTATCGTCAACTCGTGTGTTACGGTTCTTCTGTTAACGGGGTTCCTGACTACGATTTTCATGCGAGTATTGAAGAATGACTTTGTCAAGTAAGTTCATCCATTGGTTTGATTTCCAGCTGAGACTTGATCTTTTTTGTTGTTCTTCATCTAGGTACGCCAAGGAAGATGAAGAAGGTTCGGACGAGACGGGATGGAAATATATACATGGTGATGTCTTTCGATTTCCTCCTCATCCAAAGTACGTCGCGTCTTGCACATGAACTGAAGTCTAACGTTGTTTTTACGCTTCGCAGTGTTTTTGCGGCGGTCATTGGAAGCGGCACTCAGCTCCTGGTTCTCGTCTTTTGCGTCTTCATGCTGGCCTTAGTGGGAGTATTCTATCCATACAACCGTGGCTCCCTCAACACGGCTTGCCTCATTATATATGCGCTTACTGCTGGCATTTCCGGCTACGTCTCCTCCAAGTTGTACAGGCAAATGGGGGGAGATAAATGGGTAAGGCAAAATTGCTGTGACTTGGAAGCTCCTTCTCATGGATGTTCTTTTCAGGTTCGGAATTTGTTATTGACAGCATCATTGTTTTGTGGCCCGCTGTTCTTAGCCTTTTGCTTCAACAATTCTGTGGCTATCGCCTACAATGCTACTGCTGCACTTCCCATCGGTACAATTCTTGTCATCACAATCATTTGGGCTCTCGTGACGCTGCCATTAACTGTGAGCGCCATAACTTGCCGTCCTAAACGTGTATTCATGAAGTACTTCCTTAGGTTCTTGGTGGGATCGTTGGCAAGAATAGCAAGGAGGAGTTTTATGCTCCTTGCCGGACAAATAAATTTCCTCGTGAAGTTCCATCCTTGCCGTGGTTTAGGAGGACTATTCCCCAGGTAAATACCATCACTTGGAAGACTCTCGGGGTTATTTATCCGTGATCCCTTGCAGATGTGCATGGCAGGATTTCTCCCGTTTAGTGCAATCTACATCGAGCTTTACTACATATTTGCGAGTGTGTGGGGACACAAAATCTACACGATTTACAGCATACTTTTTGTGGTGTTCATCATACTGATAATCGTCACGGCTTTCATCACGATCTCTCTGACGTACTTTCAGCTGGCCATGGAGGACCACACTTGGTGGTGGAGGTAAGAAGCAGTACCTGTCTATGCAAGCAGTTTCATACTGATTCTGTTGGCATGCATCGTGCCAGGTCCATTTTTTGTGGTGGCTCGACCGCTTTCTTCGTCTACGGCTACTGCTTCTACTACTACTTCGCCAGGTCTGATATGACCGGCTTGATGCAGACATCGTTCTACTTTGGCTACATGGCGTGTGTCTGCTATGGCTTTTTCCTAATGCTCGGTACTGTCGGCTACCAAGCGTCTCTCCTCTTTGTTCGACACATATACAAGGCAATCAAGTGCGAGTAGGGAAGTAGCAGCACCACTGAGATCAACCAAAACAGAAGGCACGGTTGAAGAGGTCTCTTAGAGTGTAAGCAAGTTCTTTTTTTTTCTCATGGCAATCTCAAACACAGTTCTTACTGATGGAAGCGTTGCTCCTCCTGTTGTTCTCGTGCACCTGTGGTAACTTTTTCTTTTCCGGTGCAGGAGCAGAGGAAGCAGAGCTCTGGAATTATGCGGAATTGTCGCTTATGGTAGTGACAGGAATCCCGTGAAGGTGAACATAGTTCAGTGATTAACCATTGGTTGAGTACGAGGTGGATGGGTCTTTGTGTTGTTCCACTACCGCTTACTAGAGTCGCTTCCTTTAAACGTTTTGCTAAACGTTACACCAGTCGGCTGCTCGTCTACCTGCTTTGATTCAACAGGTGAAGGAGATTGTGATGGTCATCAAGTCGAGTGACTGTCAATCTTGAATGGATCTCTTTTAGTGCTCCATTGAATGATACGTAAGTGCGTATTGATTTTTAGCTGTCTTGGTCTTCTCATGTTTTAAGCAGATGAAGCGAAGCGATGAAGAACGAAATCCCTTTTCCTAAGAGGACCGTCGTCAACATGCGAAGAGATCTCCGACAAGAAGAGCTACTCGTTCTGCTGTTCGTAATCATCGTATCCAACGAGTTAGTTTATGCCTGGCCTTCCCTTGCTCTCAATGATCTCTCCCCTCCTCCAGGGAACAGGTACATCAAAGTTACAAGAGTAACTTTTTTCCTTCTGCTTGTAATCGTGTAACCAAAGCGTTTGCTTGGCAGCTTGCAGCTAAAGCTCTTGACTTGCAATGGCAAGCAGACGTACGGTTGCTTTGCAGGGCAATGGAAGTTACTCAACGCCACCGCCGAGCTGGTGAATGCCGAGAAGAATACCACGATCAAATTTGGATCCTACTACTATAGCCACCGTTCTCATTCTGGGGGCACTTGGTCTTTAATCAACAGTCCGGCAGTGTATGCAGAGTCTGGCTTCCAGACGAGCGTCGTCTCAGGTGAATCTCTTTTTTCTTTCCCTCGACGGTTTGCTCACAAACTTCCGATCAGGGACGGAGATAGCAAGCGAGGAAGCGGGAGATGGATGCTCCAGCGCGTTGGCGGAAGCATCCGACCACAAGCACGCTGGAATAGCTTCCACAATCTCCTACATTCAGAGGTTTCCAGGCAAGACGACGGGTTTACTGTCCGGGAAGAAATGCAAGCGAGGCTCCAGAGCAAGAGAGGTCCCGTATGAAGCGGAATACTGGCTGTGGTCACAAGACAAAGTTCCACCGGCGGACACCCCCGCGGAAGTTCGAGTGTCTGGCGAGAAGCTGGTGGAAGGATTCTTCTCCAAAGGCGTCGTGTGTCACGTCTACAATGGGACAGCCTGGGAGGTGCGAGAGTGGAAAGCAAAGTTATACGACGTTCCCGGTGGCAGCGTCGTCGGCCAGCACTCCATGAAGAACAGCAGCACCAGCTTGGTGTGGGAGCTTTTCAATCCCAATGGCTTTGGAATTCGCGGGTCAAGCAGTGGTGGATCCGTGCAAGTCGCCGAGAACTGCATGCCTTGGACGTTGAATCACGTCACACACACCTGGGGAAATGCGTGAGTTTTCGAGCTTTCTCGTTTTCTAGCTTTGTAGTAACTTGTGATTCTTTGCCGCACAGATCGCTGCTGGGACCGTTAAGCCATGTCCAGATGGTGTCAACGAGGGGTGGAATGCCGCCATCGTCGAGCGAAAGCAAGGTTTCAACCTCGGCATCTCCGCTGGAGCCATTGACTCCTCGCCCAGCGACCGGCCAAGTTTCCAACACCACGTTTTCGGCGGTGTTTTGGCTCTATGCTAGATAGAAGATAGACGAGCGTCCTCAACTTGTTACACGTTATTATCGTCCTCGAAGACTCTTGTTGGACATCTTGAATGCCTTCCAAGCTTTCTTCAAGCACGAAGATGGTCGAGGATCTATGTCTTGGAAGCTAAGCTGTCAATGGAAGCCTCAAAGATGTATGAGCTTTGAAAGTACTATCTACTTTCGTCTGGAGGCGACGAGGCCATGGCGTTTGATCGCTCCCCCGTGATGACTGGCATCCACAGCTTAGAAGTCTCTCTCAAGAGGCTCTCGGCCTCTTCGTCCTGGGCCAGTTCCGCGACTTTGGCTTCCAAGAGTTCCATCCTCTCGCTCAAATCGCTAAGCTGGTTCTCGATCTATTCACAAACAAAACACACACACGGTGAACAACAAGAAGGTAAAAAAAAAAACTCTTACATCCTCCGCAGGAGCAGGAACTTTGCTCGTTTCGGCGAAGAGATCACTGAGCTTGTCCCGGAGCTCCAAATCGGCAGCCCCTTCAGCCTCCTCGAACTGCCAATTCAAAGGAGGTAGCACCAATCAAATCCAGACTTGAAAGCTAGCTCTACCTGATTCAAGATGGCGTGAAGGCAATTAAACAGATCAGAAGTGGTGGCCGCCTGCTGGGGTGGCGCTACATTCTCCACGGGGGCCTCTTCTTCTTCTTCGGGCGCCAAGCTCGTCATAGCCATGAACCCTAAATTTGACAAAATTAAATCATATATAATCTTAAACATATTCAAAGTTAAAGATCAATACTTAATTCACTCCGTGTTCTGAACCCTAAATTTGACAAAATTAAATCATATCATCTTAAACATATTCAAAGTTAAAGATCAATACCTAATTCACTCCACGTGTTCTTCATGCTCCAATCCAACCAACTTCCCTTCTCTCTCTCAGATCGGGTTGGTGCATTCAAAATACAAGAATACAATTCGTGTTGAACTGAAAGTTTAATACAGAATTGAGTGCCATTCCAGAATGGCTCCTCTTTTTCTCTGTTTCTTTGTCCTTTTACTGTACAAAATGGCCTACCTTGCGACGAACAAGGCTTTGTTAGTTTCCTTGTCACGCATCAGGCGAAGGAGACGACTGAGTCGAGATCGATGGCGATGATGCCTCGAGTAGAGATTGTGGAACCGGAATGAGGGAGTTTCTGGAGCAGCAAGTGCAGGGGCCCGTGCAGCTGTGCCATGGTTTCTCGATCTCTTTGATGGCTTCCTGGATTGCCTGTTTGGCAGCCTCTGATCCAGTCTGTGATGAGAAAGAGAGAACTGAGTTTAGGAAGACTGAGTTCTAAGGGAAGTTTGTGGTTGAATACCTTTGCAGCGTTGCGAAGAGGTCCCCAGCACTCGACTTTGTTGTATTCACTCACGTTGGAATGGAAGTAGACCCAAACCAGCGCTCCCTCCAGCTCTAAAGTTCAGAAATTTTAGAAAAAAAAACTTTGCTTTCCAATGGAAAAGTCTGTGGCTACCGTACCTGGATGATTCCGGAAGAGAGGTTCGTCCCCATGCCGAAATGCTTCCAGAACCTGGTAAAAAGGAAGGAATTCTTTAGTCGTTTCGAAGTTTGTGGAAGAACACTCGGGAAGAACTTACGACTGGGAGTTCCTTGCGAAAGATGTAGAATCGAAGAGGAGCGATGGCGTCGAGCATCCAGTGGCCACCACTGATATGGCAATGCACATGTAGCGACATCTCGCCCTTGGTTTGCTTCCACTCGGCCAAAACTTCGTCTCTTTGGAGCCTGCTATACCACCCCATGATCTGCGCAGGCACAATCAATCAATCATTCATGAGGTTCCATTCCATGTTCACCAAAATCGAGAACAAAAGAACTATGATCTCCAGTCACTCACCTGTGCTTTGTTGATCTCTCGCGAGATCGCCAGCGTGAGCTTGGCGGTGATGTCGCTGTGCGTGAGCGTGTACGTCCTGGGAGACTTTGAGGGGTGCTTGTCATGATCTTCTCCCAGAAACAAGACTTTGAGCTTGGACGCCTCGAAGATCGCTGGCCCAAACAATCGAGCCTCCTGCGACGCACAAGATGAATCTATAGATGCTCTATGACTTGAAGACAAAGAAACTTACCACTACCGGCGAGATCCTTCTAGACGCGTTCCTGATCTGCCGAGAAGTGAGCAGCAGTCTCTGGCAGCTCCTCGAGCTCAAGAACTGCGACACCATCGCCGTCTTGGATCTATGGAGCCCTGTTCTTGAGTCGGTGCCACTGGAGGTAGAGCAAAGACTCAGTGCTACTTCCAAGGAGGCCACCGCCATGACGAACAAATTAAAAAAATCTAGTCTACTAGTTGTTTAAGCTCGCGCTAGATTCGTGGAGAATCCCTGTCGGAACAAAACAAAGATTTCTCTGCTTGTTACAAGCCTTGCATTGCCACCGATTTGCCGCGAATCCTCCCTGGAATGCGCTAGCTCTAGCTCTTGGAGAAAACAAGAACACAGAAGATTTCTCGCGCCGCCTATAAAAATCTAGAATGCGAAACTCTCACACGCCTCCTCTCTCCTCCCGCAGTGTTTGGAGCTCTTGTTTGCGCGCTATACCTTCGCTTCTCTCCTCTTGTTTGAAGCCACCAAGGAAGAGATTTGACGCCGTCAGCACCCACACAGAATATCCGCACCACTGACGGCAAATCAACGGCCGGATGGCGGGACGCGTCACAAAAGCCGGGGAGATCTATCTGACGGTGGCGGAAGGTGCTACGTGGGGCCCCGGTGGACTACACGTAGCCACTCTTGGCTACCAATGCAAGCAAAAGGCCCATGCGCTTTGCCAAAGCCTCACGAAATCTTGGCTTGTCTTGTGTGTTTCTCGCGTTAAAATGGCGTGTAGAAGTTGGTTTAGAGCCGCAAACTTGGATCTCCTCTCTCTCTTTCTCTCTCTCTCTCGAGTGAGAGAAGTTTTTTCTTGACAGCGCCTGGTGTTACGTGCCTCGCTGGGAAGCGGCGGTGACTTTGGGATCAACTCGGAGTTGTAAGCACTTTGGCGATGATCTTCGCACTGTGACGTGCTAATGCGCCGGGTGTTCACGTGACCGGGATCGAGACGACACGTCAAGAAGCTGCTGGAATTCTCTGGACGTTGATTCAATCCTTCCAGGATCAAACACGCACCAAGTAAGAAAGAGAGACGAGGAGAACGTACGTACAAGTGTGAGCAAGTAATTCGTGTCCCGTTTTTATGTGTGTATTCTCGAAACCAAAAAATTCGAAATCGGAGGAGAGGAAAGTTATGTTGCTCGTGTCTTTCTCTTGGTGCCCCTGGGTACCTGGACAGAGCATGTTTCAGAAAGTGGCTTTCAACCGGAAAACCAAATGGAACAGTGCAAGAGGGACACACGTACCTTGGGTGATGAGTTTTGGCACGGCACCAGATCATCCTGTTGTTGTTGGTGCTGTTGGTGTTGCAGTGGCTGCTGTGGTGTCTTTTGTTCCCGAACTTGCGAGCTTTTCAGGACACCCTGCAATAAACGTTCACGGAATATATGTTCTTGCTTTCGTTCCAAACGCCAAAACACGTACCTTATTTGCCCACATAAGACCGCAGGCATTACACAGCGTCTTTGGTCCGGCTGGACCTTTTCGCATCATCGGTGTTGTTCCAGATGCACATCCACAGCCCTGGCAACTGCGGTAAACAAGGAAGAAAAAGATCCATAGCTTTGAGTAACCAGAGTGAAGGAAAAAATAAAACCAGCTTACACAGTCTCTACTGCCGGAGTCGAAGTTGCCGGCTTCTCCTCGGACTCTTCCTCTTTGACCTTGAAGGGAGCAAACTGGCCTTTGTGCCGGTTCATCTTCACGGCTACATTGCTTCTCACCGAGTAGAGAATTCTCTTCCCCCATATCCGCCTCTCTCGCTTCTCACGGTACCTGCGGATGTATTCTTCTCTGTCCCTCGGATTTAATCGCTGCCCAGGCCCGGGTGGTTCCAGCAAGCTTTGATTCTGGAAAAAGCGAAGAAAAGAAGAATAAGTTACAACACTGGAAAAATAAAAGGGAGTGATCGATCCAAACACCTTAGGATATGCGAGATAACTAGGTACATTGGTGAAGGATTGGATCTCCTGTCCACCCAGAACCGTCAAAACGTCATGGACCTGGAAACCAACAAGAACACAAAAATATGAGAGCAAACAAAGGAGAAAGAAAAATTTCCCCAAGAACGTAGAAGAAACACCAAGAAATCCTTCCGGGGAGGGAGTAGGGCGACAGAAATCTCGTACCTTTTCCACGGGGACGTTCTCGAAGAGATAGACCTCGCCCTGGTACGAGAGAGTAAGCTGGCTCCCTCCTGCATGCTCCTCATCCATGACGGGCTCCTCCTCCTCGAGATCCACCATGGCGCCATCGCCATCGCCAGCGCCATCGCCAGCGCCATCGTCTTCCTCCTCCTGGAATCCATGCGCGCCCTCGCCGCCCTCTCCCGCGCCCTTGGCGCCCGCCTCCTCTTCCTCTTCTACAAATCCCTGGTTTTCAAATTCATGGTGACGATCGATTGTGGAGCGTTGATGCTCATGCAGATGATCCATCGCGCCCCTCACAGATCTTCACCGTTCACTCCACACCCTGCCCTAAAAACAGGCTCCCATTGGCCTTTCTTGCTTAGCCACAAAACCGCCACTGCTTAGCCCTTAATCACGATTAGTCGATAATTAAGCCAAAACCTTTGTGTTCTTTACAAGCTTTGTTTCTCGAGCGAGCGAGACATGGCTTTCCTTTCCTTCTTTCATTCTTGCTTTCGCCTCGCTCCACCCTTCTTCCATTTGAGTTCTCGACTTAATGGACAGCTCCAGCGACCGCGGGAGGCCTGTGGACGACCACAATCTCTTCCGGGAACAACGCTTTGATCAAACCGGGAGTTTTGAGCACTCTCCGGCCCGTCATTTGGGGATAGACGTCCTCGAGGAAGTAGTAGACATGACCAGCGGCCATTCCCTGTGAAAGGAGATTAAAAAGATTGAAGTCTTTTGGCAGAGAAAAGCTTACGAGGAGATCGACCCAGGGGCTGCTTCCCACCATTACAGAGAAGCCAAGGAGAACCTGGAACCATTGCGTGATTTGAGATAAAGAACGCTGGAAGAGAAACTATTTTACCCAAGGCAAGTAAGGAGCGGTGAAGCTGAAGAGGCCCAAAAAGCTCATGTGTACGTAAGGATTCCTTCTGCTCCAGACGTACACCTGGAAAACGAGGCACACAAAGTCAGCACGGAACAACGACAATGCGCTCACAAGAATTAACATGTTTGGCGTACCATCATAAACGTGAGGGAGTTACTCAGGAAGAGAATCTCGGCAAACGGCAAAGGGAAAGAAACCATGCCGCCGAGAACCACGATCAGCGTCAGCAGGCTCCCACCGAAGAGCAGCATGAAGAAGAAGTCGGCCGTTCTTCCCCGGAACGAAGTCTCTTCCAGAAGTTTGCAGTACCGAGCGAGGAAGAACATGTGAAAGAGAAAGTCGAGATCTACAAACAAAGATCAAGAAAAAAGAGATAAAAAGAGAGTTGAGAATCACTCGCCAAAACAAAAGCTTGAGAAGCCACTCACCAAGTCGACCAAAGTAGAAGAAGTTTGTGACCAAGCGCCAGACTTCGTAGTGCTTGACAACGCGCATTGGGTTCAGGTATACATTGAGAGGTGAGATCACCTACACGCACCAGAAAAAAGAACAAAGAGAAAAAAATTAGAGAAAACACTCCAAACACTCCAAACAAGAGAAGAGATTTTACCTCTAGCGCGCAACCAGCAGTAGTGAGCACAGACAATGTGAGGTAGGAGCGCGTGATGATAGGTATTTGCCTGTACCACTCCTCTACCAATTGCGCCATTCTCTCTAGACACTTAGCGATTCTAGTTCCTAGCGCTACGATCCACCTCTGGCGATTCTAGTTCCTGCGATTCTACCTCTGGCGAGCATTTAGCTCATGACGATCTTTCCAGCGCCAAGCCCAAGCAGCGTCACGGCTCGATTAGGGTATATGGGACCACGTGGAGGAAATACCACCGTGGATGCTGTGTACTGCCCAATCGCGTGCTGCCAAGTCAGCACTGCCACATAAACGGTGAGGATTGACCGAGTGGTTTAGCGGTCACGATATGAACCTCCCCAGCAAGTTCGCGATTTTCATCTCCAGGCGCTTCTGGATTTGCGCTAAGTGTTCTTTCAACACTCGAGATGGCTCCTCGTCTTTGGATGGAGCCATGAAACTGGAGATGGATTGTATCGCCGAGAGCTTGTTTCCCGAGGCTTGGACTTCGTGTTGGAGCTCAAGAGCTCTTGGAAGTAACGAAGATGGCGAGATCGAGCCAGTCTTGACGGGCTTTTCGGCCTGTGCCTGTGGTCAAAGATTAGAAAACTTTGGCACAGGAAGTTGCAATCACAAACCGAAAGATCGTTGATTTTTTGGAAGAGGACATGGTACTCGTGAAGTTGCTTCTCGAGAATGCTGGCTAGACCCGTCCTGTTCATCACACCGTGATTTTACGACAAAAAGAATGGACGACGCGACTTACTCCGGATTTGGATTGAGATTGTTCTTCTCAGTTTCCTGTGAGTATCAGTGTCTGAGAACGAGAAACTAAACACCAAGCGTACCATCATTGAAGAAGTCGAAGCTTCTGATCTGTTTGTTTCTGAAGCTTCCTGCATCCTGGGACGAGATGTTAATTGTTGACTCTCACTCTGCTCTGTCGACCTCTCCGTTCTTACGGATGGTTGATCCTTCTCTTGGAATACCTCCTCGTGCCGCATTTGCGGCTGGACTATCTTTGCCTCAACGAATGCAAGCTGCAAATCCTTTCCGTGGAGCCCAGCTTCGTCCGGCTCCAGAATTCCTTCCACGTTCAACTCTGGCTCCTTGTTTGATCTTCTGTTAGAACGACTCGTTGGTTTGTTCAAGTACGTTTGCAACTGCTGCCTTGTTTCCTGTATCAGGGACTCTGTTTCCTTTCGCATGGCGGCTTCAGCATCTAAAAGACTGGCCATGTGTTTGAGCTGCGAGTCCCTTGCCTTAATTTGTTGCTCCAGTGAGAGTAAATGCATTCGCAAACCTTCCATCCTCTCATCCTTAGCCTTCATATGCCGCTCAAACGAGTCGATCTCGTGGCAGTGTCTGCCAGTTAGTTCTGCTGTATGCTGAGCTTTAGCGGCTTCGATGTACTGCTTGATGTTTGAATCGTTGGGAGCCGCTTCTGTAAAAAGCAAAGGTTCATTTCAGGGTCACGTAAACGAACTCATCAAACATGTACCTTGATACGAGTTTGTTGTTTGCACCATATTCATAGCCATCTTCGCTGCGGAATAGAGTTTTCTCCACCGGCTAAGTTCAAGGTCCCTTGCGCGTTCCGCATCTATGTACAGCGCCAGTAAATGCTTCGCAGCGTTGAGATTAAAGACTTCAACAATTGTTCCTGCTGGACTGATGGAAAGAGTGTTGTCTAAACATTCCTCGTCACCATCTTTCCGAATGTCAAACTGATCCAAGCGCAGTAGAGCACACTCTTCAAGCTGTTGTACTCGCTGCTGATAGTAATTAACTTGCTTTTCCAGTTCTGCCACTTGTTCCGCGTACGAGTGGAGCTCTCTTTGTTGTGCTGCCTGCACGTCAAATCGCCGCAGCCTGGCGAAGACCCCTGAAATCTTGTTGTCCTTCGCTGCTGAGTCCAGCTTCTCTAACAGCTCGCTTTTCTCTGTCTTTAGAGTGTTTATCCTTGCTAACACTGTTGCCAAAACGTCTTCCTGAACTCTGAGTTCTTCTTTGAGCTTGTCACATTCTGCACCACGAGTCTCAGCCTCAGCAGATATCTTTTGTTTCAGATCGTCGGCAGCAGCTTCGTGAACTTCAAACTCAGCAGCCATTTTTGCTCTTAAGTTTTCCACCATACTTTCGGCGGCTTTACGAGCTTTGGCCTCAGCAACAAGAGTTTCTTGGCATCTGTCGACCATTTTCTCAGCAGTAGCCAGCTTCTGAACGAGCTCGCACTTTTCACTGCGTTCCATATCTCCATCTTCTTTAGCGGCAGCCATCAAGAAATCTTTTTCCTTTAGCTGGCCCTTGAGATCGCTGATCATAAGATTCTTTTCCTTGCATTGCAAGCAGCTGGTGTCAGTCCCAACTTGAAGACGTCTAATGCACTCGGTCAGCTCTTTCCTCAGCGTCTCGATCACTTCCTTCAATCTTTTCTGCTCGTTCTTCCAGCGCTGCTCTTGTGTTGAAAACATCGCCATGACTTTTTCGTTGGCTTTTGCATCCTCAGTTCTCCTGACCCTGGCTTCATCGAGCTGGCGTTGAAGCTCAGCTGGGTCAGCAGTTGTGGAGATCCTTTTCTCCAGCATGCTTGCTCTAGCGGCTATATCTCGTAGTCTTTCCATTGCTCTGTTTACCAGGAACTTTACTGTTGCTTTCTGGCGCTTCCGGTTGAAAACGGTCAATTTCCTTCTGCCGTGATATCGTCTTATCAACGTCCCGAGAGTGATGAAAGACAATGCAACCCCGGAGTATTCTGCTACAATCGGGAATGCTTCTTCAGCCGGGTTAATCGAAAGGTACCTGGATATGAATTTCAGACTTTTCCGAGCTTGCTTGCTCCTCTTGTTTCCGAATTTTTTGAAGCAACTTCCAGCCATTGCAATAACTTGGGCCGGAAAATCAATCACAACACCTGTGATCGAGTCAGAGACGGGAAAGTAACGGCAAAATCAGCTCGAGAACATACCAAAAATCCTGGCAGCGGCATTGTCGTGGGCGACTCTAGAACCGGTCCCAGAATCAAAAACTCGCGCTTGGAAAGCCCTAGAGCCCGATTGCCAGAAAATTTTGAATGTAGTATATCTGCGAAATCTCCGTGGATAGTGTACGAGATCTGGAACGGATTTTGATGGCTCGGATTTACGTCCATAAGTTTCTTCGTCACTGTTCATCTGAATTACGAATTTCCAGCAGCAAAAAAGAGCGCCATTCGTTATTCCGGCACGAGAATGAAAAACGAAAAACGTGTACCTTGGGTCGCTGTAATACGAAACTTAAAGCTAGCAGAAGAAATGCTCACACTTACTGTAGGATTAGATGCTTCTCGTCCTCACGCAGGTTGAGATGAAAGGAAAAAGAGCCGCAAAAGAGAATAGTCTCCATCTTCGGTGACCAGCTCCTTGCTGATCCTGCAAAACCTCACTGGCGGTCGTCAAAGCCTAAGAAAAAGTGAAACAAAAAGGAGCCAATGCATTGTCCAACATCCGCAAGGAACTCATGGCATACGAAGTAACGGCGTAGAGAAATAGAAAAGAGACAACACCTTTGAGTTCCGTCTCCATTCACAGCGAACACTTTAGATAGAACAGGACGAGTGCCAAAAAGATTCCACTCTAGAACAATATTAAGTGCTTGCACAGAAACAATAAAATTTCTTACCGCCGTTTGTTCGAGTGACAACAAAAGAAAATGCTTGTGATGCCTTCATGAGCAGTGAGAGCACTAGAAATCTCGCGATCGGATTGAAATCAATTCGATCGCCTGTCAATCTAACACCCAACAGGCGAGATTCGCATCGCAGCTAAAAAATATCCGTGACAACGAATAAAGCGATCGAGGAGCCGATTCATTCGTACCTGGGAGACGATCCGCGCGGCTGGAGAGCGCCAAAGCGCGGCCGCCATCGTCCCTAAAACCCTAGCGAGCCAGCGGCCACAAAAATTCAAACATGGCATGGGTACGTGATCATTCCGCGAATATACCCTGCATTGGGGGTTTAGGGTTGTCGCGAGGACGAAGAGGAGAAAGCAATCCAAGGAAATGGACGATGGCGAAGTGGATTTCTCCGACCACGATATCTTCTGCGGCGCCTCCAATCTGGTATGTGACGACGACCACAGCGCCATGGAGAGCTTCCTGGACGAGATCCTCAAGAGCACGCACACTTGTACGCATACTCACACTTGCAATCCTCCCGGCCCGGACAAGACGCACACGCACACTTGCTTCCACACGCACACGCAGCTCTTCGCATCGCCGGAGGAGGGCTCCTCGCACCAAAAGGAGGAAGAAGACCATCATCGCCCAGGCTCTGAAGCTCTAGGTCCCGGCAGCATTGCTACCGCCGCTACCACCGCCACCACCGCCGCCGCAGCGCCGCAATCCAGCAAGAAGCGGCCGCTGGGGAACCGCGAGGCCGTGCGAAAGTACCGTGAGAAGAAGAAGGCTCACGCCGCCTATCTCGAAGAACAGGTTGCGCAGCTCAAAGCGCTCAACCAGCAGCTTGTCAAGAGGCTCCAGGGCCAGGCGGCGCTCGAGGCGGAGGTGGCGAGGCTGCGAGCTCTCCTGTCCGAGTTCCGGGGGAGGATCGACGCGGAGCTCGGGTGCTTCCCGTTCAAGCGGCCATGCAGCACGAATGGCCGCGGTGGCGGCGGTGGCGGCGGCGCCGCTGCGAACGGTGACGAGTGTTCTCCGCAGCTCCAGGCGCTCTCCGGCGGATTCTACCTCAACAGCGTGTCCGTCCCGTGCGACGCCGACGTCCCGTGCTTCCATGGCGACTCTACGAGCTCGCAGCCGCAGCTCCATGGAGGGAAAGGCGCCATAGCTTGCGACTACGTCTCGGAGAGCTGCCAGGGAACTTTGGGAGACTCGGAGGGTAAGATCCTCTTTTCTTTCGCGATTGAATTGCTGATAGAATGTTTTTTTTCTTGCAGGTGGAATACAATGATCGCTGAATTGATTCTCACCACCGGTCGATGGTTTGTGAGGAAAATTACGACGAGAAAAGGTGGTGGCATATTCTACTATGGGAGAATATTCACGAGAGGATTCCCTATAGGGTGCATTGCATCGCCGGTCAAGCTTTGGCATCGGCACACTCAGCAGCACACTAACGAAGAAAAGTAGGAGCAGGGAAAGCAGGGAAAGCACGGAAAAGCACGAAAGCTTTTTTGGTTATCCTAGGAGGCTTTTGTGACAGCTTCTGGGTCGTCAGCGGCTACGCGAAGAAACGAATTTAAAAAGGAGGTGGAGCTCGCAGGAACAAGTAGCTGATAGATTTGAGTCGGCAGCGGGCAGGGTAGCGAGCAAGTCGGTGAGTGGAGTGGAAGTCACAGCGCCGAGGTTTTTGAGATCTGGGAAGGAGGAGAGATGTCGGAGATTCGGGAGAAGTTCGCGGCTCTTGGTGGCAGGATGAGCCAGAGGATGAACAGCCTCGGGGACAAGATGAAGGAGGTGTTTCAGGGGTCGAGCCAGGCTGACAAGTTCGTGGAGGAGGCGACCTCGGAAAAGAACGGCTTTTCTCCGGATTGGGGCAAGAACTTGCAGATTTGTGACATGGTGAATGCCGAGGGTCTCACCGGACAGGATGTTATGAGGGGCGTGAAGAAGCGGCTGAGCTCCAAGAGTCCTGCGGTGCAGCTCCTGGCTTTGGTACTTTTGGAGACTTGCGTGAAGAACTGCGAGAAGATGTTCGCCGAGGTGGCCTCCGAGAAGGTGCTGGACGAGATGGTGAAGCTTGTGGACGATCCCCAGACGAGCTCGCAGAACCGGGATAAGATTCTAAGGATGATCGAGTCGTGGGGCGAGGCCACGGAGGAGTTACGGTACTTACCCGTGTTTGAAGAAACTTACAAGGTATGTGGCAGTTTTTCTAGTCTGTGTCAATGATTTTTTCTTTGTCGGTTTTTCTTTTCTACAGAGCTTGCGGTCGAGAGGCATAAGATTCCCTGGAAGAGACGAGGAGAGCCTCGCTCCGATTTTCACCCCGCCACAGTCGGCTCCAATCCAGTCCTCATCGTTGGCTCGCGCTCAAAGCGACCCCAAGGCGGATCCAAAGGAAGTTTTTGATGTTGCTCGCAACAGTAGCGAGCTTTTGTCAACCGTGTTGTCGTCATCACCGCAGAAAGAGGCTCTCGAGGTGAGAAAAATTCTCTTATTGTGGAGATTTGTTTTCTCATACTCTTTGCTCGTCGTTTTAGGATGATCTCACCAGAGCGCTGGTCGAGCAGTGCCGCCAGTCCCAGCTGAGCGTGCACAGACTGCTGGAGGGGTCGCCGGAGAACGAAAGCTTGATGTTCGAGGGCCTCCAAGTTAACGACGAGCTCCAGCGAGTGTTGCAGAAGTTCGAGGACCTGTTCGTCGGCCGAGCTCCATCGGAGGCAGCGCAGCCAGCCCTTCCAACTTTCGCGGCCGCCGCCGAAGAAGAGGGTCCATCGGAGGAATCCCTGGTACGAACTCGCCAGAAGCAAAACGCCACAGAAGAAGGATCGGCATCGATCGACAAGCTGGACGAGCTGGTTTTCGGCGGCAAGAGCTCCAGTTCCAGCAAGAAGAACACCAAGAACAGCGACGATCTCATTACGTTCTGAGCTCTCCACAGTCCTCGTATCGTTCGTGTATAGATTTTTTCTTTATCTTCTACAGATTTGCTGTCTCTCTTCTCGTTCTCAATCTTTCTCCAAAGATTGTGTGTCATCGCAGGAATTTTTTTTCTTAATCACCCTTCGATTTTTCTTTTTTTTTTTGGTTGCAACGAAAGTCTTTGGCGTGCTTGATTGCATTGAGTTACTTCTACGTGAGAGCGTCCACATGGCGTCGTGTGAGTAAGCCACGGCAGCTCGCGTCCAAGTGGCGCCGCCACCTCACATTTTTACTCGAGGACTCTGGGAAAGCGCCTCTTCAAGAAAGTTTGAGAATGGATAGAGATAGAACTGGATTTTAGGGCGCTGCGATGACGCACGCCCCACGTCTAGGGCTTTGATTTCTTGGGATGGCTGCCATGAGCACGCAGCGGCAGCGCGCGCTGGGCGTGGCGCTGCTCTGCGGCGGCTCGATCGTCGCCGGCAGCAAGCTGCTCCAGTTGCGGATCAAGGCGTTCCAGAAGGAGCAATGGGAGTTGTGCGAGAGCGCCACTTCCAGGCAGAATATGCAGCTCCTGTCCCGGCGCCCCAAGGTGAATCGATCGCGTAGGTTTTGAGCTGATCCAGGAGCTCATTCGCTCGAATTATTGCTCGTTTGTGATCCAGGTATCGGTCGATGGCCTCTTTGCCAAGCGGCTTGTCGAGATTTTGAGAATTTGCATCCCGTCGATCAAGTCCAGGGAGGTGCTCTTCATTGTGATCCAGACGTTACTTCTATACAGCAGAACACGTTTAACAGGTGTGCTTGAGATTAAAATGGCTTGCGAATTTGACTTTCGTGGTTCTTCGTGCTTGGTCAGAGCAAATGGCAAGCATCGAAGGCGTGACCGGCCAATCTGTAATTTCCAAGGTAAAGTTTTCTTGCATCGAGAACACCATTTCAAGTTTTTTTCCGTGGTTTTGTTTCTTTCCCAGGATTGGTCACTGTTCAGCACTAACTTAATGGGATTCGCTCGAGTAGCGATTCCAGCAGCAATTGTCAACAGTGGCCTAAAGTACATGCAGGTAAAGCGCAAACTTTGTGATTTTAGTAGGAAAAATGGTTTCTTATTGGATGTACGACAGACAATCATCAGTCTTGCGTTTCAACAACGTCTTGCAGAGCATTTGCACCAGTGCTACTTGACGAATCGCGTGTATTATGTAGCTTCGACACTGAGGGGTTTATCTAACGCTGACCAGGTGAATTAGCTCATGGATTTTGTATTTTTTTGCTCACAATCTTCTTCTCTTGATCTGCAGCGCATCACGGAAGATGTTGCAAAGTTTTCTGTGGCTATTAGTGAGCTTTACTCGTATACGTTCAAACCTGTGTTGGATATCATCGTCTTTACGCGTTCCCTTGCGAAGACCATTGGGTAAGTGAAGCTACGATGTTTTCTTTGATTAATCCGGTAGGTTTGTTCAGGTACAAGGGGCAATTTCTACTTTATGCGTACTTTCTGTTTTGCTCAACCTTCTTGCGGAGTGTAAGTCCTCCTCTTGCTCTTATGACAGCACAAGAGGCTGCTTTGAGCGGAAACTTTAGGAACGCGCATCAAAGGTCCGTCGCTTTTTCGTTTTCGAAATATTGGTTTAAGTGTACTGATCTTTTAGGATAGTTGCGAATGCCGAAGCTATAGCTTTCAATGACCCTCCTGGCGGAGATACGGAGCGCATGATTTTGAATGACCATCTTTACCGGCTGATACGTCACTCTCGATTGTCAGCATTTCAAAGATTTATTCAGCAGGTAAATCCTGACCCGTCGGAATCGATTCGAGGACTACCCTGGTCTTTGCCTTCTGTTTTTTGTTAATGCTTCTATTATTTCTAACAGGCTGGTTCACCATACTAGGTTGCTGATGGTTATCTCATCAAATATGCTGCATCTATTGTGGGAATTTGCGTATATGCTGCTCCTTTCTATTACAGCAAGCAGGTGTGTTCATCTGTTTCGATACCCGGTTCTCATATCCATCACTGGTTTTCTCGCAGAGACATGATGCGACAATAGCAAGTGGCGATTACATAAGGTCATTGCGTTTGATGGTGGTATGTAATGCTTAAGTTCCCACTTTTATGCTCCTTCAATCTCCCTTTTACAGAGCACATCAAATGCAATAGGCCAGCTGGTCCTAGTTTATAAGAGAGTCACGGCACTTGCTGGACATTCCTCCCGTGTCTCTGAGCTCCTGGAATCGGTATGTTTGTTCATTAAAATTCACTACAACCGCGCTATTCTTGCAGGTAAAACAACTGAGCACAAGAGAAGGCCGACTTCGTGCAAGCCACATAAGGCGATTGTCATGGCATTTTGAGCAAGAATCATCTGTTCAAAATCCACCCCGCCTTCTTTATGGAGATAGCATAAAGTAATTGAGCATTTTTGTTTGGAAATGCTAATGCTTGCGGTTTCAGGTTCAGGAACGTCACCATCTCAGCACCTGATGGCACTCCATTGGTTCGGGATTTGAGCTTTGAGCTGCTACCAGGTCACTCTATCATAATTATGGGTCCAAATGGAAGGTTAGCACTTAGGAAACCGTTTCATTTTGATAATCTCGTGTCGGCAGTGGAAAGTCATCAATTTTTCGCGTGCTGGCTGAGCTCTGGCCTCTCCAAAATGGCACAATAACGAGACCGCCACGAGGTGGAGGCGTTTTTTACCTCTCACAAGTATGTGCACATTTTTAAAATCTCATGTGTATCGTACTAAAAAAATTGGATTTTTGCAGAGGCCATACCTCGTGCGTGGTACACTGAGAGATCAAGTTCGATATCCAGCATTACCCCTGACGCTGACACGTAAATCCGACAAGAAGTCTTGGTCCCAAGGCTGCCGCACCGTCAAGAATGACAGGCATCCAGACGATGCTCGTGTTTTGGAGGCACTAAATGCAACGGAGGTTGGCTACTTGGTTCACCGTGGAGATGGCTTGGACCAGAACCAGGTTCGTCTTTGTTCTTTTAGAAGCAGCCGTTTGGAAGAACTAAAACTTGTATATGTCACTTAGAACTGGGAGGAGACACTGTCTGGAGGAGAGAAGCAACGCCTTGCAGTTGCCCGGCTGCTTTTCCACAACCCCAAGTAAGCAGCTCTCTATAAATTAGCCCTTCCAATTGAAATTCATGCAGGTTTGCTGTATTGGACGAGTGCACGTCCGCCGTGAGCGCCGATGGTGAAGAGAAGCTCTACAGGCAATTACACGAGAGAGGCATAACAATGCTCTCGATCGCTCATCGACCCGCATTGATGAAGTAAGTCCCCACACACGTCAAGTTCATCAAGTTCTCTTTTTGAGTTTAAAAATCACAATGCCTGTTCTCCAGGTACCACACCGCAGTCCTCTACTTAGATGGCAGCCAATCGGGCTATGGCTGGAGATACGAGGTCCTGAAAGCTAAAGCTGCCGAAGATAGCTGAGCTTTCGCCTCACTCACAAATAAAAGCGACGAGTCAAAACCCAAACACCAGATCCACCACCTTAGACAGTAGCGATTTCGTGGGCGATGCGATGGTCGAAGCTGGTCGAGCAAGCGACGAGTCCGAGTGGAGGTAATACGGTCGAGCAGCTGTTTGAGCGGACGCCATTCCTTTGGCCGAGGCCTTTGGGTGTGGCACCGAAAGCCCCGAGCTCCTCTGGGCCTTGTCCATCAACGCTTGCCTTTGCAACGGATCAACGGGCTTGACACCGATTATCAGCGCTCCATAGAGCTGCATTCCATTCTTCGCCAGCGCCTTTTGTGCGTCCTGCCGAGACTGGAAGGAAGAACAGGAAAAAAATAAAATCATCACGAGAAGAAGAAAGAGCGTCTAGAGTTGAATCGACAGACCTGGTACTGGATATGGAGCCAGTTGGAAGTCGCGGGGCCGGCAACTTGCTTGATAATTGGACCGCATTTCTCGAACTCTCGAAGAACTAAGTTGGTGTCCTCTCCGGGAAAACTACAACGAGATAGCAGTAAGAACAAGAACAAAGCCAAAGAGATGGAAGTGTTCTATACGTACCCATAGATTGTCACCCATTCGTCTCCTTCTTCCCCAGCGTCGGGCAACGCAGCGCTTCTCTGGATATTCGGACGAATGATCTGGCGAGGAGCCGGGAGCGTGAGGAGCCCGGACTGTGGCTCGGCCTGGTGATGGAGATGGTGGTGATGGATCCCAGTGGTGCCAGTATGTAAGTTCTCTCGCTCGCCATCGCTATGGCCGCTCCAATCCCTCATAGCCGCCGAAGAAGACCACCACGCCGAGGGCGGCGAGGAGGATGGAGGAGCGAACCCGGGGGATTGGAAATCTCCAAACAATCCGCCGCTTCTTCTCGACGCCCCGGATTGCGGAGTCTTGAGAGGCGATTTGCTGTCCGAGAATCTGGAAGCCAATCCATCCGGGGAGCGATACTCGCCGGCGGCGGGAGGGGGCAGCAGTGTCTCCGACGGGGTGCGATCGATGCGGTCCTCGAGCGTGAAGCAGGGCGGAGGCGGTGGATCCGCGCCGCCGCCTACATTGTCGCGCCAGGAGGAAGATCCCGCCGCTCCAGACGAGGAGGATTGCGCCCCGGAAGCGCGAGTGCCGGCGGCGGCGAGATTCAAGTCTCTGTAGAAGAGAGATTGGTACCTGCCCGCCACGCCACGCCGCTGCTGCATCGTTCCTCCTCCGCCATAGCCAGCTGCTGCCATGGAATATTTCAAGAAAACCCAAAGCCCTAGAGACCAACGGCCAGGATCTCGTGGCGTGGTTTTGAATTAACGGCTGCGATTGGTTCCGAGATTTAGGGTTCTTGAGAGGTAGTAGCAATGGAAGCGCAGGAGCGCGCGGCTGGCGCTGCCAGGATGCTCGGCGGCAATGGCGGTAAGAGGATGAGTACAGGAACTATATTTTTCAAGACGAAGCTGTGCTCTAGATTCCGGGCGGGGACTTGCCCCTACATCACGAATTGCAACTTCGCGCATGGAATGGAGGAGCTCCGGAAGCCGCCGCCCGGATGGGAGGAGTTCGTCAATCCTCCCGTGGTCGCGGACGGCGGCGGCAATGCGGCGAAGCTCCGGCCGTGCAAGAGATTTTTCGCGGAGGGAGTTTGTCCTTACGGTGAGAGGTGAGGTATTCTCTCAAAGTTTTCGTTTGCTCTTTCGTCTCGATTGATTGATCACTTAGATCTGTGCTTGGTTTCTCTGTAGGTGCATCTTTAGCCACGAGGATCCGGCTGTGAAACCCGCCGCTACCACTGCGATCAGCAACGCGAGCACTGCGAAGCCGCTGAACTGGAAAACGCGGCTTTGCAACAAGTGGGAGACGACGGGATCGTGTCCGTTTGGAGACAAGTGCCATTTCGCTCATGGAATCGCTGGTAAGAAGAAGCTGGCTTTTTTTTTGTCTCCGCTGGAGCAAAGTTTTGGGTTTTCGGTTCGTCGCAGAACTCCAGAAGTATGGTGGTGGAGGAGAGTCTCTTCCAGCGCAAATGGACTCCAAGGCCCAGTCTTCCTCATACTCGGACACCTCGGAAGCCAATCCTTCGCTGACGAGCAATCTTTTCCAGCAGCAGCTGCAACACCACCATCAAACACAGCAAAATCAAAGCCAGAGCCAGCAGCAGCAAAGCCGGATCCAGCAGCAAAAGCCTCCGCTAGTCGCAACTCAAGCACCACCGAGCTCGAAAGTCTGGAGGGGTCCTAGCGGCGACGCCATCTCCACGGTTTATGGAGACTGGCTCGAAGAGGAGGACGAAGAACAAGAACAAGAAGAGCAAGAGGACGAGGGCAATCATCCCATGGAACTATTCTACGAAGAGCTCCAAAGTTTCCACTAAGGCCGAATCTCAGGGAATATCCTCACCTTGTACGGCAGCGCGATGTACGTAAACGGCGTCGTTATCACCGCCGTTACCCTGGTGTGTTGTGGAGGAGCTTAAAGGTCGCCGCCGCTTCTAGCGCCATTTGTTCTTTGTTTCTTTAGGGTTCTTGGGCATGCCCAGCCAGGAGGAGGATGCGATGATCGAGGCGGAGGAGGATAAGTCCGCCAAGGGCTTGCCGCCGACGATGGAGCTCGACTGCGGCAGCAATGGCCATCACCAGGTAGACGATTTCTTGTCCGAGGGAGAGGCGGCGTCCTCGCCCGGCAGCGCGAGCAATGTAGCATCGTCACCCCGTGATGGCGGCGGCAATGAGAAGGAGGCGAGCATCGCGAGGCTGGCTCGCGAGAACGAGGAGCTGTCCGGGGAGATTGCGGCGCTCAAGCGGGAGAACGAGGCCGTGGCGCGGAGCGTGAGGAAGCTGGAGGAACAGGTGAGGGACGACGCCGCGAAGCTGGATTCGATCGCCCGGGAGACCGATGAGAAGAAGAGGGAGGTGCTGGAGGAGATCGAGGCTGCGAGGAGGCAGGTCTCGGCCCTGGAGCTGGACAAGGCGGGGCTGAGCCAGGAGAAGCTGGCTATGGCGGCGGAGAAGGGGAGATTGGAGGATGCTCTCGCGGTGGCCGCCAGCAACGTCTCGGAGCTCTCCAAGAAGGTGGACGACGCCGAGTCGGCGGCGGCAGCGGCCAAGGAGAAAGTTGCGCTGCTCGACGCCGAGGTTAGAAAGTTGGCAGGCGACTGTGAGATTCTCCGGGACTCCAACGCCGGGCTCTTGGCAATCAAGGCGGGGCTGGACGACGACTTAAAGGCGATAGCTTCGTCCAGGGAGGCGCTGCTCCAGGAGCGGGAGAAGCTACTGCTGGAGATCAAAGGCTTGGAAGCGGAGGCGAGCGGCGCAAAGGAGCTAGCGGAATCTATGCGAGCTCAAGACCAGGCTTTCAAGACCAGCCTCCTGTCGCTGGAAGAGAAGCTGGCAGCGGCGTCCCGACGCGAGGTCGAGCTGGAGACGAAGAACCACGCGCTGGCCTCGAGCATCCGGCAGCTCGAGGCGCAGGTGTGTGGGCTCCAAAAGTGCTCGTCGGAGCACGAGTCCCTGGCCGCGGAGCTCCAGAGGGAGAGGGAGCTCCGGGTGGCTCTCCAGGAACAGGTGGTCGGGCTCAACACCCGGAAGCTCTCGCTCGAGGAGGAGGTGAAGCAGGCGTTGTCGACGATCCAGAAGATGCAAGACATCACGCAGAAGGAGCAGGGGCAGCGGAGGATGCTCGAGGATCAAGTGTCGTCGATCATGAGGGAGAAGGTCCGGGTGGAGGAGGCCAAGACGGGCGTGGAGGCGGAGCTCAGGCAGCTGAGCTCGTTGTCCGCCAAGGCCGAGGTGACGGCCAAGGCGGAGGTGCTGAGCCTCAAGCAGAAGATCGAGGGGCTGGAGAGCTCGCTGGGCAAAGTCAAGGAGGAGGCTCTGTCGAGCGAGAAGAAGGTGTGGCAGCTGCGATCGGAGCTTAGCAAGGCCAGGGAATTGCTGGAGTGCCGGTCGAGCGTGGCGAGGTTTGCTCTTCCCGCGGCGCTGGTCTCGACCGGAGCGCTTGTGGCTGCTGGAGTTCTGGGATATTTTCGTGTCCGGCAGTTGGGAGGAGGCCAATGAAAGTTTTTGTAAAGAATATACTTAGAATATTAAGTATGTTCTGGAATATTTCTTAACTTAACGGATATTTTCTTGCCTGGGATAATTTAGTAGTATCTTGTTTTAATCTGCCTCTTGAAACTGTTGATGGAGCTTAGGCTTAAACCAAGTTAAACATAAAATAAAAATAAATACACTCAATGAAAAATTAAATAATATCTCAAGTTGGTCTGCCTAACTTATCCATTATCCTTACATTACATTTCCCATAAAAACTAATATGCCTCCACCTCCACAAATATAAACACCATCTATATTAAGGACAATATTAAATATGAACATGTTAAAACTAATACAGACATTTATAATAACCTTTGATGGTGATGGCATATGAAACATCTCAGCAAAAGACTTGCCCAAGTACTACAACCTCCACCAGCATTGTTCCAAGTTTTATACCTGTCCACTCCCACAAATGCGCACCAGTATATATTGCAACATTAAGTTCTTCTTCCTTACCTAACTTTAAATTTAAAACTCACTTTGATCAAATTCAAGTTGGATAAATAGAAAAGCTGATGGCAGTGATATCACATACTAGTAATGAATAAAAGAGAAAGTTGACAAAGTCCAAAAGTCTATGTTCAAATTGCATATCTATACCGCATTCCTGTAGGGTGGTTTAAAGTTCAATTTCTTATTCTAAAAGTTATTTTACCATGATCTCCATAACCTTTAGGAAGTATTTAGACACAAAGGTCAGATGAAGTGACTATGGATAAATCAAGTTGTTGTCAAAGAGCTACTACAACCCACTGGAAGAGAAACATGTGCTATTGAGACAATTAGTAGAAATGGAATGACAATTGTCATGTGCCATTATACCCTTTTAAACCCTAAATCCGCATTGTTTCCATGCTAAATAGTCCACAGTGAAATTCTGAAGTAGCTTGCCACGGGATTGTTATTGATTGTCCAATGTCTGCTTCATTTCATAACAGGACATATCAACTCGTTCAGTGTCATGCAACATTCTTAGCTTTTTAAATGTCCATTGGAAATTACTGTATATTCTTATAAGTCCTTCAGGTAAAGAGTTCGATTCCGTTCCAGTCCCTGGCTGGAAATAGAATGTCTGCAGGAGTTTTCATATATCATTGCGTGGGGTTCTGTTGCGCTTGGCGGAATCGCTAGATCGATCGATACATAGATCATGGAGCGCGGTTCTAGTGGCAGGGCTCAGCGCAGAATTGCGAGGATTGGCAAACAGCTGGAGGCATCAGAAGAAAAGAATGCCGACCAAGGTATGGGAAGTTTTCGCTTGCCCGATTGATGCTTGGCGCGCAGGATTGATGATGACGGAGACCATGAGCGTTGGATTGCCTGCGCTGGATTTATCGCGGGCATTCCCCCAGGCCACTCCAGCATCCAGCTTCCCTCCTTTAGGTCTGTGAGTAGATTTTTTCGTTCTTTCTTTTGTGCATTGGAGCAGCTAAAATTCTTTCCAGTCTCTGATTACTTCCAGCTCCATGACCTTCTCTCCAAGGAGGATCAAGATCTGCGGATGAGGGTGAGAACCGTCATGGAGAAAGAAGTCGCACCGATCATGGCAGAGGTTACTTCTTTCCTTGAAAGCTGGAGCTTTTGTTCATCGTTTCTTTGTGTTTCTTGTGTTACTTTCAGTACTGGGAGAAAGCGGAGTTTCCTTTCGAAATCGTTCCCAAGATGGCGAGTCTCAATATCGCTGGAGGTACAATCCAGGTTCGCGATGCTTAAAAAAAAAAAAGACACAAGAGATAATCAACGATAGACAAATCTCGAACGCAGGGATATGGCTGTCCGGGATTGTCTATACTGGGAAGTGCTATCGCTGCTGCCGAAGTTGCAAGGGTCGATGCAAGCTGCTCTACATTTATTCTTGTTCATTCCTCATTGGCAATGCTAACTATCGGTACGGTGTTCTTCTTCTTTGTGCTTATGCAAACTTTATATTTTTGGTTTTCGTAGCAATGTGTGGAAGCGAGCAACAAAAGCAAAAGTATCTCCCCCAGCTCGCCAAGCTCGACACCATCGCTTGCTGGGTAATAGCACTGCGTCTTTGATTGAATTTGGCGTGAGAGTTTTTTACAAATGGTGCAGGCATTGACAGAGCCCGATTACGGTAGTGATGCGAGCTCTCTGAGCACTACCGCAACAAAGGTTCACGACATAATGTTTGTTTTAAGAATTAATATTGGTGTATGTTATCTCAGGCTAAGGGAGGCTGGATACTAAATGGTCAGAAGAGATGGATTGGAAACAGTACATTTGCAGATGTTGCTGTCATTTTTGCACGGAATACGGAGACGAATCAGATCAACGGGTAGAAAAATCGCTCTTGTTTTTTAGCACCATAACACGTTGTTTATACAGTTTCATTGTAAGAAAGGGAACTCCAGGCTATCGTGCAACAAAGATCGAGAACAAAATCGGGCTGAGGATCGTCCAAAACGGGGACATTGTCCTCAAGGACGCGTTCATCCCGGACGACGATCGTCTCCCCGGCATAAACTCGTTCGCGGACACAAATAAGGTGACACAGAATTTCTCGAAAGACAAAGATGTTTTTAATGCTGATCGTTCCACTCAAAAGGTTCTTGCAATCTCCCGGATCATGGTAGCATGGCAACCAATCGGCGTGACAATGGGAGTCTATGATATGTGCCACAGGTATTCTTCGTTTTCGCTTATTTGGAGTAGAGTTTTTGGCTTGTTTCTCGCCATCCAGTGATCTAACGCATTGTTCCTTACGATTCGCTTGTGCTGTGTTTTGCACTTAAAAAAGGTACTTGCTCGAGAGGAAGCAATTCGGAGCTCCACTGGCTTCTCTCCAGATAAACCAGGAGAAGCTTGTCCAGATGCTCGGGAACATCCAGGCCATGGCGCTTGTGGGATGGCGGCTGTGCAAGCTCTACGATAGCGGCAAGATGACGCCAGGCCAAGCCAGTCTTGCCAAGGTACGCGCACGTCTTTGCCTTTGAAACGTTCCTTCTTTCTGACGTTAGAATGCCTTCCACAGTCTTGGAACACGAAGAGGGCGCGTGAGACTGTGGCGCTTGGACGAGAACTTCTGGGGGGCAATGGAATCTTGGTGGATTTCCTCGTTGCCAAGGTGTTCCCTCTCTCTTTTTTCTCGGCTTTACAAATTCTCTTTTGGTTCTACAGGCATTCTGTGACCTGGAACCAATCTACACGTACGAAGGGACGTACGAAGTGAACGCTCTCGTGACTGGCCGCGAAGTCACCGGCATTGCAAGCATCAGGCCGAGGAAAGCGTGATCTTGGCCAAATCTCTTCACAAAATAAAAGATTAATTATTGCTAATAAAAAGGGTATAATCTGTTGCCACGCGTACGGTTTGACCTGGTTTTAGGCGCTGGCAAATTTGTGGCGGTCAACGGTCCCGGCTTTATAGCCTAGAATCCGGCGCCAGGGATTGGGGGCCAAAGGATGGCTTCTCTCTCGTTCTCTTCTCGCAGATCGTCTTGTCTCGTGTTGTTCTTGATCGTTCTATCCTTGTCGTCGGGAGCTCTAGGGCGGCGATCGCTGCGCGAGGAAGCGGAGGATGGCATCGATCACCATGGGCGATGCCCGTGCCAGCAGTACTACGAGGTGCGCAGGGGCGAGACGCTCCAGACGATGAGCGTCAAGTGCCGCGCGCCCTACATCCTGGACGACAATCCACAGATCAAAGACGAGGACGATGTCTACCCCGGATTGGTGCTGTTCATGCAGTGCGAGGATGGCCTCGCCTTTTGATTCAAGCCAGGAGATTCGACTGTACAGAAGTTCTTGAGAGGGAGGGGAAGAGTGAGGCACACAAGTTCGATGATTCAATTGTATCGATTTCCATTCTTGCAAACACAGAGAGAACGCTTTCTAAAACCCGGAGAGTTTCAACTGACCGAGCAACAGAATTTCTCGCTCAACTGAATTTGGCGAAAAAAACTGTGAGTAACCGCCGATCGGGCGATGGGAGATGCGCGATCATCTGCGCGGCGGTGGATCCTCGCACTGCATCATGAGCACCAGGCCCTGGAAGAGATCGGTGGCGTCTCGGATCTGCGGGTTGTCCTCGAGGATGTAGGGCGCGCTGCACTTGCGGGCGATGCTCTCCAGCGTCTCGCCCTCCTCCACCACGTAAATCTGGTTGCACGGGCACTTCTCCTCCTCGCTCCCGCCGGATTGGAGCCTCCGGAACGCATGAGCGCCAGTCACGAGTGACGAAATCCACAGGACGAGCGCCAAACTCGCGAGGGAGAGAGATGATTTTGTCATCCTTGTTGGTCAAAACACTCAAGAGCCCCTAATTTCTGGCAGACCAAGTCACCCAAGAGCCCTAATTTCTATTTTAGGGCTCTTTATAGATTTAGGGCTATGAAGCGAGCAGGCGCTCCCGACGATGCCGCCGCTGCTGCTGCCAAGCGCGGCCGCCAAGAGACGGAGGTGAGGAGGGACTGCCCCTACCTTGACACAGTGAATCGCCAGGTAAGAGAAAGACTAGGGAGCTAGAATGCGTCGCGTTTCTTGGGAGGCCTGAGAGGATAAATCTTTACTCGCAGGTTCTGGACTTTGATTTCGAGAAGTTTTGCTCGGTTTCTCTCTCGAATCTCAATGTCTACGCCTGCCTGGTGTGTGGGAAGTACTTCCAAGGCCGGGGAAGGAAGTCTCATGCGTACACGCATAGCCTGGAAGCCGGCCATCATGTGTTTATCAACTTGCACAGTGAGAAGGTCTACTGCCTTCCCGATGGCTACGAGGTGGATGATCCATCGCTGGACGACATTCGCCATGTCTTAAATCCCAGGTAAAATTTTTCTCCTCTCTTTCTCTCATGAGTTTTCGTTTTCCTCGCTTTGGCGATGCTAATGTTATCCTTTTTAAAGGTTTACGGGCGCTCAAGTTTCGCAGCTCGATAAAAGCAAGCAGTGGGCGAGAGCTCTCGATGGCTCCGACTATCTACCTGGAATGGTGAGTGTCACTCGAGATGGAGTTTTAGTTTGGTTTACTGACACAGGGTTTCTGAAGCTTGTGTGTGGTGCTGTAGGTGGGGCTTAACAATATCAAGGAGACGGACTTTGTCAACGTCATAATACAGTCGCTCATGCGGGTGACTCCGCTCCGGGACTTTTTCCTGATACCAGAGAACTACAGGCATTCCAGTTCTCCTCTTGTCCATCGCTTTGGGGAGCTCACGAGGAAGATATGGCATGCCAGGAACTTCAAAGGACAGGTGTGATTTTCTTGTTCTCTTTCGTGACAAGGCTGCTGGTTCGTCTGCAGGTCAGTCCCCACGAGTTTCTTCAGGCGATCATGTCTGCCAGCAAGAAGAAGTTCCGTATAGGTGTGCAGTCTGATCCCGTGGAATTCTTCTCCTGGCTTCTGAATACGCTGCACAGCGAACTGGGTGGTACAACACTGCGCAACAGTAGCATCATCTACCAATGTTTCCAGGTGAGTGTTTTAAACAAGTGTGTCCGTCTTATGACTGGTGAAACAGGGCGAGCTAGAAGTGTTGAAGGAATTGCAGTCCGACCCGAATAACCGAGAGATTAGCAGGCTGCCATTTCTGATGCTTGGACTCGATCTACCCCCACCTCCACTTTTTAAAGATGTCATGGAGAAAAACATCATCCCACAGGTATATGAACATGTCAATCTCTCCTGATTGCTGACGCACATTCTTGTAGGTTCCACTTTTCAACATCTTGAAAAAGTTTGATGGTGAAACGCCGACTGAGGTGGTGAGGCCACAGCCAGCACGAATGCGTTATCGTGTAACGAGGTTGCCGAGGTATTTGATCTTACACATGAGGCGCTTCAAGAAGAATAACTTCTTTATTGAAAAGAATCCAACACTGGGTAAATTCTTGCTATCAATTCTTTGTAAGGCGTTTTCTCATTGTATATTTTGCAGTGAACTTCCCGGTGAAAAATCTGGAGCTGAAAGACTACATCCCACTGGGTTCCGCTGATGGCAGCAAGAAAGCCCGCTCAAAGTACGATCTCATTGCCAACACCGTCCACGATGGCAAGCCCAGGGAAGGCTCTTACCGCGTGTTTGTGCAGAGGAAATCGGAAGAAGTATGGTGAGTATTCTTGTTCTCCTTTCTCTTTCAGATTTAAAGGTCTGTTCGTCTTGCAGGTACGAGATGCAAGACCTTCACGTGACAGAAACTCTGCCGCAGATGGTTGCGCTCTCTGAGGCGTATATGCAGATCTACGAACAGCAGCAATAACCAAGCCGATCTTGGTACGTGCTCAAGATTTAACTTTGGTTTTTTTTTTATTCTTTCTTTACGTCTCCCGGTTTGATTCAACGCTCTTCGCTTTCACAGTGCATAGTAATTCCCGGTACGTGCTTGCTTCCGTTTTCTACAATAGCTTCAAATTCCTGGGCCTCATGAATGAAATCAGTTTTGCTGCTGCTATAGTGGACTGGACATGACTGAGAGTTCCCTCTTGACGTTTAGTACCTTAATGCTCATATACCTTGATATCGCAATCGCTGGCCCGCTGGAGGCAATGGTAGTGATCAGCAAGGACGAGTGTCAAAATCGAATAGAATTACCACCATCGCTTTCCACGCGTTTAAGAGCACCAAGTTACAAAACCCTGTGTTTGCAGAAGAAGTAACTGTGTGTGTTTGCGTTGCACCTAAGGTGAAAAGGAAGAACCTTACTGATGCTCACATACACCATACACACACAAGGTTTTTCTCGTCTGGCTTTAAATTTTTCTCCTTTTTCCTGACTGTCCTCAGCGAGCAGCGGCAAGCGGCCTGCCCGAGAAATCTCTACAGGCAGCAGCGAGAACGAAGACGAAGACGAAGAAGAAGAAGAAAAAGAAGAAGAGAAGTAAGAAACACTGTAAAGGGGCGTCTACAACCTAGAGACGGAAAAAGACCGATTGCAAGCCAGAGGATCTCCTCTTTCTCCGACTCTTGCGAAGAAGCGAAATAAAATTACTAAATGGACCAGCAGAGGTTTCAGGAGCGTACTCACAGTGGTAAGAAGATGCAATGCAGCAGTAGCACGGCCTGGAAGATAGTGACAAGCCGAGCAGCAACGAGGCCTCTCCTCTGGAAAGAAATAAAAAAATAATAATATTTGAGCAAAGCTAAAACAAAACATACCTCCATCAAAATGCCACCTTGAGAGCGAGAGGAAGCATTCGCCTTGTTGCGACGCACGCAGCCATTGTCTTCCCTCCATTTCTCCGCAATTCTTTATCCCTTCCACCGCCGCTTCTTCCTCTTCTTCCTCTTCTTCTTCTTCTTCTTCTTCTTCTTCCTCTTCTGCTTCCAGTAAAAGTGACTCCAGTGATTCTTTTGCTTGTCTCCTCGCTGATGTTGGCCGTGCATCATCATCATTTCGATCCTGCCGCTGGCCGCTGCTCGTTTGAAATGGGTCCTCCCACCTCTCTTTCGCCAGTGATCTCATCCTTGTCCAGGAAAGAGTAATGTGCAAGCTTGTTTGTCTCTACATGTCTGGCTCTTGCTGCCGCTGCTGCTGTGTCCGAAGCTATCAGTCTTTCTGTCGAAGCTTCTCCCTCGGTCTCGTAGCTCGAGCAAAGTTAGCCTTTCGAGAAAATCGCCAGGCCTCTCTAGCTTGTAGATCTCGCTTCCAGTCAATTCTTCAGCCTCCAGTAGGTGTGTAGAAGTTTTCGTGTCGGCCATGTCATGCCGGAGAGGATTGTCACTCGTTCTACTCCTGTTCTTGATCCATCTCGCGTCGGCTTTGGAAACCGGAGCGATCAACGCCACCGGAACAGCTCACAGGAGGAGGCTGTCCCGGAGACAGGTGCTGGAGCTCCGGAAGAAGCTCAACAACATCAACAAGCCTGCGGTGCACACCATCCGGGTAACCAAACTCCTCCTCCAGATCTTTGTAGCAGCGTCTTAGAGTTGTTCTTTCCCCAGAGTCCAGACGGGGACATAATAGACTGCGTTCTCATCAGCAACCAACCGGCATTCGATCACCCGCTGCTCAAAGATCACAAACTCCAGGTGTGTTGTGCTGACTTGCGAGCATAACTGGGCTTAGAATCGCTGTCTCTTGTCCGATGTGTAGAGCAAACCAGACTTCTGGCCAGACCAGGAGGATGGAGCAGCTTCAACCGAATCCAGCCCAGGCGACGACAAAGTCTCGTACCAATTGTGGCACCAAAGCGGAGAGTGCCCCGAAGGAACCGTCCCCATCCGAAGAACAACTATAGATGACATACTCCGCGTCGGTGGTTCTGTCAGCCGCTACGGTCGCAAAGCAAGGCCACCCCCCAATCCTAGAAGAATAAGACCACCCGAGCCTGCTCAAGGCAGCCATGAGGTAAGCATCTCCGCATCTTTCTTGCTGGAGTCTCAAAAGTTTCTCTTTTTCGCAGCATGCTATCGCGTTCATCAACGGAGGCCAGTATTACGGTGCTCAAGCGTCCCTCAACGTATGGAAACCAGCCATCCAAGTCCCGAACGAGTTCAGCCTCTCCCAAATGTGGTTGCTTGCTGGTTCCTTCTATGGCGATCTCAACAGCATCGAAGCCGGCTGGCAAGTAAGGACCCTTTCTCGGACTTCACTTCGAGAGTTTACTGACTGGCTCGAGTGTCTTTCAGGTGAGTCCACTGCTTTACGGCGACAGCAACCCCCGGTTGTTCACATACTGGACGGTGAGTTTGAAATCTCCAGTTTGTTTCCGTGCTCAATATACTGTGATCGTTTCCAGAGCGATGCATATCGAACCACTGGCTGCTACAACCTGCTGTGCTCAGGCTTCATACAACTCGGGAGGAGTATTGCCATTGGTGCTACAATATCCCCCTTGTCACTGCTCAATGGTGCTCAATACGACATCCGGATCCTCATCTGGAAGGTAAAACCCATCAGTTTGAATCAAATGCAAAAGAAAGAACTCGAGCTTGTTTCACTCTCTCCCAGGATCCCAGAACCAAAAACTGGTGGATGAGATTCGGACCAGGTATTTTACTAGGATACTGGCCAGCGGAGCTCTTCACTCATCTCGGCGATCATGCGTCCATGATCGAGTGGGGAGGGGAGATAGTTAATACAGCACCTCGAGGCCACCACACGGCTACTCAGATGGGAAGCGGACACTTTCCGTCACAGGGATTCGGGCAGGCTAGCTATTTCAGGAATCTGGGATATGTAGACGGCACAAACAAACTGAAAACGCAGGTTATGCTCCAGACTCTAGCAGAACATCCCAATTGCTACGATATCCTTAGAGCAACTAGCGGGGACTGGGGGAACTACTTCTACTACGGAGGACCCGGTCAGAATCCTCGTTGTCAACAGTAAATACGCTCGACTGGCACTCACAGATACAATGACTTTGGCATACACTGCTGGATGCTAACAACTGGAAAGTTCTTACCTTAGACAAACCATTTTTTAAGAGCCCGCTGGGAAGTGACTGCGCAAAAGAGTGATTATCAGTTCTTAAAACGCAGAGGGGAAGAATCCCGTACCTTGTAAACGCGGCAGCCGTAAAGAAGAGGATAAGTTTAAGCTTGTTTGGTGTTTCCAGGGGAGGCGATGATGATCCAAGTTGAAGCAGCAGAAGAAGAAGTATGATAAGTTCACGGCATCAAGGTCAACCGGATGCAATTAAATCGGCTGCCAAACTCGAAGTCGTTGATTGATCGCCATCGATGAGAAGACAGCCGGACTCCACACAAGGCATGATGAAGAGAGAAAGAACGTTGTTCGTTCCCAGTTTTCCCTCCTTGTCTCATCTGTAAGGTTACGTGATCGCAAAGGTATTAGTAGCCAGCTATGGTTGTCATGCATCTATGGAACACAACGAAGAACAAAAACTAAAAACTAAAGCGCTCCAAAAAAGTATGATGCTAATCTTCCTCCACCATGGAGGAAAGGAAGAACTAAAAAGCTTTCTTCCTAAACTAGCTCCAAAGTTCTCGACATTCTTCCTCCACTATAGAGGACAGGATGAAGCAAAGAAAAGTTCTAAAAGCTTTCATCTAAAACTAGCGATGCATTGGGCAACGAAAACAATCCAGCGTGATCTAAAGAAACCGAGAAAAAAAAATTGAGCACTAACCTTTGAAAGCACTCTTGCGCGACTTGTGATGATGATGCGAGCGAGCATGTGATTGCGATCTCCGAGCAAGCCGTTCCCCTCTTTTTGCTGTGCTTTCGTTCTAAACTAAAACGCGTGCTTCAAAAGAAGGAAACAAAAGCCTGGCATGGCAGTACCTTGCGAATCGAAAACCATAAAAAAATCCAACAAGGAATGCGTTCGATCGCGATCGCCCTGGCAAGAGCCCTAAAATTCAAAAATTTATGGAGCTTCAAGAACCCTAAAATTCTAAATGTTATGGATGGAGCCACCGTCGCTTATTGGGCGGATCTCATTCGCAATGCCAACGATGCCGCGCAGCTCAAGCGCCTCCACTCCAAGGTCCTCTCCAGCGCCCACTCCAGCGTCTACCTCTCGAATCTCCTCATCCAGATGTATGGCAAGGCCGGGGATTTGGCGCAGGCGCGAGAGGTGTTTGATCGCGAGGCGGGCAAGAATGTCTTCTCCTGGAACATGATGCTGGGCGCGTACGCGAGCAATGGCGAGCTGGAGGAGGCCAGCGCCATCTTCACCGCGATGCCCCAGCGCGATCGCGTCTCCTGGAACGCCATGATCGCCGCTTACGCCCGGGACGGGCATCTGGCAAAATCACGGGAGATCTTCGAGAAAATGCCGCACAAGGATCTTGTTTCCTGGAACTCGATGGTCGCGGCGTATGCCAAGGATGGATTGGCAGAGGAGGCGCGAGAGATCTTCGAGAGAATCCCCCATCGCGATGCTGTGTCTTGGAATTCGATGCTTGCTGCCTATGCCCGGAGTGGGGATTTGATCAAGGCCAGAGAGTTGTTTTCCCAGATGCCTACCAAGAACATCGTCGCGTGGAACTCGCTCTTGGGCGCTTACATGGAGGCCGGGGATGTCGCAGAGGCCGAGAGGCTCTTCCACAGCATGGAAAGCCGCGACGAGATCACAGTCACGACCATGATCCGTGGATTCGCCAGGCACGGCCTCGCCCACAAATCCATCCAAGCCTTCGAATCTATCCAGAGCCCGAGCACGGCGATCTGGAGCGCGGTGATCCAGGCGCTGATCTCAACCGGGGAGACCGCCGTCGCGAAGAACTTGCTCGAGCGAATGCCAGAGAAGAAAATCCATCTCTTCAGTTCGCTGATCGCAGGACTCTCGAGCTCCGGGGATGTGGAAGAGGCCAAGAGAGTGTTCGATCGAGCGCCACAGCTCAACGTAGCGGTGTGGAACTCGATCGTGGCGGCGTATGCCCAGAACGGGCATATCGCGGGGGCCGAGCTCGTCTTTGGTAGCATGGCCGAGCACGATCGCATTTCTTGCAACACGATCATCGCCGCGCTTGGAATCACTGCTGCCATCGAGCGCGCGCTCCAGATCTTTGATCTTATGGAAGAGCACGACATCGTCTCGTGGGCATCTCTCCTCGCAGCGTATGCCCGGAGCGGGCAGCTTGAAGAGGCGAGATCTCTCCTCGAGAGAATGCCCGAGAGGAACCTGGTAGCCTGGAACTCACTGCTCGCGGCAGAGACCTCTCTCGATCGCGTCAAGCTCTTGTTTGATTCCCTCCCGGAGTGGAGCGCAGTGTCGTGGACGATCCTCCTCGCGGCCTACGCCCGGAGTGGCCGGACAGAGGAGGCGCTGTGGGCATTCGACCAGGGAATGCCCGAGCACGATGCGATCGCATGGGCGGTGCTAGCGCACGAGATCGCTGGCCACGGCCACACCAGCGAGGCGCTCGCCATCTTTGATCGAATGCCCCGCAAGGAGCTGGTGTCGTGGGCGCCAGTGATCGAGGCCTGTGCACGAAACGGTGATCTTCACCGATCCTGGGAGCTCTTCCTAGGCGTGCCGGAGGGATCCAAGGACCTGCTGGTGTGGACGTCGATGATCACGGCGTGCGCCGAGAGTGGCGAGCTCGACCTCGCTGTGGAGCTCGCGGCAAGAGCCCCGGAGCGCGACGCGGTGGCGTGGACGGCGCTCATCGCCGGGTTTGTGCGGCGGGGCCGCATCGATCGAGCAAGAGTCCTCTTCTCGCGGCTGCCCGAGAGCGGTGACACGGTCGCGTGGAACGTCCTCGTCCATGGCTACGCGCTCGCGGGGAGAGGGAAGAGGATGCGATCGCTGGAGCTCCTCCGCGAGATGGATCTCGAGGGAGGGAGTCCCAGCGCCGCGACGTTCACGGGGGTTCTCACTGCTTGCAGCCACGATGGGCTGCTGGATCATAGCCGCAAGTGTTTCCTCTCCATCGCCGGGGATTCCCGGGGCTTCCAGCCGACGATGGAACACTACTGCTGCATGATCGACGTGCTGGGGCGATCGAGGCAGCGCGGCCGGGCCAAGGAGCTCTCCAAGAACATGCCCTTCTGGCCCGACGAGGTGGCACTGACCGCGCTGGGCGTTAGGGCTTAACTGTCCGCTTCAGCTGAAGCGACGGTTGTGCCAGCGGGCTGCTGCCGCGTGGCTTCTTTTCGCTTTTGGATTCACGAAGGGAGCATGAAGTAAGTGTTTCTCCTCGATTTGGATTGAGCTCTCTTTTTATCAGCTTTGGGAGTGGCGATGCGATTCTTTGGGACGGTCCAATCCGTGGAACCACTGCTGGCGATGCGCTCTTCCGGTTCTACAACGGCTTCGCTTCCCGCAAGCAACCCGGGCAGGATCTAGACAGCCGGCTCGATGTTCTTCGGCGCTTCGTCATGGCTGGAGGTACGATCGATTAAGTTTCTTGCAAAATGATGGAGTTCTTTGTTCATCAGAAAGACCCGCAACAGTTCCAAACCGAAGGTTGCCGCGCTACAGGCGAAGAATCGACACAGACAATCTAGCAGTTTTCCCGATAGACGGCGGGCGGAGGAAGGCATCATTTATCCTTGAGAAGATCAAGGAAGATCTCGCGGATGCGGGGCTTCCGGTACCTCCAGCAAGTATATAACTTGAAGGTTTGTATTCGTCCCAAAGTTCGATGTTATCATTGTCTAGGGGCGGTCATGGACTCGAAAGAGAAGCAACGCCTTCAAACCATCTTTGAATGGAGTGGCTTTGATGGGGTGAGTTCATTCTCTCGGTCGTATAAGATTTATCCTTTCTTTCGCTGATGGGTTGCAGAAAATGGAAGATCTTGCTCCTAAAATCGCTCCCGTTCCTCGGGTTGTGAAAGGTTCCAAAGAGGAGAAAGAACATCTCATGAACACAAGTAAATCTTCCTCAAGAATCGTTTTTTCCACAGACCTTAAACTTGCTTCCCTGCAGTTGCTAGAGAAATAGGCGAGCGAGAGACGTTCCTGAAAGAGATGGAAAAGTTTGGGAGTGACAGGAAATACCGGGGACAAATCCGCTGGGAAATACAAGACGTAAGCTTCTCGCTTCTCTTCTTAAGACTACTGACAAAATCAAAATCGCATTTTTGGCTTTCAGAGGTTAAATCAGATGAAGCAACTGGATCGTCTCATCGCCGAAGACGACGCTAATCTTCTCGCCAACAAAGTCATCCAAAGAGAAAGTCGCAACACCAAGAAAGCCATCCAATGGCGACGCTAAAAAAACCAAAAAGAGGACCAGCGCAAAATTTTCCAAAAACGTGAGAGTCGCACTCTTGGACTAAAACATCTTCACGATTACCTGCGTGAAAGCGAAGAACCTGTGATCCCACTCTGGGATCCAACTTTAAACCTTTACAATTCTCCACAAGAAAAGCTCCAAAATGCTTGGAGCTGGAGCGGTAGCACACCGTTGCATCAGGCCACCCTGCTCCACAAATCATATCGTCATCGTCTTCACCTAGAAGATCTCCGGCCTATCGGAGACGCGATCGAGTTTGCCTTCCATACATCCGGGCCAGCGGGAGATACCCATCCCTGAATCGCGTGTTATAGTTGAGCTCTGGCTTGAGGCTTACGGAGAAAAAAAGACCCTCAAAAGAGGTTTGAAACCTACGTAGCGGATATAAGGGACAAGAAGACAATCCTTTTTGGTGCGGCAACCCTCATTGGATTTTTCCAGGATGAGCGCCGAAGGTAAGTGTAGCTGGGATGTGTTCGTTGTCTGATTTGCGTGTGCTTCGCTTTGAACAGTGTTGCAATCGCTTCAATCCTGGTGGCAGGATTATGTCTGGAGTTTGAAGCTCGAGGACATTGCAGCGGGCAAGGTTATCAAGATGTTCGATGCAAGGCTGACGGTCCTCCGAGGAGCAGACAAGAGGCTTTCCGGCCTGTACGTAAGGAGGACGTACGGCCCTTTATTTGAGGCGATCACTTCCAGGGCTACAGAGGCTAATGGCGATTGGATTTGCCATCTAAACGGCAACTCTGGCGTGGGCAAGTCAGCATTCCTTTGGTACTTCATCATCAGAGCCGCTATATTGTTAAGAGATTCCGAGCTGCGCATTCTCTACGAGTCTGCCGGCTTCATATGGGAGTTCAGAGGCAATACGGTCCATGTGGCAAAGCGCGACGAAGTCTCTCTGGGCACATTTATCAATGCCCCCTGGCATCTGATAAATCAAAAAGTCCCCACAGATGGTGCTCTCGGACGTGTTCTATTAGTTGCGGCTTCGCCAGCAGCGGAAAATGTCAAAGCTGCCAAGGCCGACCGGAAGAAGACTGTTATGTACATGTACCCGTGGGAGGAAGACGAGTACACAGCCTTGGTGGGGTTGTGGAGGGTTCATTACCAGAACGTCGAAGCTGAGATGAAAACTATCCAGGCTAGCCTGCGCAAGCTTGAGGAGTGGGCGAAGGTGACGTATCAGTTTGGGGAGTCCATGGTGGAATATTCAACGAGCTGTGCAGATTTAGCGGCAGTTCCCATTTTGAACGAACGCGTACAGAGAATGCTGCGGGAAGATGTCAAGGAGCAGGGACGGCCAGCAAGAGAGTTAGCTTTTCAACTCCAGGTGCTCATCGAAACGCTCGAGAAACAGGTGCAGGCCGGCTTCCAGCGTGTGGAAGCTGCTCCAGAGTACTACAAATGGTTCGGAGGCGTCGTGAGAAAGCTCTGGTCTGGTGACACCCCGAGTTTGAACCAAGGAGGATTCTTGAAGAAAGTCCAGAAATCGTTAAACAACACCAACCTCCTACGCCTCTTGGGAAGCACGCGAGGCAAATCCCGAGGGGAGGATATATCCTGGCGGCTCCTACATTTTAAACCGGCCAAGAGCTCTTCGTTCCAAGATTACTACCTCGACTTTTGCAGTGTAAAAGTCCAGGCTCAATTCACTCTGGCTCTTACGAGCATGAAACCGAAAGACCTGGAGCTCTTCATGTGGACTGCGTTACCTGAAGACGGGGTGCTTCAAGGCTTGGTTTTCCAGGAGCTTTCCACTGCTTACGTACTGCGTGGAGCTACGCTGGTTATGGTGAGTTACTGTTCGTTTCTTACATGTACTAATCCTTGTTGCTGATATGTCGATGACAAGCACCGTAAATGTCGTGAAGATCCTTCAAACCGAAAAAGTGGATTTCATGCGATGTTTGGCAGCCTTTGGAATTGATACCGCTGTTGCGATACTACGAAGGAGATCTGAAAGCTGCTCTACTGGAGGCTGGTAAGTTACTGCAGAGCGGAGTTACCATTGGTTGGCTAATTGCGAATGATGGCAGGTGCCGATGCTATCCACTATGTGTGGAGGCCAGTGATCCAGAATAATGGGGCTGTGGACTACACTATTCTTCCTAGGACGCTGGCACAACCAACTTTAGCAGCATGCCATCCAGTAGCGGCAGAAGCTCTTCAAACACATATCAGTGCTCTTCGTGCATGGAACGATATCTACGGCGGGACCAGTAAGCCCGAGGAGTTTGTACTCTGCTTCTTCCTGGCGAAATCGAACTATGACGAATTCGGCTTCCAGAGCTACCGCGACAAGTCCCGTAGGGTAACAAAACAAGCTGTGAAAGGTTCGTTGCATACGCTTTTGTAGCTGCTCATACTTATAGGAACAAACGATGCAGGTATTCGCCAGTGCAAAGTGTTGCTGCGGTACACTGTTCCCGCTCCATGTGCAAAGGAGATGGTGATTCCCAAGGGTGTCGAGATTGTGGATGACATCGAGCAGTGCAAGTTTGACGGTGAAGTGTGCGAAACTAACTTTTTTGATCCAGGGGAGGACCTCCGACGAGACGAGGAGGTGAGTATGAACAAGAAGCGGAAGTTTGCCTTCTGCTGTTTGAAGTAGAAAGTTTGTGTCTCTTCAAGAATGCATAGGGACTTTCTCTGCCTTTCTCATATGACAAAAGTTCGGTCCAGATATTCTCAGAGCAACGGATTTTAGAGTAAAAATTATGAACTAAGCTTTCTCATTGAGTACCACTCAATGAGAAATTAACATTCTCTTAAAATTTTAATATACTATTAGCTGGCGCTGTGATCTAAGGTATCTCTTGTTCTGTTCTGTTCTACTGTCAGTACTGCAATTTCTTGACTAGTTCGATTAGCCATAGCTCTATAGCTTGCGGTACCTCCTGCGAGTATGCAACTTGTTTTCAAAGTTTGATAAGTATTTGTTTGTGTCATGTCATGGACTCGCAACGCCTTCAAACCATCTTTGGATGGAGTGGCTTTGATGGGGTAAGTCTATTCTCTTGGTCACCCACGATTTATCTCTCCTAAATGGAAGATCTTGCCCCTAAAATCGCTCCTTGTGAAAAGGTAACATCTTTTGACCACATGTAAATCTTCTTCTAGAATCGTTCTTTCTTCCGAGCGAGAAACGTTCCTGAAAGAGATGGGAAAGACAGGAAAATCCGCTGGGACGTAAGCTTTTCTTTTCTCTTCACAAGACTGCTTACGGAATCAAAACTCATATTTTCGGCTTTCAGAGGTTAAATCAGATCGTCTCATCGCCGAAGACGACGCTAATCTTCTCACCAACAAAGTCATCCAAAGACACGAAAGTCGCAACTCCGACGCCAAAGGACCCAAAAAAGAAGTATTTGTGTTGTGGTCCAGAGCAAACATTTCCCAAAGATGTGAGAGTCGCGCTCTTGGACTAAAACCTCTTCACGCGCTTCTCGAGCAAGCGAAGAACCTGTGATCCCACTCCGACACTTCCGGAAGAACTTTAAACCTTTACAATTCTTCCTATTCCTTCTTATTTATCCACAAGAAAAGCTCCAAAATGCTTGGAGCTGGAGCAGTAGCATCAGGCCACCTTGCTCCACACAAATCACATCGTCATCGTCATCATCTAGAAGATCTCCACCCAAAGAAGATCGAAGAAACGCAAAAAAATCGATCGCGCCTCCGCTACTTACACCAATGCCGCAGCCGCCTCCTGGATCAAAGGCTTGGTCGCCACCAGCAGCTCCGAGGCCCGGTGCTCGTGCTCCCGCGACGACGAGCTCCCCTTGCCATCGCCAATCTCCTTGACAAACTGGACGAACCTCCTCCAGTTCTCCGGATGAAACAGCCGCTCGTTCATCCGCAAAAATGTGAAGCAACACATCGGCTCGTACGCCCGCTCCATACTCTCCTCGCCCTCCACCTCGAGCCGCGACTTCATCACGATCTGGTGATAGGCGCCCTCGTCGTAACGCGGCAGCGCGTTCTCTCCGGCCAGAGGAACACCCGCGGACTTGGCCGCCGCCACCACCTGCTTGAGCAGCCCCTCGGGACTACACTGCGCGGCCGCCGGCTGCTCCACGTCTCGCATCTCGAAGCACGTAAAGTTGAAAGTCACGCCGTGCCTTCCAAACATCCGGGCCAGTGGGAGATAGCCATCCCTGAATCGCGTGTTGTAGTAGCCGGCCGTGAGCTCTGGCGCGTGCGAGCGAGTGCCATAGTGCCAGTGGATCCCTGCGACTTTGGCAGACAGCCGGACGGGGCTGCCTCGGAAGATGCCCTCGGCAGCCGTGAGCACCGACTCCCCGTGTTCTATCAGCTTGCCAGAGTACCACTCGAGGAAGAACCTGCCGTAGTCCGTGTTCCAGCCCCCGTCCCGCTTGAAGAAGATGCTGTCCTCGGGCCACTGGTTGTAGTGGCCGGCGTCCGAGGGAGCGCACCCCCAGTCGGGCTTGCCGATTGATTCGGCGCTGGCTTTCAGGCTTGCAAGCATGTACTGCACGAAAAAATCCAACACTCAGAAAACAAGAAACAAACAAAAGAAGTTGGAAACTTACGTTGTCATGGCACTGAAATTCCCCTACCCCGGGAAATTTCCAAATCCCATCTCTCTCCGGATACCCAGGATATCTCAGCTCCCCGGCAGGGCCCATCCCGACTTGGATTTCCTGCGGAAGTAGCAAAAGGAAGAGTTCGTCAATCACACAATCCACCTCTGTACTTATCATCATCCCAGGCTAGATAGCTTACCACGATCACGTCTCCCAACATATCACTGAACGACTCCTTGAAGCTCCTCATAAAGTCCGAGTAAGCTTGCACCGGTGTTCTTCCTTTGAGCACCGGAAGGTGGTCGCATCCCAGAGAAAGGTACTCGAAGTTGCGATTACCGTAGCGGTCCGTGTAGACCATGTCCGGATTATTCTTTGCCTCCTCGACGACCCACCACGGCAAAGGGATGCTGCAGCACGCAAGACTTGACTTAGAAATCACCCAAGCAAAAAGTGGATCAAGCAGAAACATGGAAAGCAATCCAAAACAGAGCACGATGGAAAGGAAGAATGAACTTACAAGGCAGAGTCTCCAACATTTCCTCCGCATTGGTGGAAGGACATGACCGCCTGGACCTTGAGCCCGTGCTTCTTGGCCATCTCCAGGAGCTCCCGGTACCCAGACCAGTTGTAGTTGCAAGGCCCATCCTTCTCCACGATCCCCCACCACACATCCACCATCACACCCTCCACGCCCGCGCTCTTGAGCGCCTGGAAGCTCGCATTCATCGCTCTCGCGCGATTCACCTGGTTGTTCCCACTGTTGATGCTATCCAGAGGGAGCATCACGTACACCGGGACGCCACTCCTCTTACCCTTGCTCGTCGGGGTCTCTTGCGCGCTGTGCTCCTTCTCCACGGGTGGAGCGATTTTGGACGGGAATCCACTGGGGGAGGGGCTGGAAATCCCGTGCTGGAGCTCAAACGGCCGCTCCTCGAAGAAATCCGGCGCTAGAGCTGGGCCATGCGATGCTACCTGGGACGGGAAGCAAGAGATTGGCGAGGAGGAGCGATGCTGCTGGGGCTGCTGCTTCCACCATTCCTCCGCCGGGGGCGACGCCATATGGCAGATTATCGAGCGCCTGGCTAGGGTAGAGCACGATACCCTGGTCGTGGAGAAATCCGGATTCCAGACGCTGGCGCTCGTCGATGGCTCGGATTCCGGGAAGAGAGCCCTGCCGCGGCCAACGATTGAGCTGCTACTCATCAAGCCGGATGCTGCAGACGACATAGCCGCTCAATCAAGCCAAGCTTTCGATCACAGAGAGGCGCTAGCTAGAAATTTCTTACGAGATGGCGCGAGGAGCAGTGGCGCGCGGGCTGGAGGCTTGATCGAAGAAGAAATCACGAGAGGAAGAGAGAGAGAGAGAGAAAAATGGAGAGAATGCTTTCCCTCTTTCGCACCGCCGCTTGGCAAACACGATCCTTTTCTAGATGCGCGGCCACGAAAGCAACTAGAAAAAGCGTAAAAGATGGTGGAAAGAAGAGCAGCGTCCGACGCACGGCTCGGAAGGATTCCACGCGCATATTCGCGGCCTCCCGTAAAGAAACGCGAAAGAAGATAGCACGTTGGATAGTTTCAAACGGCAAAAGCGCGTATGTTTGCCCCCCCGCAAACTTGTTTTTCGAATTGTCCGGCAACAAGAAGATAAGGCGCCAAAGCATATTCCACGCACATTCCGGCGCTCCACGTCGAATGCCACATGGAAAGCGTGATGTGCCGAAATATCTATCCGGCCTCATATCCAATCGACACGTGTTGGACCCAGCAATGGGAACAGTTGTCGCGATTTTGGCCAGGAAAACAGCCGTACAAAAAACACGTGGCGGCATCCGGTGCCTCCAGTAACCTGGTGCCAGATACACGCCGTGCAACTGGGATCAGCGGACGTGTCACCGCGTGTCGCCTGAGGCCAATAATACTCTACATATTTATATTTAGGGTTTCAGGAAAAAGATGGTGGGCATCGACGAGATAATAGACAAGGAACGCTCATGCTGGACGAGAAAATGGACAATCAAAAGCATGGGTCTAGAGGAAGAATATGTAAACAGTTCCAAGGAGCCAAGGGAGTTTTTAAAGTGCTACCTCTCCAAAATCAGAGAGTATAGGTATGTTAGGATGATGTTTTAGAGGTATTTCGATGTTGTGTGCCCATGCAAGCAGTGGCGTTGCTCCCAGCGGCGATGCAAACCAAAAGAGAGGGGAGATCATCGCGGTTGTGTCAAGCATTTCGCGGGATTCTCACCTGGATCTTCTGGATCAAGCATTGGATGTTGTGGCAGGGCCATATGTGTGTTTCGGGTTGCTTCTGTGGTGTAGCTACTACCTCTACCTCTACAGGTGGGAGCGGCTCGCAAATGGGAGCGTGGTGAAGCTTTGCAGCGACAGCTTCTATCTGTGCAGCAATGTGGTTCCTGCAATCTGCAGCATGTTCAGGCGGACCCGAAACCCCCGCGTCAGGTTCATACATTTTGACGAGGTGGAGCTCCCCATGCACAAGAGGCGCAAGTTGAAGCCTGTAGATGGTGAGGTCGTGAGGGAGTCGGATCATGACAAAGTCGTGTGGGATGATCAGTCGAAGCATTGCGATGCTGGCTTCGTGTGGGATGATCTGTGGAAGCATTCGGAGGATGACTTCGTGTGGGATGATCAGTCGAAGCATTCGGATGATCAGTCCAAGATGGTGTCCTGCAATTCGTTACCTTGGTATGAACCATAAAGTGAAAGATATAGTTCTGCTGTAAGCTCGATCACGTGTCAACAGAGCTTGCTTTGTTTCCTGGCAGTGAGATCTTCATGGACTCTTCTGAAGATTTTCTCTCTTTCACCAACGGGTTCAACACAACCAAAACCAAATGTCCCGCAGCAATCCTGTCCGGAAACAAAGGTGGCTGACAGCAGGATACAGCCATCAAGGAAACAACCAAGTGGCCATGCTTGCGACGTCGCGATCACACAAGCTTGTTCCATTCCTGCAAAGCACGCAGAAGAAACAACATTGTCAGGAACGTAGAAAACAATCGACTTTGCACCACTCGGACACTTCAGAGTTTGGATTCATGGGGCCATAAGTTCTCTGCTATCTATCAGCTCCAAAGTGCCCCCTAAAGATCATATTTCTTCTTCAGTTCTAGAGCTGGAAATAGAGTAAGAACTTTTCCAACGAGTACGTAACAGTTGAAAGCCATTTTCCGCGAGCCGTTTCGTAGTGTTGTTCTCTCTCTTCATCTTCTCTTCGGTTGGTTCCAAGGAATAGATTTCCATTCTCTCTTCATCCTGGCGGAAATGGCGAGGGAATGAGAACTGAGAATGAGAGTGTCCCCACCGTTGCACCTCTGTGCTGGATCATGGAGTAAATCGTCATACTCCCTGTCCAATTTTGTCACTTTGCTTCCGGATTTCTCCAAGCCTCTGGCTCGTCCTCTTGCTTGGCCGTGAGTCTCTGAACGAATTTGTAATGGCTGGCTGGACTGCGTTTCGGTGCTTTGGAAAGTCGCAGCCACTCACTCTGTTCCACTGTCATCTTTCTGGCAGCCTTTGACACGCGATAAAACTTGCCTGGAGCATTCCTTCATACGGCCGAGCAGGACGAACGGTCCGAAGTCGAGATGAGGTGAGTACTACTACCTTCATCAAAGTGCAAGCCATCTCAAATCAAAGCAAGAAAACTTTGGAGAGCTCAGGTTGAAGCAGGAAGCTGGAACGATGCATCTCGAGGCGGCAGGAGGAGGAGAGACACCAAGGAGATCGGAGCTCCAGACGCTCCACTCGCTTATGTCCATCGACAACCAGCTCAGTATCGGGCACTTCAAGCAAGTCCCGCTCCGCGAGAAAGGGACCGGCCTCGAGTTTGAGGACATCACCTACACGGTGGTCAAGAAGCAAAAGAGCAAAGAAGGTGGCGGAAGGATTACCCGGCAAGTCGATTTGCTCCAGCACATAACCGGCTACGCTCCAAAAGGCCATATCACTGCGGTGATGGGGCCGAGCGGCGCTGGAAAGTCGACGTTCCTGGATGCTCTGGCTGGCAGGATTGCGAGTGGAAGCCTCCAGGGAATCGTAACGCTCGACGGGAAACGAGTGAGCCCGTCACTCATCAAGCGCTGGTCCGCCTACGTGATGCAAGACGACCAGCTCTTCCCGATGCTCACCGTCTGGGAGACTCTTCGCTTCGCGGCCGATATGAGGCTCCCGGAGTCCATGTCCAAAGAGGAGAAGGACGATCGAGTGGAGAAACTTATCGTCCAGCTTGGTCTCACAGTGAGTGGAAGTTGTCCTTCGTCGTCTTGTTCTTCCTCTCAGAGCTGAACCGTTTTATCTCCCAGAGTGCTCGCAACACTTTCATCGGAGACGAGGCTCACCGCGGCGTTTCCGGTGGCGAGAGGAGACGGGTTTCTATCGGAGTCGACATCGTCCACGGACCAAACCTGCTCTTCCTCGACGAGCCAACCTCCGGCTTGGACTCCACCAGCGCTTACAGCGTCATCGAGAGGGTCCACGACATCGCCAAAGCTGGAAGCAGCGTTGTCCTTACGATCCACCAGCCTTCTTCCAGGATCCAGCACCTTCTCCACCATCTTATAATTCTTGCCAGGTACTAAAGTACTTCACTTTTCTTTGCGTTAATTGCAAGGCTTGGCGCACCAGGGGAAAGCTGATATACCAAGGAACGCCTCAGGGGCTGAACGGACACGTCGGAGGCCTGGGGAGGCAGGTTCCCAAAGGCGAGAACCCGATCGAGTACCTGCTGGATATAATCCAAGAGTTCGACCATGCTACCACTGGAGTGGACCCGCTGGTAGAGTACTATCTCACAGGGATCCGGCCGGACGTTCTCGACAACGGCCTCACTCCAAAAATCCACCTTGCCAGCACCGGGGTGACTCCACAGCAGCAGCATGGCACCTGGAAGCCGATCAAGAGCCCGTTCCAGATCAACAGTAGCATTTGTAGCACCCCTGCTATCCACAGGCACGACCCAGAAGCTCCTGAGGTACCTATGACTCCGTCCCAGTACTTTGAAGAAGACGAGGACGACTTCGACCACTCGCTGGTGAAGCAGTCGTTCACGTCGACTGTGGCCGCGAGTCCCTGGATTGGTGTCGGAACTGCTGCTTCCTTCTACAAAGGCATGATAGAAACTGCTTTTACTCCAAAGCATATTGGCCTCCGGACTCCATCGAAACCGGGACCGGGACCCGGGCGGACTCCTATGTGGCCATCTTTTGAAACAAGCCGGTTCGCTAGAACTCCACGGCCTGGTCCAGCGTATACAGCTGCTACTGTTCCTGGTAAACGATCCGTCCCCGAGATCATTCCTACTACTCCGACTCCAGATCGGAAGCTCTACCATGAAGAAGACTTCGATACGGACACCAACAGGAGCACTCTGCTGGACATACCCGGCCGCAAGTTTTCAAACTCCTGGTCCAACGAAGTTCTCATTCTCATGGGCCGTAACTTTCGGCTCATCAAGAGAACACCGGAGCTCTTTCTTTCGAGGCAGATCGTCCTGACTGTGATGGGAGTGATGATGGCCACCATGTTCCTCAACCCCGGCGACAGCTTGCAAGGCGTGACAAAACTCATGTCCTTCTTCATCTTCACCGTCTGCCTCTTCTTCTTCTCGTCCAACGACGCCGTTCCAGCTTTCATCATGGAGAGGTTCATCTTCATCAGAGAGACGGCACACAACGCGTACCGCTGCTCGTCGTACGTCATTGCCGGAGTTATAACGTATCTGCCTTTCCTTGCATTCCAGGCCCTGTCGTATACGCTGATAACTTGGTGGGCCTTGGACCTCAAAGGTGGCTTCCGAGGCTTCTACTACTTCTGGCTCATCCTCTACGCCTCCCTCATCTCGACTAACTCGCTGGTCGTCTTCGTCAGTGCCCTGGTTCCAAACTATATCCTCGGCTACTCCGCTGTTATTGCCTTCACCGCCATCTTCTTCCTCACCTGCGGCTACTTTGTGAAGCGAAGCTTGATCCCCTGGGGTTGGATATGGATGCACTACATATCCGTCATCAAGTATCCATACGAGGGCCTCCTCCACAACCAGTTCGAGACCGCTGCTTGCTATAACAGCATCAATGGTACCTGTTATCTGCCAAACCAGGAAGTTCTCAAGGGGTTAGACATCAACAAGCCCAGGAACAAGTGGGATTGCCTGGCCATGCTTCTCGTCTGGGCGGTCTTCTACAGGTTTCTCTTCTACCTGGTGCTTAGATTTGCTTCCAAGAACCAGCGAACGTAGATAACAAGCGAAAACAGAGATAGACTTACTTGAAATGATTTATTTGTTGGCACTAATTCATTATTCTTCTTCAACGTCACCGGGCGTGAACTTTAGCGAGACACTGTTGACACAGTGACGCTCGTCTGTCGGTGTTCTATACCCCTCGCCTTTGAAAACGTGTCCCAGGTGACCGCCACACGCCGCACAGGTTATCTCGACGCGCCGACCGTCGGCATCAGCCTGTATTTGCCACACACAAAAACAAAAAACGTCAAAAGCAAAAAAAAAAACAATCGAGTTGAAAGTTCCACAGAGGAGAAGAGCACCAAATAAAAAACCGAGAGAACACTAGCAGAAAGCCACGACAAGAAGAATAAATGGAAGAAATTCTCGCTGTGCTTACATTTCGATTGATCGCACCTGGCAGGCCCTGGAAGAAGGCAGGCCAGCCGCACCCGGAATCAAACTTGGTATCCGACTTGTAGAGCGGTGTCCCACAGCCGGCGCATTCGTAGACACCCCCCTCAAAGTGCTTGTTGTAGATTCCCGTGCCAGCAAACCTAGTATGCGGTGTTGGAAAAAGACGATCCAGTTACGATCGCGTGCTTGGATAGAGGCAGACAAAATGCCCTGGCAACAAAGCACAGCGAGCAGAAAAAAAAAAGGAAAAAAACCAAAAGAAATTCCACAAGGCTGTGGCAAGCAAGTGCTTGACCAGAGCTCATCTCCACACAGCCACACAATCCATCTCCAGCCATAGCAGCACTAGCTACAGTCCCTCGCAGCAAGCAGCGAGCAAAATCCCAGGCAATCCAGGCGGTAAAATCCAAACTCACTCTGTGCCCTTGCGCCGTAGCACGCGGAATTGCTCCGGGCTGAGGATCGCGCGCCATTCCTCCTCGCTCTTGTTGCCGCCTCCCCGCGCCATAGCCCGCACGAAAATATTTTGCCCCTGTTCTAGGGCAAATACACAACTTTAGGGCTTCTCGCTATACCGCAAAAGCCCTAAAAGGGGGGAGCCGAAGTTCTACGTAGCTAGTCTCTAGAAGAGCAATGGATCGAGCGTGGGACCAAATTGCCCGCGATCAACCCAACAGCTTGCAGGCAGTCCAATTCCCAGTGCCTTTCGTGTAAAAAGGGAAATTTTATTTGCAGTATTGTTCCCTGCTTTAAGTACCCGCACTCAGGCACGTCGAAATTATTTGCTTGCTCTCGAAAAATTCCTTCCTTATTCAGTCTATTTTCCTTTTGGCTGTTTTTCTACTGGCCTTTTTCTTCTGGCTGTTTTTTTTTTTTTTTTTGGCTACCCCTTCCGTCCGTCGCTCGTCACTTCCACCCCCTATAAATTCTCCGCTTCCTCCGCTGAGAGATAACATTGCGTTTCGCTTTGCTTCCTCTCGCGCTTGGCCTTCCGAGTTCCAGCATCATCCTCTTCCTCTTTTTCATTCGATCCTTTTGCGCCGTTTGCTTCTCTCCTCCCGTTTCGACAATGTCTTCGTGCGATGTTTGCAACCGTTGCGGATGCGGCTGCACGACCTGCGAGTAAGTTTCTCTCTTCAGTTCGTTTCCCTGCAATGCAAAAGCTTACTTTGCCCATCCTCCTCGTCGTGCTTTGTATCCATTCCACAGCTGCAAGCGGAGGAATCCAACTCTCGCGGCCTTCAACTTCGCTCCCGCCGCTCCAGAGGCAACTCCTGCCATGGTTTCACCGAGGTAAGCAACTGTACCACCTCTGCTGCATTGCATTACTTACCACTTAGCTCTCTGGATCTCGGCTTTTTGCAGTGGAGAGGAGGCCGTGCTGGTAGCAACACCAGGTGCCGAGTGCGAGACCTCCATCACCAATGCAGGGGACGCAACCACAGTGCCTCCAATGTGGGCCTGAAGCCATGGTCGCAAGTCCTTGTCCTGCAAGGAATCAGTCCTGAGTTAGATTGTGAGTTATCAACCATTACCGACAATATCAGGATACAATAAAGAATGGAGGAAGAATAGAGCCATTCTTCTTCTTACCTTAAATGAAAAAGAACTTAGAAAATAAAACTCTGAGCTTCGTTCGCTGCAAAACAACCAAGCTTTGTCATGAATAATGCGTCAAGTTGGCTTGCTCAGAGTCATGGAAGTTTTATATGTCGAATGCCAGCATTGGTCTAGCCTCTGGTAACATGATTCTCATCACAGCAACATTTAAAAGAGCAGGGAATAGACTCAAGCAATGTCTTGTCAGAAAAGCATTACCTCTCCTCTGCTCAAAACATGCTAACAGACTTGAAAGTTATAAAAGCAGCACACACAAACAGGAAACAAAAGATGGAAAAATCATTGTAATCACAGGGCAGGATGCCAAGCACGGCTGAAGTGGAAAGAGACGAATCACGAATCAAAACGGTAGTAGCGACCAGACCCGGAACACAAAATCGTGCTCGATCCATGCCAAAAAAGAGATTGCGAAAAAGAAATGAGAGGGGAGCGAACACCAGCAAAAATGCCACAGCTGTGAGACACCATGATTGAGTCCACAGACCGGCGGAGCGGTCTTCAGTCGACATGGAAAGCTGTGGCCGCTGTAGATGGGCCCAAGAGGAAAATCTGGAGTGATTCACAGACCCACCGCAGCGGCAGCAGTAGCAGCAAATCCAACACCTCGCGCGCCGTGAAGGCGTCCGGATTGCATGACTGGCATACCTCGCACGCCGTGGCCGCCGCCAGCCACACCAGATGTGCGCTGCATCCCATGCTTCGCCTTTAGGGGCGCCCTAACCCTAAACGCATCTCCCTTGCTGCCCTGCTTTAAAAGAGCATCGGGAGAATATTCGACAGATTTAAAATTTCGAAAACAAAGCTTATTCGCGGCAAAGCTCGTGGCGATCCCGAGGGGGCAAAGAATAGAAGAGAGCATCGCTCGCAAGCAAAGATGGGTTTGACACTGTTCGATCATTCAGTTGGTTTTCCTGCAGTTGCTCCGGATCTCGCCCTGGCTGCCGGTGAGCGGCTGCAAATTCCCCATGTTCACCATGGACACCGCGAAATTGTTGAAGAAGCTCGTCTGATCGGTGCTGAAGTTGCTGACAAGCGCCGCGGTGGTGCCGTTGAGGAGCTCGGCGTCCGAGTTGAGCAGGCCCTGGCCATTGAGCACATTGGCGTAGTACTGGTTGTCGAAAGTGTCCTGGGTGACGGGGTCGAAGTTGGCCACTACGCTGCCGTTGCCCCCGTTGGGACAGATCTGCTGGAGGGTCGCCAGGTACGCTGTGTTGATCCGGGGATCGGGCTGCCCGTTGGTGAAGTTGAAGAGCCTGTTGGAGAAAGTGGTGCAGCGAGCCCGGCCGAAGGTGTGCGCGCCGGACAAGACCACCATGTCCTGCGTCGAGAGCCCCACATTCTGGTACGCCGCAATGAGCTGAGCGTTCGTGGATGTTGGCGGCGGGATGTTGGCCTGCGCGAGGGAGAAGTTTGCTGTGGTGCTGTCTCGCCTTCCCAGCTGGACCGTCCAGGATGGTCCTCCGCTCTGGGAAAAAGAAAGAAGAGAAGGTGCGGGGGTTAAGAGTTTGTGATTTCGCGAAATGGATTCGGGTTAGAGTACTGACCAGGACTACTGCCGCCTTGGCTGCGATGGCGAGGATGTCGGCACAGGAGACGGTGTTGTTGCAGACGCTGTCAACCTGCGACTTCATCTGGTCGATGACATCGAAGCCTCGGAGCGAGGCGTTGTTTGGAGCTGCCGTTTTCTCTCCTGTGAAATTCGCAGTGTCGTCCAGGAGAACTGACGCGTCGCAGCCCTGCGGGAGGCAGAGGACGAGTCAGAAGGAGACAGAGGAATTCTGGAACAAAAGGAGAGAAATTAAATTCAATACTTACATTTACGAAGCAGTCGTGGAAATGCACCCGGAGAAGCGAGGCAGCAATTCGAACATCGCTCTGCATTGCCTGCTGGAGAGTATTTGTCACGACGGTCTCTACGGTGGGGCAAGACGAGTTGTAGAAAGAGGGACTGAGCTGAGCGACGGATCGCCGGAAAAGGATTGTAAGCAGCACCGTTGCAAGTACTTCGTAGCCAGCCATATTGGAACAGTCTTGAGCACTAAACTCAGCCGCACTGCTTCCCGGCTGCTCCCAAGGAGTAGAGAGTATATATACCAGACATTTTACGATGCGTCGATATGCTGTCAACTAGTGTCAACTGCGTCGAGAGCGCTGTCTGGAATGGTTTGACGACTTTAACATTCTTTTTTGCATCCTTTCCTGCTACAAGAGAGAAGAGAGTGAAGGTCAGTTCCTTGAATCGATGGGAAAACCAATCATTTACCCAAAAATGTGCTACCATGGAGCCGTAAAAAGAACCTGTACCAACCAATGATGCTGATGTTGCACCGAAGGGCAGTCTTCTCTTCCAAAACAATCAGGGACAGTCTCTTTTCTTTCTGACAGCCTCTACGACCATCCACCACCAGAGAAAGCTCAACATCTACGCCTCTGATAGGAAGACCCGGTCAGTACAGATAACACAAGCGTGATATATAGGGAGTATCTGGTAGAAAGTTTACGTGCCATATCCTGTAGCAGAACGTGCTGGCCATAGCCAAGGCATTGAATTAGTTGCTGAGGTAGCCTGTCGAGCGAGCATTGACTTCGTTGGCTTCGAAAGTGTTATTTTTCCTTCTTTCTAGCAGGCGCAAGAGAATAGAAACAATCTCCTTGCGCCTGTTACGTCCGAGCATGGCTCACATGAAGAACAGGAAACCATCGCTGGGATCGGGTTTTTGTACTATAGAGAAATGTCGGACCCCGATTATCAAGGAAGACGTCATTACGCTGAAAAATCCTGCCAACTCAACGAGTGTATCAGCCGCAGACACGCCTATATAAGAGCCCGCTTACCCCTCTAGTCTCTATGTACATCGACATTTGAACCGAACGCATAGCACTCGAAAATCTGAGCGGATGAAAGGTCAATTAGATACACGCCAACTCGAAGGGGCCCCGTTGAGTCGTGTCTGGTGGATGTTCATGTTCTCTGCAGTTTTGATAAACGTAAAATGGAGCCAGTCGTTGAACGGCGGGGCCAATACAATATTCTTCTTCTTCTTCTTGTCCTGGAGAAATCAAAATCAAACACGGGAATCACAACCAGAAAGGAAGAACAAGGAAGAAGATGCAGATGTTACCAGGCATCCCGGAGCGCCCGCATCGTTTGCTAACAGAAAAACAAACCTCGTTTCGAGTGAGAACAACAATGAAAAGCACAGAGAGCCAAGCGAAAAGACCTGTTCTACCCGTGAAGATGTCACAACTTTCATTCATTCCTGTCACAGGCTTGGTTGATACACTTTGCCCGAATCTTTTGAGAGTCAGTGCTGTGTCAAAAATTAAAGCCAAAACCTCCACCGCCGGGGAAGCCACCCTCGAATGTGAAAGTGAATCCACTTCCACTTCCACCTCCACCCCCGCCAAATGGATTAAATCCCGGACCCCCCATCTGCGGTTCCTCGTCCTCTCCCCGGTCATATCGCGTTCGTTTGTCTTCGTCCCCGAGAACCTATAGGAGGTGCTACGTACTTAGTAAGAAAAACGAAGAAAAAAGATTGCTTACTTCATATGCTGCAGCAATATCCTGAAACTTACGCTCGGCTTCCTCCTTGTTATCTACATTTTTGTCCGGATGCCATTGCAATGCCAACTTCTTGTACGCTCTTTTTATGTCAGAAGCACTGGCAGTCGTCTCTACACCCAAAATCTCGTACCAGTTTCTCCGCTTACTGAGTTTCAAGCCTTTTTCAGCTCTGTGAAGCCCTTCTCTGGCGCTTTGGCTCTGCAAAGATGAATTCAAGGTTCCGCTTAGTTTATTTCACCTTAAGTGGTACCTGAGATTTATGAAACGATGTTTTAAAATCTGACATTGCCCCTTCCCAGTCCTCTACTAGAATTTTGGCTTCCCCACTCTGCAATCGCGGACAGTCGGATAGAGCATCGCAACCAATAATTCACAAACAAACCTGAAGCAAAGCTTCCGCATGTTCGCCATCAATTTTCAATGCCGACGAACAGGCTGGCAGAGCCTCCTTACCACGACCGAGCTTAACAAGTGTTTTGCATAGTCCTAGATACAGAACAAAGTTCTGCGCCTCATGTTCGGGATCCAGTGATAAAGCCTCATTATATTGTTCAACTGCCTTGCGAAATTTCCCTTTTTCAAAAAGATCTTCGGCCTGAAATGAAACAGCAACAATGTAAACGAAGCAGAAGAAAAGGCATGCACTCACATTCTTTGTCTTCTTTAAAAGATTTTTCAGCTTGAAATACTCCTTCTTCAAGCTGCTGTGTTCGGGATCAAGGCGCAAACCCTTCTGATAATGTCTACAAGGCATAAACGTTAGTTCTTGCTCAACAACAAAACTAAAAGAACATACCTGGTGGCCACGTCGAAGTCCGAGAGATAGTAGTAAGCTTGCCCACGAAGAAGCAAAGCATCCAAGTCGTCTTCATTCTCCTTGAGTATAAATCCTGTCTCTCCCACAACACCTGCATAGTCTTTCTTTTTCAGGAGAATCCTTGCTCTTAAAAATCTCGCCTGCAAAGCAACAATACGCATTTACCAAAAATCTGCCATGACATCTATACCAACCTTTGAGCAATCAGGAGAAAGCGATAAAAGAACTTCTAAGTGTTCTTCCGCTTTTGTGAAATCGTTGTTTTCATAGCTACTCTCGACTTGCTTCAGCGCGTCTTTTGCTTGAGTTACCATAGAGAGCTCTTTCTTAGCACCCGCATGTCCTGGTTTCATACCCAGCGCCTTAGAAACAACGCTCTCAGCCTCATCCAACCTACATGTCGAGTCTTTGCACAAACTCTCGATAACTGACTGAAAATCTTACTCGCAAGTCTGACGAAGAACTTGGCTTCGTTGCAAATACCCATTCACGTAGCTTGGATCGATGTCCACCAGCTTATCGAGATCACGCAACGCGTCTTTGTACCGTTTTTGCTGAATGTATGCTGCCGCTCTCTTCGAATATCCGATCGACGCATCGGGATCAATCTCTATGAGAAGCACACACAAAACTTCAGTTGGACAAAGCCACGAAATTTCCGCTACCTATGAATGAAGTGTAGTGCCGTATAGCCGCAAAGTACTCTCGATTGGAGAACGACTCATCTCCAGATTTCAAGTAAGATCCTGAGAAGGAAGAAAAGAAATCACTGAAAGCGCGAGCTGGAGAAAAATCTTACCCGCATTGGAGGCAAAAACTCCCAGAAGATTGATTGCCGATACCAGCAGCACGATTGGCGCGAAGGAGATCATGAGCTGACGATGCCTGTCGCAAGCAATCCTCATCGCGCGGCGCCTTGAATCAACGCATATTTCTAGGCCAGAGCGGCCTTGCCCTAGAGATCAAAAATGACAATGAGGTTTCATGTTACTGGTCCACGTGTATATTGCGCTGAGGTGGCTAGACAGGATTGGAGCATATGATGTGTAACAGTATGCGATATATTTTCAAGAAAAAAAAGGGACAGAGACAGGCAGAGGATCCTTTTTTAGGGTTTTTCGCTCGCTCACTCGCTCGCTCGCTCGCTCGCCCTCATTGCTGTAGCGAATCTTGCGATGGCGCCATCATGATTCGAAACTCCTCGAAATCCACCAGGCCATTGCCGTCCGAGTCGACGCCCTTGATCATCCTCCGGCACTCGGATTTGGTGATCTTGTCGCCCATTTTCTGGAGCACGCAGTGGAGCTCGTCCGCCGAGATGAATCCATTTCCATCGATGTCGAAGACCTGGAATGCGGCCCGGAGATCGTCGGCGGAGCTGCCGCCCTCGTCATTGGCGCGGAGGAATTCCTCCAGGCTGATGAAGCCGTCGCCGTCGGAGTCGATCGCCCTGAGCAGCCCCAGTAGCTCCGTGTCGTCGGGATTAGCATTCCCTATCAGTCTGAGCATCGCGCGGAGCTCCTCCAGGCAGATCCTTCCATCCCCGTCGGTGTCGATCGACCTGAAAACCTGTTCCAGCTCCTTGGCGCGTTGATCAATGGACCTAGCCGGCGATGGAACAGTAGCCTCGGCGGCAATGCTCGCCACTGGAGAATCCCTATCAGATTTCTTCCCCCTGAGCGATCGATAGAACTTCAGCATTGCGATCGCTCTCTCTCTCACTCCAAAAGCAAGAACCCTATTCCGCGTTATAAGCCTTAAAAGAAAAGGAGGCGCATAAAATTCGAAACGTTAGTTAACGCGCCAAAGAATATGTCTCCCAAAATTCTAGGAAGAGTAGAATATACAGAGTATATACTTTTAGAATATTCACAGGATTTGCGGCGCTTAATGCACGCGAAACGCGACTAGCACGGGGGGAAAGAGAAAACCAGGTCAGAGAATTCGCTGTGTTCGTTTCTTGGCTGGATCCGATTAGGGTTCTTCACATCGATGAGCGATCGTCGCTAGCGCGCGCGGCCAGGCAGCGATGAAGTGCATCAGGTTCTCCCACAGCGGCGGCGACAAGCGGCCGGAACCCAGGAGCAGGAAATCGATCTGGAACCTCTCCTCCAGCGGCGGATCCAATCCCGATAACGCCCGGCGCTCCGGCTCCGAGGCGAATTCCCAGACGGACGCCAGCGGCAGCGGCCAAGGGTCTCCGGCCTCGAATTTCCTGCTCAGCTCCTCGATGCGCCAGAACGAGCTCAAGGTCTTCTCGTTCGCGGAGCTCAAGGCGGCGACGAGGAATTTCCACCGCACGCATTGGCTGGGCGAGGGTGGATTCGGCTGCGTCTACAAGGGATTCATCAAGGTCAACAGGACCGACGGCACCGAGTCCAAGGTAGAAGTGGCGGTGAAGCAGCTCAATGGCAAGGGATTGCAGGTACATTGCTCGATCGCCATCTCCACATTCCTAGAATTTCTTTCTCTGTTCTTCATGGGTTTCAAAGTCATAGGCCTAGTAACTTAAGCGTGTTCTTCGTCCAGGGACACAAGGAATGGCTCTCGGAGATTAGATACTTGGGAGTCGTCGACGATCCCAACTTGGTGAAGCTCATCGGCTACTGCCTGGAAGACGATCCTCGAGGCGTCCAAATGCTACTCGTGTACGAGTTTATGCCCAAGGGGAGTCTCGAAGGCCATCTTTTCAGGAGAGGGCCCCCGGTTCTTCCGTGGGAGGCCCGAGTTAAAATCGCGCTGGGTACTGCTCGCGGACTGGCATATCTTCACGAGGAGCTACAGATCCAGGTACATGACTTGTCCAAGTCAGTGTTTTCACTCTTTTTCCTACCCAAGCAGATCATTTATCGCGACTTCAAGACGTCAAACATTCTTTTGGATGATTCGTTTGGTCCAAAGCTATCCGATTTCGGGCTCGCAAGGCTTGGGCCCGAGGGCGGTGATAGTCACGTTACGACCGCTGTGAGTTCACATACTTCGGTTCCTTTTCAACTTGCTATTGATCTTTGATGGATGGATGAACAGGTTGTGGGAACTGTAGGCTATGCGGCTCCAGAGTACGTCCACACTGGTCACCTCACAGCCAAGAGTGACGTCTGGAGCTTTGGCGTTGTTTTGCTGGAGCTGCTCACGGGAAGGAAAGCTCTCGACAAAAATCGCCCAAAGAACGAGCAGCGGCTCTTGGAATGGGTCAAGCCTTACATTTCTACAAGCCGGAAGTTCCACCTTATCATGGACCCGAGCCTCGAAGGCCACTACCCTCTCCAAGCGGCTCAAAAGATGGCGAGCCTCGCGGCAAGCTGCCTCACGAGGCAGCCAAAGGCACGACCGAAGATGAGCGCGCTCGTGGAGGGCCTCAAGCAGGTGCTTGCGATCCCGGTTCCAGATGGCGACGGCACCGAGTGCAAGGAAAACACTCCCCAGAAGTTGGAGAAGTTTCATTCGGACCCCGGAGTGACCAGAGAGAAGCTCTCGGTGTGGAAGATGTTCACGGTGCCGAAGCTTGTGAAGACTTGAGAAGCTTGATCCAGAGTTTGGTCCACAACTTTCAGCCTTCTTCGTACAGCTTAGCGCCACGGCCGTGTAGCCTTTGACGCCTCCTGGAAAGGTTTTTGCGACGTCGTAGCTTGGTAGAGGAGCAGCGGACTTGAAGCAGATCTCGCAGCTTGTGGCTACAATCCAGGTCGGGCCGGGTATCCAGTAGCACGCGTGGACCTTCACGAAGTGACGCTGCCGTGGTTGACGTTGTCGCTTGGCACCCGGAAAGAAGTTGGATGGGATTAATGCTGTAGTCTGTGGAAGATTTGACGATTCCCAGCACTGATTTTGGACGGATAAGGTCGACAAAGTCTCTGGCCTCGGAGAAGCAGCAATGAAGCGAGTACGGGACGACGTTAATCAGCCGCGAAGAAGCGTCAGCAGCTTGGTTGTCGCTGGTTCTTTCCCGGGATTTGTAGCAGCTTTCGGAGCACAGCAGCTTTGGCTTCGGCTTTCGTCCGGAGGATGGATTGCACAGGCATAAGCAGCCGGTTGGAAGGATTCCCAGAGTCGGACGAATCTCATTCAAGAGCTTTAGGCTCCGGGTGGAGACGCTGCAGCGTGGAACGGCCCGGATCCGTGTGATGGAAGTGTCGGTCGTGAAAACATCCGGGAGCTGTAGCAAGTGCATTGTTTTCAACCGTTGTGGCCACAGACAGATCTAGAAAGAAAAACCAGCAGAAAAGAATGTTTGCCAACTCATTCCCAGGAAAATAGAAGAAAGTAGGAGTACGTACTTTCGTTTCCAAAGCTTGAGCAATGGAGAGCAAAAGCTCTTCCTTCCCAAGGTTGTCGATTCCAATCACGATGTCTTTCTCCGGGTGGCCTCGTATGAGCTCAATGACCTGGAAGATCGTTTCTTTGTTTTCTCACTCAATCGATTAAGCCCGTCCACTTACTCTAGTCGCAGCGGCGTTCCTGGATGGAAAGCTGAAGAGCGGGTTGCAAAATGTGTTGTCAAGGTAGAGAAAATCCACCTGCGCTCCACCGATAGCTTCTCTGAGAGCCTCTTTTCTCTCCTCCAGCGTGCATCGATCGTTATTCCATCGAAAGTCCCCAGTATGCAAGACGCACCCAAACTCTCCATGGAAAACATACATCACAGCTCCTGCATGGACAAAAACGAAATAACATAGAAGTTCCAAAGAAATTCAAGAGCTCTCGAAAATCTTAGGATCAAGACTTGCCAGGGCAGTGATCGGCGTCGATCGCCGTGACTTCTAGCAAGGAATCTGCAGCATTGTTGGAAGAGACGAGCGTTGAAGTCCCGAGGTCGAGAATGTGGAGCAGGGCGGGATTGAAGCCCTTGAATCTGGCGAGGAGGAGCATGGCGGTTACCTGCGAGCAGTAGAGAGGGCCGCGACACCAATCCGCAGACAGGCCCTCAGTGTGATCAGCGTGCAAATGCGTGAGGAAGTAGGCATCGCTGGGGCTCCTCCACTCGTCCACCACAAACCGCCTTCGCATTCCTCTCCGCGCCTTTAAGGGCTAGGGCACAAGACAGTTCATTTAAAAATAAAATCCTTAAAAGTAGATAATAAAATTAAATAATTTAAAATTATAAAATTTAACTTTTTAAGTTACGGTTATTATAAAACTTATAAGTAATTTAATTATATGACTAGAATAAAAAATGTGATTATAATATTAATATACAACATTATAACTATACAATTAAACTTTATATCATCCTTTTCTATTGGAAGAATGAAAGGCAATTAAAGTTTTTTATTTGATGAACTAGGATTTAAAAGATTATCAAAAAAAGGCACAAGTGAATCTATAGGTGTTAGTTGTTTTTGCTCCTTTTGTACAAAGTGTTTTAACCATTGTATATATATAATTTTTAAAGAATGTAATATATTTTTAATAAATAAAGTTTATTTTTACAATCAACTTGTTGAATATCATACCAAACTTCATAAACTTGCAATCTAATTTACAACAACACCTAATACAATCCTTTCTACTGAGCCTCTTAAACAAATTATATACCATAAAATTGGGAAAATGAACTAACACAAAGTCATCTATATTATGTTTTGTAAATATATAATGATAGGAGTTGTAGTGCTATTATTATCCCACTTATACATGGCCTAAATATTTAGTAGATTCCACTTGGACTAGTGGAAAAATGCTCATTAAATATTAATCCCATGATTTAATATTGGTAGTTTGTGGCAATCGTGAAAGTAAATTTAACTTCATTGGATCATGACTATACAAGAGTTTATATGGTGAAACATTAATGGAACTTTATATACTTATGACATATATATACCGAATAAACAACAAATAACCATCTCAATCTGAATGTTGAAAGTTCACATAATTCACAATCATTTCTCTAAAAGTCCAAACAAATTATTCCATCAAACCATCTGTCTATGGATGATAAGCACTCATGAAAGTCTAATATATCCTTAGCCAAGATATTAAAATGTGAAATGCATTAACCATAAATGCAAGATCATTCCACTTTAAATAGGAATGTTGAAATACCACTTGATTAAGAAAAAAGTACTCAACAACAGTCACAAACACATTAGTAAAAGCATTAATTTTCACTCAACAAGCCAAGTAGTCTGACGTAATAATGATATACTCATTGCTATTATATCAAATACCATCAACTTAAATAAATAGGAAATTACAATTAACTCCAACTATCCTTCCACAGCACTGTAAGCAACCAAAAAGAACGATTTGAGAGGTGATCCATAGGGTTCAAATATAAAGGGAAAGTGCCCATAATAAAAGTGCACCCCATTTTCCAATTGGTTAAGGGTCTTGGGATATTTGGGGTTAAGCATCTTATAAACTCCTAAATTTAGACTTCCCAGAAAATCTGTAGTGCACATGGTTTTTACCTTTTATCCTATTATGATTTACCATAGGATAACACCATGAAGTGGAACCTAACCCTCTATATGCCACGTGACAAATGCTACGTGTCACATGCCACATGTCCAAAGGACAGTGGTGTGGAACCCGAGTTTCAGGGCCTTGGGCCACTGAACAAAGGAATGGTGCCAAACTCCCAAGCTTGTGTGAGACACAAAATCCTTAGGCCCCAAAGTGGAGCCGGAAGGGTGCCACGTGGTAGTGGCCAAAGCAAAAGCCAAACGAGCGTAACACGTTTAGACCAAATGCTCCGACTTGAAAAGTTGAGAACGGGAGTGGAACTCCCAACAAAATGCTCAAGGAACGAGCACGAAGCAAATAATAAGCGAGGCTCCAAGAAAGGGACCCAAAAGGACCAACACATGACACGTGGAAGAGTCCGAGATGGACCCGAGGTGGAGTCTGAGATGGACCCGAGTTGGAGTCCAAAGTGGAGTCCGAGATGGACCCGAGATGGACCTGAGATGGACCTGAGTTGGAATCCAAAGTGGAGTTTGAGATGGATCCGAGATGGACCCGAGTTGGACCTGAGTTGGAGTCCGAGATGGACCCGAGAAGGACCCAAGATGGAGTCTGAGAAGGACCCGAGATGGAGTCCAAGATGGAGTCTGAGATGGACCCGAGATAGAGTCCGAGATGGACCCAAGAAGGAGTCTGAGATGGAGTCCGAGATGGACCTGAGAAAGACCCAAGATGGAGTCCAAGATGGACCTGAGATGGAGTCTGAGATGGATCCGAGATGGAGTCCGAGATAGAGCCCAAGATGGAGCCCGAGATGGAGCCCAAAATGGACCCGAGACGGAGTCCGAGATGGACCCGAGATGGAATCCGAGATGGAGTCCGAGAAGGACCTAAGATGGAGTCCGAGTGTAAGCGACTAATTTTTCCATTCTACTTTAGTCACTTAACCACACCTTCGACCGCTTGGAGGAGTCTCATTCACAACCTCCTTAAGTCCAATTCAGGACTTGGGGCTTGCTAGCCCAAGAATGGCATCCATGCCACTCATCACTTGCGTTTAGTCCAAGTGCTCCATGTGTCCGGTCCCAAGACCGACACCCAAAGGCACCACTGACATATCGGCCTGTTACGCTAAGGCCATGCCCATTCACCTTTGCCGCACTAGTGGTCCAATACCACTTGCATCACAATCCCGTCTCTCCAAGACTGGGCCATCCGTCCACGAGTGGTCAACCCAGATCCACTCTTTAGCATCTTTAGGATGCCCACAGACATGGGGAATAGCCTTCCCCAATATCCCTTTGTCAGTTCCTACCAAGTCCCTTTTCTGTCCATGGCCACGTTCGCCAACACTTCCACTCGATCAAGGCCCACAGGTTCGACCACTAAATCCCACGGTCCTCTGGGACTTCCTCACCACACGACTGTGTCCTTGGTCACTACCCCAGAGGACTGCTCCTCTTCCTTTCCACAGCTTGGGCCTTTGGGACAACATTTCAGAACACCATGGCCTTACGCGAACCACCTGGGTACTCTCCCCACCTTTCGCCTTTAGGTGCTCTAGCCATGGGCTTAGAGCGAGGTCCCGTTGAGCCACGCCTGGTATCCAAGTAGGTAGTGCCACCCACACTTGGACTGGGAGCATCGGCCAGTCAATCTCCCGGGGGAACTAGAGCCGGCTCTTGAACACTTCACCAAGCTACCCCGCTTATCGGTCTATATTCACTCTAGTCTTGGACTTCCCAGTGGTCAGTTCATCACCCGACACTGGGTCTGGCCTTCCTGGGCCAAACTGGCCTTTCCTAGCCAAACTGGCTCCACTGCAGTCCTCCCCCTCACTATACTTTTGGAGCTCACCAAACCCCCCAGGGTCTGGGAGACGAATGCTTTGGGCTTTCACCCTCTCAGACTCGAACTCGGACTCAGACTCGGACTTGGACTCGGACTCGGACTCGGGCTCGGGCTCGGTCTCAGCCTTGGCCTCGGTCCTAGTCTCGGACTTGGACTCGGACTCGGACTCGGGCTCAGGCTCGGTCTCAGCCTTGGCCTCGGTCCTGGTCTCGGTCCCAGTCTCGGTCCCGGTCTCGGTCTCGGTCTCGGTCTCGGTCCCGGTCTCGGTCTCGACCTCGGACTCCATCTCAGGTCCTTCTCGGACTCCATCTTGGACTCCATCTCGGGCTCCGTCTCGGTCCATCTCGGACTCCATCTCGGACTCTGTCTCAGTCCATCTTGGACTCCGTCTCGGTCCATCTCGGACTCCATCTCGGGTCCATCTCGGACTCCGTCTCGGTCCACCTCGGACTCCATCTCGGACTCCACCTCGAGTCCATCTCGGACTCCATCTCGGACTCCATCTCGGGTCCATCTCGGACTCTGTCTCGGTCCACCTCGGACTCCACTTCGGTCCACCTCGGACTCCATATCGGACTCCATCTCGGACTCCATCTCGGACACTTCCACGTGTCATGTGTTGGTCCTTTTTGGGTCCCTTTTTGGAGCCTTGCTTATTGCTCGCTTCATGCTCGCTCCTTGAGCACTTTGTTGGGAGTTCCACTCCCGCTCTCGACCTTCCAAGTTAGAGCTTTTAGTCCAAAAGTGTTACACTCGTTTGGGCTTTCGCTTCGGCCACTACCACGTGGCACCCTTTCCGGCTCCACTTTGGGGCCTAGGGATTTTGTGTCTCACACCGAGGTCAAGACCGAGACCGGGACCAAGACCGAGACCGAGATTGGGACCGAGACCAAGATCGAGGCTAAGGCCGAGACTGAGCTCGAATCCGAGTCTGAGTCCGAGTCCGAGTCCGAGTCCAAGTCCGAGTTTGAGTCTGAGAGGGTGAAAGCCTAAAGCGTTCATCTCCTAGACTC